GCTCATCGGAGAACATATCTAATATTTCCTGTCCTCCGAGAGATCGCAACTGCTTTCATCTCTGAGCCATGTTGAACTGGTAGCTGTGTGGTTCATACGTGCAAGCTTGGATTAGAACAAAGCCGATTTTGTTTAGGTTGTGACAGGAAATGACTCTGGTCAAGTTACTAGATAAGGCAGCAATCATTCCCGAGGTCACCTACGCAGTAGTTACGATTCAACGAAGCCACACAGCGATATATAGCGTTTTGCAACATAACATGACCGTAGAGGGCCATATGGCCCGACCGGTCCGCAACGCTTGGAAACGTAGAGGGTCATATGGCCCCTCCAGTCCGCAATGTGTTAAAGTAATATAATCCACAACTAAATAAGTGTAAATATAGAAGAGAAATTAATGTTACTGAGGAAATAGACATTCACCATTCTCATTAAAACACTGGAGGAGGAGGAGGAAGAGGAGGACGAGGAGGAAAAGCTGTGCTTTCAGTGCTAAATAATATGATACATAATATTTTTAAATGCAATGTAGTTTTCTTATATTTGTGGCTCAAGCTGGAGCTCAGAAAACACTTAGATTTTGCACTGTATATGTTATGAGTTAATGCAACTGGTAGAAAAATTTCAAGGCAAAAGACAACGAGACAGACCTAGGAACAACATAAGAGAATAACAAAGCAGATCATAAAGAAATGAAGTGTAAATCTGTGGCCTGGATTCAACTTGTTTATGACAGGGTTCAATGGCATATTTTGATTGACAGTGTGATGAAATCATGGGTTCTGTAAAAACAGGGAATTTCTTGATCTGTTGAATAACTATCAACTACCCAAGGCAGGGTCTGAACCATGATAGTTAATGGAAACAGAATAAGCATGAATTGCTTACCCAGTGGTTTATACGAAGACAGAGTGACAAATATCTTCAGAGCAGGAAGACTGTAATGGCAATCATCTACTGTGAGGAGCAACAGCAGCTGATCCATCGTAGATTCATTTTTAAACGCCAAACATGGCATCAGATAAAAATATTCCTAATAACATATAAAAAATAACATGTTAAAATATTTTAAACAAAAATATTGTTTGGGAGATACCACTTTGGAGACTGATGTAAATGGACAGCAATAGTAGAGCACAGAAAATTTGTTTTGGAGATATGAATTTGTGAGAACTGGCATGCAATAAGGTTTAATGATGGACTTCTATGGTAGAACTGACCAGCCTTTGTATTCCATAACAATAAAGATTTTATTGAAAACCTGAGTACCTACAGCTGCTCAGAGAACAACCCAAACAAGTAGTTTCAATTTGGAATGTACTTACTTTTAGTGGATCTTACATGAAAAGAATTTGAACTATTTGATATGAATTTACTAATTCTCTACAGATTTGTGACAATGGCTACTTCAATATACCATCTGATATACATGACATTCTGAGAGATCACTTTACTTTCATTTCCAGATGACTGACTGGTATTATTCTCAGAGATTTATTTATGTTTCTTTTAAGATAATAGTGTTCATAACTTTGTGGTATTATCACACTCATGCAGGTCAATATAACTACATTTTAAAAATTATGTTGGATATTGTAGTCCATATTATCTGTGGCTATGAGAAAAGCTGTTAATTTTTTGCATTAATTTTATATATAATATTCACACAAACAAAGTATGTGTATATATATATATGTATATATATACAAGTAAGGCATATAACTGAAGCAGAAACAGGGTTCTATGCATTCTAGGTCCAGGCACTGGCACTAGATGAAAGTCAGAGTTGAGGTTCATATTCTATCTCGTTTAACAATGCCCCCCCCCCACACACACACACACACAAATACATGCGATGGTAAGAAAAAAAATTCATAACTCTACCAGGTATTGAGCCTATGGCAGGTCACATTTCTTTGAGGTTAATTAACAAAACATACAAAGGAAAACGTACACAAAGAAGTTCAATTCCTAGCTTTGCAGCTGTGCTTTCAGCAATGTGTAGGTCCTTGGCTACGTCACTACGGGTGACACAGTCCATCACCAGAGTTAGCAACTCCTGAAACACAGTGACAGCTCAATCAAAAATTCATGCTGGAACTGAATTAATATGTTCAAATGATATGTGACACTGTACTGACTACAAAAGTTATGTAATGGTGACTGAGACCTTGGATTCATTGGGCCATTTAACCCAGATAACAATGTGATGGCATTTTTGTATGAAACAGTTTTTATGTTAGATACTTTTTAACATTGTTGTGAAGAGAAAGATTGCCAGAGTCTACTCTCATGATTTATTACAACATACCTTCATGGCCACTTCATCAACCAAGAAAGAGGCAAGTTTGGCACACAAACTTTTCACACTCAGGACAATAGATTCCTTTTTTAGAACTCTTCGTTTTGAAGTCAGTGACCTCTTCTTCCTCTCACTTGTATATGAAACTATATCCTGATTTTCTGTCTGCAAAGTAAACGTTTAACTTCTTAAAAATATCTTTCATATGTTTTTTAGTATGAATGAAAAATATTATTAAATCTCTAATTAACTTACCCACAGTCGTTCATAGTCCTCACAAAAGTTATTTTCATTTGCATATTCTTGCAAGAAGCTCAACAATTTTCTGTTTGCTGCCAGTTCCTTTGTAAGCAACAGAAGTCTGTGATGTGCTTCCTTCTGATTTCCCATAGTCAGAGAGAGCTTCCCTGCTACCATTTCTCTATGCCACTCTAATTGTTTAGATGAAAGTTCATCACTAGGGGGCCCTTGGTACAGAGAGAGGAGCTGATGTGTACATTCATAAGCTCTGGAATAACAGAATATGATACAATTACTTGCAACTGAAATACTGGGATAAGTATTTTAAAGCATTATAACAGAATGTGTCTATTGGGACAATTGGGACTGTAGAGAACTACATAAAAAATCAGTAAGGACAGCCATTCTCTGAGCTGAGAATTGAACACAGGACCTTCCAAATATGAAGCAGCAGTGCTAATTACCCAAAGATGATGACTGACTGTTGATGGTAAATTTAAATAAAAAGTTCCATATTACACTAACCTTTTCTTTAACACTTGTTTATGATGGAAATTGTTACGAGATTCATCATCAAGTAGGCACCACAACTGAAGCAATTTCTTCATCCTCCAGTCTACAGGAAGATCACAGGGTACCAGGCACTTCACAATCACCTTCTCAATGTCAGGTCTATCAAAAAGCAACATGTAATTATGACACTTCACAATGGCTATCTTAAGAGCATTTAAGAGCATACGAGTATAATGAAAGTTTCACAATGAGCAATATAATAACATAAAATATTTTAATGCATCACTCCCTTAACCACTGTCACTTTTTGTGCTTGGCTCTTTCCATGCTGAGAATGTTTTTCTACCTTACAATAAGACATCAAGAACATTACACTTTATGTTCATCATTAAAGAATAATATAAACATTGAATTCAATAAACTTTTAATAAAATGCTGAGTCAATTAATTGGTCTTACATGTTTTGATTCTGTAGGATAAACTTCTGTCATGGTAGAAATAGGACTCTTGCATTTGCAACCATTCCCCCAACACCCATTTACACTTCTTCAATATTGCAGAATTGTTTATAGTATAATTTCAAGGCCTTTATATATAATTTTAAATGTACATATAAGTAATCTTTTAGTATAAAAGTCTCTGAGGATGGTTCTATAGGACTGAAACACGAAAGGGAACTTTCTTGACTCAACATTTTGGTAAAGGTTTGTTACACTTGATGGTTGTCCTGTTCTTATACAATTTCTTTTTATACTTTCAGAACAACCAACAATTCACAACCAACAGAATAACAGAAATGGAACAGACTTCCTTTTACACTGATAATGTAAGACAATAAATATAAAAAGCCTGTTGCTTTGGAACCAGACATCTTTTCATAACATAGAAATGATTAAAATTTACTTTTTCAGCAGGACTTTTCAGCTTGAGGAAAGTAGTTGGAAATAAGAGAGAAAACAACAGGATGATGGAAAGAACGAAATATAAAAGCTTGATAATTTGTTTCTAGCCTAGTACTTATTTCAGAAGCAAATGAAAAGGATAAGATGGAAACAACATGTAACATGAGCAAGATAAAAATTGAAAACAGGGTTTCGTCCCAAACCTTGAAGGGAAGAAACTACTTAGGAGACCTAAGCACAGATGAAAGATACTATTAAAATTAATCATAAATATGTAAGATGTGAGGGTGTGGATATGAAGCAAGCAGCTCGAGACAGGGTCGAGTTGTAAGCTCTAATAAACACAGCAATGAACTAATGAGTGCTATAAAAGACAGAAAATTCTTGACCATCTCCTTGGAAGTGATTATATGGACAAGACAGATAACCTAGTGCCCTTAGGCCAGGTATGTGACTGCCATTCACGAATATCAAGTCTAAACCTGGGCACAGCTGTGTTCAACTATTCTGTACATGGTTCAACACCAACTGGCCTAACATACAAAGAAACATTCATATGAAGATGTCATTAGTACATATATCAAAACACATTACAGTTAAATAAAATAAATTTGGAAGAAAACAAATTATGACAATTTGAACCTTAGTAACAAATTCACAACCGATTACAGCAACTGTTCCTTGAGTTAACATACAATCACAGACAGCAAAATCTTCCAAATATCAAAATATGTAGACATTTACTAAATTGATTTTATTTTTGGATAAAAAATCCCTCTGATAGTCTTCGGCAATGGACACATGTTGGAATGACAGTTAAATATCCAACAGGAAATGTGTTATTATTTAAGGAGTGTCAATGTGTCTCCACAAGCTTCCTACAGCAATACCTCCAAGACTATTTATGGTAGAAAGGCAATTCTTGGACTAACTTCTTTTAAGTGTTACAGTGTTAAAAGAGTTGTGTGATATTTTACTTCTCAAGAGAACAAAAGAATTAACTTTATTCGTCCATTTATTTTATCAGACTCCATGTGAGTTATGTCAAAAAATAAATAAATAAGAAATGAATAAAATATAATTGATATTCTGCAGGCTACAAAAGTGGGTTGATAAGATACCATTTAAGTCTTATATAATCAGTCAGAAACCAATAAGGACTTTCAAACAGTCACTTCCACAACATCTCAATATATGTCCTCAACTTTTCTTCATTATGCACATATTAGGCCTACACTTAGACTCTAAGTTAAGACTAAGGGATACTTTCCACTGGTATTCCATTAGCATCATACAGTATAAAAACAAATGTGAGAAAAGTGACTCATGATTTTGCAACTTACATATAAATATTCAGATCATATGGAGCCCTGTACAGATGCATCAATGTGTTTGCAATCCATATGGCCTTCATCATCAAGCCAGGAGAGTTGCTGTCAACGATTCTCCTGTATATTTGTCCCAAAGTAGTCAGTGCTTCTTTCCGCACAATTTCCTATAGAAGAATTAAAGTCCTTTATACCTCCTATTATCCCTCACTATTTAAAAATGAAGACAATCAAATTATACATCCACTTCTAAAACATGATGTAGAAGTGAAGATGGTACCAATGACCAGAGAGTTGAAACTGCGACTATTATCATCTGTAAAATAGGCTAGCTCATTCAGTGTCTGGCAATAGGATGTACAGTGAGGGTTTTATTATCAGACAGGGCACGGATTTTTCTCTTCAACACTAGTGTGTCCAGATCATATCTCCCAACCAAAGAGTACTACAGGCTTGCTCTCTGAAAGCAAAGCTTCTTGTATGTGATTATGACCAATCACCCCCATCAAGTACCAAGGATAAAAATACATCAAACTTAATATCCACTATTCCTATCAACTTCGTGGCATGGTGCATAGGCACAGCCATACCTTTACTTGCATAACTGTTCTCATCTCATAACTTCCATCTCCCTTCTTTCTTAGAAGGATGCAATGTGCTATAAAACTAGCAGCATCATCATTCCTGCAGTTAAGTTCTATGTCTGCAGGCTGTACAATCTTCACTGGACACATGTTATTATAATACGAGTATATGACAAACCACTACCTGCTTAATGACCTGTTTTCAATGAACTAAACATTTACTGCGCAAGGCAGACCTGTAGTCACCCTCACATGAAAATTCTGATTCTTAATTACTAAATTCAGCTGATCACCATAGAAAATACAAGTATAGTAACTAAAAGCAAAGCAAATAAAGCACATAGGTAGAGTTGGTCTGAAGATTACTTACATTATTATCACAGGAACTATGCTTCAAAATATCAAGAAGAGCTGAATGCTGAAGTATATCAAGGTTTGTCTTTGTAGCTTTATTTATTGCTTTCACTACACCAAACCTAATTGTGGTTTCACTGTCATACATTCGTTGCTGAAGGATGTGGATTATATCTTCACACAAATCAGGTTGATTGACCAGGAACTTTGGTGCACGTGCAACTAATAATGACCGTCCAAATGATGATGGCTCATTCACACTATATGAGTAAATACAGAAAGCATGTTATATAACATCTTAAATTATATTACTCAGGGTCTGTTATTTCATGAAGTTGTCTTGTTCCATGACAATCTGGATTTGACAGTAGCCCTTTTTTGACATGAAGATAGTCTAGGTTGTGTTTTGGGGATTCCTACATAGGTAGCTTCAAATCAATGCAATCTATCCATAGTTCTTTATAAACTTTGGCCACAACCATTTTTTCTCTATCATTTTCAGTTCGCTCTGCACATTCTTGCTACCATATAAATAAATAAACAGACAAATAAATATATAAATAAGGTGTTTAGAATATATTCATAGAGAGATATTTCAATAAATATAGATTATATAAATATGTAAGGTGTTTAGAATGTATGCACAGAGAGATATACATGGTATAATGATTTTTTAACTGGAAGAGTATATGAGTGAATGATTTTCTGACAAGTTAAATATAGTGAAAGATTTAGTGAGGCATGTGATAAAGTTGGACTGAAATCGCTGATTATGTATCCAGAATAGGAGAAGGTAGAAATCAATGCCAAATGATAGTGAGGTTAAGACTTTCTTGAACTACTGAAGTGTGACTGACAGTCAGAATCTAACAGACAGATGTCTGTGTTTCAACTGTTTAAGGAAACAATAGTTCCATCAGTGAAATGACTGGCTAGAGCCTGGGATATTATTCTTGGTAGGAGCAGAATGTTTCTTTTTGCTGTCTCATTGAGAATTGTTCTGTGGTGCACATGGCGCAATGGTTCTTCCTTTGGACATCAACTGACCAGTGTGCTAAGGTGAACATTTACCTCCATCTCATGCCAAGGTTAACAATGTGCACAGCTTTATTTCCACTCTGTTATACACAGTCATGTCATGGTGCATGGGCAGGGACAGGTTTAACTTTACATGCCATTACTTGTCATTTGTGCAGCAAACTGCACAGCTTACTAACAAAATTAACATCAAATATCCTCATCTTCAGCCCTCTTTATAACTTATCTTTTAGTAAAGAACGTGTTACATACCAATTCTTAAAATCGTTCCAGAGGCGTCTGTATGTAATAGCAAAATTGGAGTTCTCTTCAGAAAACATGTTTGCCAGGAGTGTGAGAGCAATCTTCTTGTTCGAGCTCTCTGTATACCCCAACATGAAGTCCTCCAGCTGATTCCAGACACCAACAAGGAGAGTGGGACAAATGTGATGCAGCTCAAACATCACTTCAAATTCACGGCCTGAAATTCTTGTTTTCATAGGTATGCCATCCTGCTGAAGCCCTCGAAACAGCAGCTATGATATATATATAAGAAATAACCTCACTCTCATATGTTCAAGAAAACCATTGCAAATGTACACAGCAGACATTAATATACATACCATTTTGACAGGAAAATCCAGTGCTCTACTGCATTTTCTTATAACTTTTACTGCTACACGATACAACCCTGGATACTTTACTACATTTTCTTGAAGAATGCTAGAGAGGATTATATCAATTCCTGTATTGGAAGTGTACTTAGAATTACTGATAAAATTCTGCAGGAGCTGCACAACATGCACTTCCACCATGGAAATATTTATCTTAGTACTGCAATAAGAAATCATTGAAATTAAGACAAGTAATGTGAAATATGGTTCACTCTTTCCCATCATGGGCTTATATTCCCAGATAATATATTATCATTAACATACTGAGAAATGAGTACTTGTTTCTTCAACCTACTTTTGTCTGTGAATACAAAGAGAAAAATATGATTTTAAAAAGAGGCACAATTCATAAATAAATTAATGCACCTGTATAATGGAGTGCGAAAAAAAAAGTCCATGAAACATCTAATACACTATTTATAAAATCATCAAAATCATTGACAGTGTCATCAATATTACTAATATCCACGTACCTCTTCTTGCAACTATGCCCAATGTACAGATTTGTAATACTGTTAACTAAAATATTCTCACTGTTACTTCCATACTAACTCCTGATTTACTTCATCAAAAATAGTATATACAGCAGTTGTTTCCATCCTTCCATCTTGAAATGCAGTACCATGGTACCAAACGAGATGTTCCTAGAGGTAACATTCTTAACTTATAGCCAGAAGGTACTCAGTTTAATCTTGGCGAATACATTTACTATTCTGATTTAGGGTTTTCATGGTTTTCTTTGGTCCCTCAAGGCAAATGTCAGGATAGTACATTGATTAGACCATGGCTGCTTTCTTCAAAATTCTTTCTAATTCACTTATCATCTATCATCCTACCATCCACTGCCTCAATAATGCAAAGCATCATTAAGTAACCAACGAAGAAGAACGTACCATTACTTCAAAATAAATTTTGATACTTCTAGACAGAGTAGTTGGTTGAGGTGCTATGCTACAAGCTGGAAGGTCGCGGGTTCAAGTCCCGATGCGGTCATTGGATTTTTTTCAATTGACCTAATCCTTCCAGCCGCATTATGGCCCTGGGGTAGACTCAGCCTCTAACAGAAACGAGTACCAGGAATTAATTAAATAACTTTCCTGTGGAGTAAAGCGTGGCCCTCAACGTATCACAACCCTATGGGCCTTCACGGCCTGTTACATGGATAGCTTTGCTTTACTTAGACATACAGGACTTCTACATGGGAAATACTGAAAATACAAGAAATATATAATAGCTAAATGAATGAAAGAAAGCTTATTCAATGCTGAAAATAATTTAAAATATTATAGACAGCATACACATTTTTGTGGCTGTGGTCACAAGAGGAAGAGTGGGTGAACACATTTATATGCCATTCAACTTCAGGTATTAAGAACAAGAGGGAGAAACAGAGTTGGAGGTTAAAGAAACAGGGTGTAAAATTTGGATTACATTTAATTGGTTCAAGGGTCCAGAGGTGGGCGCTTGTGAATATTTTTATGAAACTTTAGGATCACAAAAGGTGCAGAATTTCTTGACAAGCTGAGACTCCTTGAGTGAGTTAATTTTGAGGAACATTTCAAAGAAACATATCTATACACTTACATAATAAAGCTGCTTGTTGTGGAACACAGACAAAAGACAACAGTTTAGTTACAAACTATTTTTTCTCTTCCTAATCACATTACAGCACTAACTTACCAGACAACCTCACATACTGTCAACAGAAATGTATCATAAATATGTTCCTTGTTCGTGGTATACTCCAGACACATGAACAGTTTACTAAGTATCTCAGTTTTATTGAGGATTTTCAAGAGGCTGACACAGTATTTAAAAGTATTACCATCTGAAGTGCCAAAATATTCCAGTTGCTTCACGAAAAAGTTTAGAAGCACCTAGAAACAGAACACCACAATGCAAATTACACTATAATAGTGGCCTGAAAAGAACAAGGGAGGTTTTAATAGAAACCCAGCTGAAGACTATTCCTGTAGATGAAATTTAACACAAGCCAGCTAGCAATTTTTCATTTACACATACAACATCATTTAATCTACCAAATCCATTAGGCAACACTGACAAGATTATATTATCTTTCAGCTTCTGCAGAACTCAAAGGGCAACAATTTCAGTCAGACACTGAAGTGCACAACTGATTTTAGCAGAAGACTATGTATTTCTATCAGAGAGACATCCAGTGCATGATAGCTTAATGGGGTGCACGTCTTTATGATCATAATGACTTTGAGTAGATGAACTAGACAGATCTGCTGTAATTATCCTTGAGCAGGTTTCTATTCAACTTCCCACTTAACAAACTGGTATCAATGCAGATAACTTCAATTTATGCTACAAAACCAGAGTCTCCCACTTAAAATTCAGTTTCCAGTTCTCCCTCCTTCAGTACTTAATTTATGTTCCAAGCCAATTATCTTTCCCCACTTGAGGATGTTCCAGAACAGGTTCTGAGAAGAATATTTAGATCTACAAAGAGAAAAAAGTTGGCAAATTTATGTATGTATGTATGTATGTATGCATGTATGGATGATGGGTGGGCCACAATCCTGCCCCTGCACTGCGACAAACAATGATCTATTGTGCTTCCCCTTTAATTAGCTCCTTATTAATCCTACACTTCGAACGGCAAATGTAACATTACATAATATTTCTTACATATTCAGTCCCTTATGTTTGATTACGTCAACTTCTATAGAATATTTGTTCCTGGCACAAATATTTAGTCAGTTATGTCTGAGGTGCCTGCAAAAACGCATATGAGTCTTCAGGTAAAGTGTCCATTACCGTCATTTTAACAAAAATTTGAAGTGTCAGTAAGTTCTAGTAAAACTGCCCAATATAACAATTGAGGAAAATCCATTCAGTTGTTCTCAAATTGCTACATGTGTACAGAAAAACAAATGTAGGGATGCTAAGGCACATTTTCGAAACTTTCTGTTGTGAATGTTCCAAAAATTATTGTACAACAAGAGGCTTCACAATTTGCACTCTTCACCTAATATTATTAGGGTAATACCAAGAAGAATAACAGGGGCAAAATACCGTATTTACACATGTATAGGCCGCACATTTTTTGCCAAAAATTCAAGAGGAAAACTGGGGTGCGGCTTATATTCGAAATCACACTTCATTTAAAAAAAATTATATTCATAATTAGTAATACAGGGTGTAATACTCCTGAAATAATATTCCAAAATTATTTTTTCTATAATTTCTGTCTGAAAATTGTGCTGCGGCCTATACACGCACGCGGCCTATACATGCGTAAATACGGTATGTAGCATACAGAGGGGAGGTGAGAAATGCATGCAAAATTTTAGCTGGAAAACCTCAAGACAGCAAGATACTTGGATGGATAACACTAATAGGAAACTCAGAAAAATAGGGTGTGAATTGGTTCATATGGGTCAGGACAAGATCCAGTGACAGGCTACTTTAAAATACAGCAGTAAATATTACACTGTATGAAGTGCAGGAAATTTCTTAACAGCTCAGAAACTTTCACTTCCCAAGAAGGACTCTAAATCAAGAGTTAGTTACCCACAGTTCTCATCAATTTTATTCTTATATTGAGTATTAAGAAAAGAAATACAGATGGAGCTTCCACTACAGTTACAGTGTCAGGTAACTATCACAGCATTTAATCCCTATAGTACATGATTCAAGGAAAGCATGTGTGTAAGGCTGATTTCAGATGGTTTGAAAATCTGCAAAGCAATCAGATTCATATAATAGCTCACCATTAACTCTTTATCATTCCATAGAAATGATCTGTAAGGCAAAAACCGAAGCAGTTGTCCGAGACAGCAAGCCACTGTCATCTTTACAAGTGGGTCTACGTGAGAGAGGAAGTCATGACTTGATAAATGGCGAAACAATGGGATAAATTCATCACAGTTATCTTCTAGATCAGTGCCCTCCTGTTCAAGACTCTGCAGATTCAACAGTAAATTCTGAAAATGTTAGAATACTGCAGTACATATCTGTTCACACAAGGGACATATTCTGGAAAATGCATATATTCAGACCATGTATGACACTGTATCAATTGCAGAGGTTATGTAGCATTAATTTAAATGTGAGGTTACACTGGCAAGCATAAAAATATACCTATGGCCCATTTCAAGGTTATACTCTAATATTTTCCCAGGACTGAAGAAAATCATGAAAAACTCCAGCCATAATAGCTGGAATCCTGGCCAGAACTCAAACTCAGTATCTATAGAATTAAAGTCAAATTCATTACTGCTAAGCTACATTTCTGGCAAATGTACCCAATATCTTTGTGTCACAAGACTGGAAATATGGCTCCTGCATCAAAGAATTCTGAAGCTACAGTGTATAACAAGAAGACAGCAAGTAACTCTGACTGTAATAGATTCATTACATCAAAATTTTATTTTGCAGGATGTTTATTAAAATTTGATATTATATGTTGAGACTAAATATGGAATGTATTCCCAGAAGCCAGGACATTTGGTGCCTCCTGGACATGGTTTCTAGGATTTTTTGAGTCATAAGGAAACATTGTACATATCAGCTACAGAAGGGTGCAGCTATATTTCATACGAATGTCTTCAACGCACACTAAATGGCATTATAACAATATAAAAATTTGAACAGGCTCCTATACCTGCATGATCATTTTCATCTACCAAAAATTTGAACACTGCAGCTTATTGTATACATTAAAAGTGATAGTTTGGAAGAAACTGGCTCTTTTATTATAGTATTTTTCTATATAACATTAGGTTTATGAAATGTACACTGACATCACTTGTTCCTTTTTCTAAAGATATCTCCATGGAAAAACTTGTTAACTTTGTCTCAATATAAAATGATCTGAATATAAAATGACAAACTCTAATGCTCACTTTAAGCCCAGTGATCAGTTCTTTCAAAGGCTGTTCAGCACTTACAGGTAGGCAATCAGGTGGGTAAAGAATTTCACTAGTCATTATAGAATCTGAAAGAAAGCAAAGTGTGTCAATGTTTTGTACATGCATGATATATTATACTGATTTCTATCAGGTGTTTCTCTTATCTACTGATTCCTGTTCACTTTATACTCTTCAAATATTTTATACACATAAGTATCAAAGCTTTATATAAAATTTAATTTAAGTGTACTTAAAGTAGCAATAGTTCTTAATGAATATAAAACCATAAAAAATATGCAGTTCAAATTAAAATCAACCTTTAAGCTAAATTTGTTGTAACATTTATACATTGATTCTTGGAATAGTTAATGACACTTTTTCTACTTCATATGTTATACAGAGTCAAATATTATGAGTTTTCATAATTGTAAGGATGTGGAATATAAAGTCTGTTTATATATCTCTTGAGGATTATTTAATGGAGGTGTTACTGTCTTGGTTACATAGCGTCAGATGGCAGGATGGCCAACAAACCGGAAAGCATCTGGAATGTAGTGGTCATGGCCTAATTGGGATACTGTCCCAGGATTATTCCAACTTACTTAAGAAAACTATCAGTATTGAGCATATATAACATCAGATAGTAGGATTACTGATCAACTGGAAAGGACTTGGAAATAGTCATAGCCTAAGGGGGATACTACTTTGGCATTTCCTGGACAGACTGAGGGAAACCACAAAAAAATTACAATCATGATAGCCAGCATCCCAGCCGAGATTGGAACCGAGAACATTCCTAATACAAGCCTAGAATCTTACTTCTAGCCAACCTGTTTGGTGCCTGTTTTTGAGATCACATAAACACAAACTGAGAAACGCAGGAAAATCACACAAAAAAATATCGAAGTTGTAGGTGGTAAGCTGGTTACCTCAAGAATAAAAACACCACTATACCAAACTCCTCAGCAATATTTATAAAAGATACATAATTTATTGCTGATAGATTAGGGCAATTGCATTACAATCAACGATATAACAATACAATTCTATAACACTGACATAATATGAAATTTGGAATATTTCACGTGCTAACAGTTTTACATAGTATTCAGTTTTCTAAAATTCTAGTTCACGGACTTGAACACGCTGTACTCTCTTTCATACGTGCCTGTGCCTAAGGTTCAGAGCCTTCAGGGCCACCACACTTCATCCACTATCCCGTGCGATCCTGTGGCTCCTTGGTTTCTTACAACCCCCCCTACGCAATACTGAGACTGTAACATGAACTGTGGTCGTACACATGGTTTTCAGTAATAGAAATATGGTCTTCTGGAATGTACAGCCGAGAAGTCTGATGGCTATGTTTAGGAGGTACATGCTGCCTCCTTCTTCAGGGTAGCACAATGGCAATACAAAAAATCCTTGAATGTGTGGTAAGGTTCTCCCAGATGATTACCGTCGCAAGTATACATTTATAGGCATATTAAAAGCCGCCAAATAGGTCGTCCTGAAAAAGTAGGGCCACTTCACTTCGCCTCGGTGCCGGCCTTTACGGTGCAATCCTTGTTATGAAGCAAGAAAAAGGAGAAAGATTTGGGGTTCTTGTGGCGATGACTACGAGACGTTTTGGCGTCTGCATTGTGACGCTGTACAGCCTGAGAGAAGTTTTCCGACATTCCTCCGGGCGTTGACTACGAGACGTACTAGCGTCTGCATTGTGACGCCATACAGCCTGAGAGAAGTTTACCGACGTTCCTCCGAAACGTCCATAAATTTCTACCAGACTTCATGACATTATACCCAAGCTAATGAATATTTTTTAAAAATACTATGATTTGTCTACTGATATATTGGGTTTTCGGACTTTATCCATCGTCCTGGTTTTTAAGATAACTAATAAATACACGACGTTTCGGAAACTGGATCTGTTTCCGTCCTCAGGTGAAGGAAAACACCTATTCTGTTGGGTCCGTTAGAAAGAACTAGCCTCAATCACTGGTCCAGTTTCCGAAACGTCGTGTATTTATTAGTTATCTTAAAAACCAGGACGATGGATAAAGTCCGAAAACCCAATATATCAGTGTGTTATACACCATCGTCAGAATCCTATAGTAACTACTTATGATTTGTCTAGTTTTTCACTTTTATGCACCTGTAAGAATAACGGGTAGTCATTCTTCATCCATGCTTAATATACTTTCACACCAACTCTTTTTCTGACTTTCACCCAAATTGTTTAATTTTGTACGCTTATTTCGTTTTGAACTAACAGGGCGCTGCATTCCAAGATTGCTTTCAGCGATTAGTCGACTCGAATGGACCACTGTCCCATATGAAATGATATGAAATGACATGTGTACGAGGGTCGAGACGGTCGAGACCGTCGAGACCGAATTAATCTCGAGCGATCTCGAGGACTGGATCGCTGGTACTTCAGCAACTTGTGCCATCTGTTGGGAAAAATCGATTATCGTAGTCAACATAGTCGATTGTAATATTTCAGACGAAGTTCTAAAATGCGCAGTAAATAGATTATGTGAATAAAGATGAGGAGGATATTGGACCTACTCTCTTTCCCAGATATTGCATATACAAATTCCCAAACAAAACAAACATTTCAGTACGAATAACACAGCTCTTAAACTTGCGTTTTAAAAAAGTTTTCAGTATGAAGTGGGCTATCGCTATATAGCGGACGGAACGGTGTTCAATTTTCAGTAGAGAATTTAAGAGTGCGGTAATTTATTCATACTTAGTATATTTCAGAGACGAAATCTAATTAAAGATAAGAGTATAAATAATTTAATATACCAACCGTAGGCTCCGCCAGTCACAGTGGGAGATGACAATAGGTTGCAGAGCCCAGCAATTGGTCGCAAATAAGTGCTTTGGAAAATGTTCTGTACGCTCAGCAGAATATCGTAAGAGAGTTAGGCCCATCTGCACTTTCAGTAAGAATGTGATTCAACAAAAAGATGAAGTGATAAGTGAATATTATCACCGCACATTATATACATCGAAGAAGTTGGCAGCCACTCCTCGGCTTTCGCCCCAAGAGGTAAAGACACATGGTCAGCTGTTGTTAAAGCGTGGATGACCAGGTAGTCGTGGGTTAAAAATGTGCAGAGTCTAGTGTTAATGACGGAATAATGGGAACATCTCAGGATACATTCTTGGATATAATTCTGTTACCATTTAGCCAGTGAAGTCCAATGAGATTATGAACGTCAGGCTCATCAAACATTTTAACAACTGCTGTATGCTGGCAAAATCCACTAGGATATTTAGTTTTACGCTAGCACTCCAAGCGTTATGGAACCATAAAAATGGTATGACAGTCCATATATGTCAGTTTTCCAACTCTAATCGTGCTGTCAATAAATCTATTAGATATTACATAACCTCAGTAGTTTTTACAGTGGTTCAACAAATGCTGCTCAGTTCCCCATTCTGCCAACTGTCCAGACATTTCTCCAAAAGAGAAACCATACCTACTCAGACCATTTTAATCGCTCTAAACTAGTCAGCCTCATATCATGTAACACACAAGGCAAAATATTGTCCCTTATATTATACAGTATGTAAACAAGATGTGTTATAATCTTCAGATGGATTGTTTAACATTTATGGGGAAACCAGTGACAGGGGAAAGATTAACAAAGAAATTAAAACTTTCTTGGACTCATAAACATTGATTTTTACTTGTCACAAAGACAAGTGGGATTTTTGTTTCCTAGAAATTACTAAGTCCATGGTGAATGGTTTTCCTTGATAGTGATACTGTTGAATAAGCAATTACTCATTTTGAAGGTTAACACATTTGGAACCTGTTTTTTAGATCCATTTTAATATTTTTCTCCCGTCTGCAACCGGTTCTGACGTTTGGTTTTGTTCCCATATACAAAGCCATTGCATAATATATAAACTGGTCATTGAATCTTTGCACCATATAAAAAAATGTTTACTAAATGCAAGACTCTTGCAAGTTATGAACGTTAGAACTTTGGTCTTGTCATATTGCTTAAATTTCCATTTTGAATATTTGTCAATTATATGATTTGTATAATTCTTTGAAAATGTTGAAAATTTAAAACACCTATGGCAAACAGTAACAAATCAAATCAACATTGATAAAAAATTCAGAGCAGATTAAATTCATGGAATACTTGCTGCTATTTAGAGTATATCTTTTGTCTTCCTATCTCCTATTTCAAAAACTGTAAATTTAATTGTTTTGTATGAGGGTAAAACATGATGTTACACCAAGGGAAGAGCATTGATTTTGTGTGTCTGAGAACAGAGGGCTGAAAATTGTGGATGTAAAAGAGAGGCAGTAAAGGGAGACTGGGGAAAGCGCATAATGATGAGCATTGTACTTTTGACCTCACCAAATACTGTTAGGATGATGAAGTCATGGTGTATAAGATGGCTTCCCATGGCCTATAGCACACATGGGAGTGATGAATATATGAAATGAAGAAAATACTTAGAAGACAGGATTGATCTGGTCTGGATAAGTTATAGGGATGGGCACTTGTGTACATGGTAATTAACCTTTGGGTTTCATGAAAGGTGGGGAATATCATGATTAGCTGAGGGACTGTCGGATTATCAAGAGAAACTGTACTGGAATTAGTTATGTGGTTTGTTGTCATTTGACAGAACATGTATTTTCGTGTACAGGTCACCAACATTCTTCGTGCCAATGAGCATACACAGGAGTTTACCACAACTGGCTCTGTCAAATCATATGATTCAAATCAACTTTCATCGAACAACCCTATTGAAGATACAAGGACTGAGGCACAATGTCTATTAACAAAAGGTGAGCAGATTTAAAGTCAGCACTGTGACAACAGGAATAACAGTACTGGCATAATTTCCTCTAATATATAAACTGTAGTTTGTTGTTTAGAACATATGTAAAAAGTAAAGTAAAGGTATCCCTGTAACAGGCCGTGGAGGCCCATAGGGTAACATGGAATTGCGTTTCAAGGTTGCAGCAAAATTTCTATGCTACAACAGTAGTAGGGCCACAACCATTTCAGTGGGCTTAAACGTTTTGTGAGGCTTCTAACTTGAACCTCTTGTTACATTTCCATTTGCAATAGAATCAGTTTTGACCACTGCATTCTTCGGTTTTTGGTTAATGTAACCATACCTTTACAGTACACTTACTGTGGCAGTTTATTATTTAAGAAATATATATAGATATTTATATATTTTTAATTACCATTAAGCATGTAAGCAAACTTATGTTCTGTGTACTTTTCCACCTACAATGTGTCTATGAAATGTAGCCCAAGCTTCAGACATTAATGTTTGGAAAACCATATCTCAGCCAGTCTTATACTCTATGAGAAAATGCAGTGTATATTTTTCTGTTATATGCGTGTGGTGATTTTGCTCTGCAACAGAATGGTCTGTTTATACAGTAAAGCTGGCAGTGCAGCACTGTAAATAGAGAGCTGAATTGGTAGGGGCAGACTTATTCCATGGCCTTGAAGCATGTAATTTCATGACAGCTACTATAGTCCTCACATTAACCATTATAATTCCTGTATTGTTAGTCATCTCACATGCAACTTGACTTTTAAAACTTCTAAACGTTTCAAACCTTAAAATCTCTTTTACATCACTTGTGCATTCACACTACATGTTTCAACCAGCATTGGTCATCTTCAGATGTCTCTAAAATTGCTGAGGAAATTGCCATGCTACTCTGTAAGTTCAGTTTGTGGGGTAAGCCCTTGCCTGTGTGCCCATGTGTCCTGTGGTGATGGGTAGTTCCTCTTATTATGTCATGTGTGGCTGTTATGAAGGTTTTAAAAATGAAGTTGCATGTGAGACAACTAATAAAACAGGAATAAATAAGTGATGTGCAACAGGATGCTATAATACAGTATTATAAAACATTATAACTTACATAATAGAACTGATCAGTATATTGTAAAGTTGTACCAAAAACTGTCATTAGTGTGATATTTTTCAACATAAAGTGTATTGGCTACATATAAGTTGTCATTTTTACCCATCATGGACCAAAATTGAATTTTACTAAGGACTAGCAAAAGTAGGGGGTCACACAGTAGTGTAGTTGGTTGAGGGGCTATGCTACAAGCCAGAAGGTCGTGGGTTCAAGCCCCGATGAGGTCATTGAATTGTTTTCAATTGACCTAATCCTTCCAGCCGCACTATGGCCCTGGGGTCAACTCAGCCTCTAACAGAAATTAGTACCAGGAATTAATTAAATAATTTTCCTGGGGAGTAAAGCACGGCCAGCACGTGTAAGGCTGACAACCTTACCGCCATCTTTGAGCCGATTGTCTAGATAATGTGCGACCCTCGTCTCAACCCTATTGGCCTTCACGGCCTGGTACAGGGATAGCTTTACTTTACTTTAGTAGCAAAAGTATCCATTCTTAATTCAGATTTTTCTTAAAGCAAACCATATTGAATTTACTGTGGCAGTTTTATGACTGTATGTACCTGTTGACTGGTTTCCTGTTATTTACCACAGTGGTGCCTTCTAATGGTAGACCTGGAAATAAAATCTGTGCCATCTGTGAAACAGGCATGATCATAGATCACTTTTCCACTGTACAGTCAGATATAATTGCCCAAAAGTGGACCAGAGGCGCTGAAATGGATAATACTGCAAAAAAGATTTTTGTATAAGATTAAAACTCTTGATCTCTACCTATATCAGAGAATTCAGTTGTGTTCTTTGACATAAAAATATAGGTCCCAAAGATCCTACCTCATGTTCTTGACCTGAGTTCACACACATTTGTGATTCCACATTTTGTGTATTAATATCTGATACCGAAACTACCGCTAAATCAAAACACTTCTTTGTTGAAGTGAGTGCTATACCTATTGTATGACTTCCTGTGAAGAAATAAATACCGTATCACTGTATGGACAGTAGCTTTTAGTCACTCAATGTTTCATTTGGTACGCTGGTATGTTATTTAGATTGTAACTAAGGCTGTATTAATCTCTTATTCATTTCTTCTTATGAATAGGTCTATTACTGGGAGTGTTCGATGGACATGGTGGGGCATCATGTGCCCAAGTAATTGCAAAGAGACTTTTTCACTACATCACTGCCTGTTTGCTTCCACCAGACATTCTTCATAAATACCTCAATGCTTTGGAAAATAATGAGACTATGGAACTTCTTGATGTATATAATGACAAGGTAGAATTAGTAGATGAACTAAAGATTTTGTATGAAGCAAGTTTCAAAACGTTTGTTAAAGAACTGTCTCAAATTAAGGATAATCAAAGAGATTTTCAAATGAAAGAAGCAATGGAAAAAGCATTCCTTCGACTGGATTATGACTTGTCTAAAGAGGCTTTATATAAGAATGATGGAAAAGTAAACATGAAAACTTTGTCTGTAGCGATGTCAGGTGCAGTAGCCTGTGTTGCACATATTGATGGGCCCCACTTACACATAGCTAGTATTGGAGATTGTCAGAGTGTTCTGGGAGTGCTCACTGATGACAACACATGGACTGCCAAGAAACTGACAACAGAACATAACACAGATAATCAAGAGGAAATTGAAAGAATTTTCAAGGAACATCCAAACAATGAAAGAGATACAGTCATTAAAATGGAGCGACTCCTGGGACAGCTGGCCCCTCTTAGAGCATTTGGAGATTTCAGATACAAGTGGAACAAAAGCACACTGAGCAGCACTGTGCTCCCTCATTATGGAGAGAGTGTAATTCCTCCAAATTACTACACACCACCATATCTTACAGCACGTCCTGAAGTGAAACACCACCGGCTCACTCCTAGGGACAAGTTCTTAGTGATAGCATCAGATGGGCTGTGGGACCTGGTGTCACCCTTGCAAGTGGTACGTCTAGTAGGAGAACATATGAGTGGAAAAGTAACACTCAGCCCATTTAGACTTCCTCGCAAGGACATGCGCATTTCTGACATCAATAACATGTTGCTTCAGCGTAAAGAGGGATTGAAGATGAAACCTATTGACAGGAATGCAGCAACCCACTTAATGAGAAATGCTTTGGGTGGCACGGAGTATGGCATTGATCATGTAAAACTGTCTCAGTTGTTGTCAATGCCACAGGAATTAGTCAGGGTGTTCAGGGATGATATAACTATTACAGTCACATACTTTGACTCAGAATATTTACGGCATTGCCCCCCATAAATGCTTTGATAGAGTAGTGTAAATATAGTTATTGTACATACACACAATAGTGTAGTAACTTATTGTCTCTCAGTTCATAAATGACATACTTTGTCATGAATCCTTCCAGATGTTTTATATATATACAGGATTAATGTAATTTTGAAGATAATGTACTCTCATAATTTTGAGAAACTGAATTTCTGGTGACAAAATGATGGCCACTTTGGCTCTTGAAAGAGTTCCAAATTACATAATTTTTGTAAATTACTGTTTAATAGAATGTAGTCTTCACTTCATACTTCTGAAAAAGTTATAGATACAATGCCCAAACCATGGGTCAGAGTCCAATGGCCATCATCTTCATCACCAATCTGTGGAGCTCTTAATTATATACAATTGTCAACTGACTCTCTGGAGCAATCTTTCTTGAGAAAATTAATGGAGCACAAGAGTTCATAAGGGCCACAAATGGACTGTATCCAGAGTTAGGTGAATCATGTTCACATCTTCACCTTTATTTTTAATATCTTCCCATCAGGTTGCTTGTTCAAAATTTCTTGTCTCTCACATATGTGCTTCATGCCCCACCTAAGAGTAGATTATTAAGTTACTTAATTAGCACTTTTGTCCAACTTCTTGTTATTCCCTTTTACTTAGGTTCAGATGTTTTTCTCAGTATCTTGTTTCAGACACTGTCAATTTATGTTCTTCCTTTAGTGTGAGACCAAGGGAAGAAGATATTCTCAACTGAAGAGTAGAAAGCATTCCCACAATTGTATTTGTTCTTATAACTTATTTCTGATTTGTTCCTGTGATTCAAAAATATTTTGACCTTGCTGAAATGTTAAGGAATTTATTAGCTACCTTTATGTCATGATTTTTTACTTTATCTCCTGAAGAGACATGGATATATGAGTATAGCATTCTATGTTTACTTCTAGACCAACCTCCATTCTAATGTCTAACAATTTCTGTGCTCTCACCCAATAAGTTAACATCATCAGCACAGACCAAACACGGACTTTCTTTGACCTATCTCATGATGTACATGAAGAAAGTTGATAAGTGGTGATAATAAAATATTTCATTTCAACCATTCTGAATGGGAAGTGCAACAGATCTGTGCAGGCTTTGCTACAAGTTTCTCTGTGTAAAACACATTTTTAACATACTTTCATAATTTTGAAAACAAATAAAAGGAGGCATATATCACATTGCTCTGTGTTTCCCCTCCACTCTTGTTCTTGGGCAACAGCCTAGGAACAACTAATAGGAGGTGAGGGCCAGCAGCAGTTTACCCAACCTGATCCAGCCTTGTGTCTGTGTGTTCCCTGTAACCTCACTGCTATGCAGCAGCTCAGTAAAGACATCCCCATGGCAACAAATACACACACAACAACAGAACTGCTGCATTCGGTGTGTTCTGTGCTGTCCGCATTGGATCAAATACTCGATATGTAGTGAAAGGAAAGTAGATTAGTTCTTCCCATGACTTCTTGTAATTAGTGTAAGTAGTTTTGTGGATATACCAGATTCAGTGAGAATGGTGTACAATAGTTCTGTCCTTAGTTACAGGTTACTCGATGTCTATCTCACTCTACTCCAGTTTCCTTTTTAGCAGCTGACGAATTGCAGAATGTCTGATCAAGAGTTGACCTATCACACCAAAATCAACACCGAGGATCTCCAGTTATTTAGTCTACATTAAAAAATTAAGCTTAAGAGAACAATGGTAGAAAGCTGTATGAAGTTAACAGAAAGAATGTCTCAACCACCCTTTTTGTAAGTGGGTACAAGGGTATAGTAGATTCTTTCCAATGCTATATTAATGCTTTCTTAATCCAGACTGAATGAGTAAATTTGCAGATCTCGGACTGTAATGTTTTAATTCCTTTGATAAGTTCTGACAGAATTTGGTTAATAACTTACAATTTATGACTCTTCAATTTTCAACCCAAAAGAACTAGACTCGGGTATTAGTCTGCCCAATAACATAAACCCCATAGTGTACAGATGTAATTTTATCCATCTACTTAAGATACTGTGGGAATCTTCAAGCAGGTTAACCATTCTCATCATTTACAAAGGTCAAGTTTAATTATTTTTCTTAAATCATTTGTGTCTCTAATATCATTTTTGAAGAGTTCTATCTTCTAGGATATGTCATGTGTAGTGTGGTGGAAGTCAACTGAGATTTCAAAGGAACATTTACCTTCATCTTCAGGGTTGAAAAGTAAGCCATGCAAGACACCAGCATGAAGTAAAGCTCTGCTTCTTGCTTGCTTCATGATTGGCATACTCTTCAAGCATGGAGGTGATATGTTCCTCTGAAACGTTGACTTTCACCAGACTACATAGCATTATGTCTTGCAAGACAGAATTATTCAGTCACTGCTGTGAGAAACTCAAATCCTGCAATAAAGTGTCAACTAGTTTTCATATCTTACATTGTTACCATCACCATTGTACATATTGATGAAAATAAACCTAAACTAAAATCCTACATCACATTTGTAAACTATATGATTCTCTTAACTGTTTAGGTCCTGGAATGGACCACAAATCTTCAGACTACATTTAGACCAAATACAGATTTAATAATAATAATAAGTGCTATAATGAAGTTTTTGGTGACTGTAAAGGCTTGTAGGATAATTGCAAGTAAATCATTACACTTAACAAGTTTAAATATCTTAAAACCTACCTGTAAAATATTTTGCTAGTGCATATAATTCTAAGATACTACCTGAACCCAGCATAACACATGCTGGACTAGCAGATCTTAAAAGGACATTAATTAAATATCAATGTATTTCATTTATTTATATAGTATCTATATTTTATTTTATTCCATGCATTCACTTATGACTCAAATGGATTAACATACCACACCATGAAGAAAGCAGTCTTCTGGGATGTGGCACCATGTAGATGTGGTGTTAACCGAAGTTTTGGAGGAACAAAACGTCGGTTAACACATCTATACGGTGCCACATCCCAGAAGACTGCTTTCTTCATAGTCACCGCCGGGAAAACCTTAAATCTTACATATCACAGCATGTTATCCAGTTGTTTAATTACTGCAGTCATGCACCCTTGGTTTGATTGATTTTCATGATGTTTTGTTGTTGCTTCAGCAGAACAGAAAATATAAAGTTGTCCATATCCTGGCATATGTGCCTCATTTGGATATAGCAATAATGCCAGATGGTAAATCTGGCCATGTATCTGGAAACAGTATGAACCACTTCCAGGTAGCAATTTAATGTCCTTGCCCATTGATGAAAATGACATTGCTGAGTTATACTCTAGTTTTTTCTTTGCATGTATCATCTGTAAGCAGCTCTTGTAATAGAGCTGTCAAGTGGCACCTTGACAGCATTCCCATGAACAAATTCCAACTGGTTAGCAGTGGAAACATACTTAAGCGTTTGAGAGATCTTTCTATTCTTGTCAAAGAACAGCAAATTTCATTAAAAACACCAGTGTAATGTATGGACCGCTGCTTCGTGGATTACATACTCCATACACAGAACTAAGTACTTTTAATCAGTGCTTTGTTTCTACAGAAAGAAACGTGCTCTTACATAAGACAAGGGAAAGACCAACACTTTTCACTGAAAATACCTTAAAGTATTAAAACATCTTTTTAGAAACACAGATAATGAAAAACAGTATTAATAACAAGAAGTTCTGGGAAGGATTTGTGATACCTATTTTCCTTCTGATAAAGCTAGCAAGCACTATAAATTAATAATTATAGAATCTAGTGAATCTTCTGTATATAATTTCCATTACTACAAATCCTAACATATTTTTCATATAAAACTTCAACGTTTCACATCGTCACCATGGTTGCAATTGTTAACACACAAAAAATGTTTCTTGCAAGATATCTCCATACAAAGTTTCACTCCTTACCTCCAATTGCTCATTCATTATTACCATAAAATTGAAGGTGAAATAGACATTCCATATGACCATTTTGTTTCACATTAGACAAGTGATATAAAACTATGATGATAAACTGCAGGTAGTGATGGTAGTGTCACTTTAACTTTACATGTAATATCAAAGGGGGCAGACTCACTGACATGAAGAAATTGTAAAGTAGATTACAAATTAAAGCACTCTCGGGAGTGTTTCATAAGTGACATCTGTCACGTTTTTATGATCCTTATCCCCATGTCTAGATAGGTAAGTATAAACCTAATATTTTGCCTGCTCTGGTCCAGGAAAGTTGTGCATTACTAGTGGAACTGGCAACGACTACAAACAGATAAATGCTGATACTTAAAGTAAATCATGTAACTGAACATCTGTAGATTATGGTTATCACAACACTGAAGTCAATGCTTTGGGTCTGAACATGGCTGGAGACAAGGACATGTGCAAGAAATCTGTTTTGGAGTGTCTTTCCAGTGCATTTATTTGCCTTTGGACCTGGAAACACTAATAGTTCGAGGGTAACACCCCACAGGAAGTGGGAAAGTGTTCCTGATGGATGGTGGCAATAGAAAGTTCATAAAAACCCCCAAACTGTGGGCTGCACCTTTGCCTTGATTAGCTTGAGACCAAATGTAACAGTTGTAATGACTTTCCTTCTGCCATTTTCAGGGCTCAGTGCTTGATCCAACAGGTATATTTAAAAACAAACATGATCTTATGTAATTTTAATATGTCAATTATGGACACATTAGGAAATATCTGGATCCTTAACACTGTTAACAATAAAATGGAAAAAGTTATTTAATGAGGAACTTCATATTTGTACTCTTGTTAAAGCAAGTGAATGGGAACATGGAATGTATACAATATTCTGGTTAGAAGATCTGAGGGGAGAAGTCAATTTTGGAGATTTGGCATATATGGGAATACAGTACTAAAATAAGATGTTAAAGCTTAGATTGGATTGAACCAAGTCAAGAAAAGAACTAGACTTACTGAACATGGTAAACTTATGAAGACCCTGCAGCATGGCATTACAGGAATGTTCACTGTTCTTTTTCTTAACTGATTCACCAATGCAGTACACATGGCACTGACTTACTGACAATACAGCGGCCTCCGTAGTCTAGGGGTAACGTTCCCACCTCATGACTCAAGGTACGCGGGTTCAAACCAGGTGGAGGTCGTGGAATTTTTAAGGGCGGAAAAATTCAGAGAACAAGTCCTCCGGGAGGGACTTTAAGCCGTGGGTACCGTGTCATAGCTTTACGGCATGTAAAAGAACCTCATGCCTCAAGGAGGTCTCTGAGCCAAATTACAAGGACGTTTCCCGCCCAACAATAGTCTCTAACACCTCTGGTAGATGGGGGAAGCATCTAGATACCATTGAGCTAGTAGAGGCTGAACTCGCTGGCTGAGTCGGGACTGATGGCACGCACCAGTATCGGTAGGGGTATAGAGACTGGTAGAATATCACGGGGACGTACAATAGACCACTGGTCACGGTGCATGGGGAAACCCACCCCCTCCAATAATAACAATAATAATAATAATAATAATAATACTGACAATACAATTACTTCAAGTTGCCAACCTATTACATACATTAGCTTCTGACTTCAGGCAGTGATTTTAGACCTAGTCTTCAGGCTGACATGAGAAGTATAGGCAAAAAGAAGCAGAGCAGTGGCTTCAGCTGCATCATGGAAAGGAGGGTAAAGCATTGTAACTAGGGCCTTGTAGGGCCGCACCATAGCTCAAGTGGTTAATCACTGGCTTCCCACCGCAGCGGCCCGGGTTCAATCCCAGGTCTGGTCAAGTGAGATTTGTGGTGGACAAAGTGACGCTGGGGCAGGTTTTCTCCGAGTACTTCAGTTTCCCCTGCTAATTTTCATTCCACCAATTGCTCCACAATCACCCTCACCTATCATCTGGGGCTGGTACAATAGGCCAGAAGTGGCCGCAGTACAAGGGACTTAGTCCCACCCCACTAGCAACAAAAAAAAGGGGGGGGGGCCTTGTAGCTCACACCTTACAATTCTTATCTGTTAGTGGAATCAACCAAATCCACTGTACATTCTGTTGAGAATGATCAGGTTTAAAGACATGAACAATGCATATATCAAATTCAGGGTGGCAATTAATTCTCTCCCATTTCCAAGGGAATCATTGGTATATTCTCCAAAACACCGATGTTGTGTCTTCCAATCAAACATCTTCCCCACTGTGGATATCACAATTTCTTGTGCAGTATCATTTCTATCCCCATACCATTCATAATAGTCATGGATCATAGAATATGGAAGATCGGTGATGTCCTGCAGTGCAATAAAATGAAGTGGCTGGGGGTTAAACTAGAGTTTTATTCACTTCAGTCTTCTTTCACTAAAGCAAAATTATTTATTGCTATTGTATATACAGAAGCAGAGTACTGTACACAAATGATCTTTTTTAAATGCTGTTTTAAAATTAGGGCAAAAATAAAGCACTCATGTTGATAGTGATGTGTTAATTCAATCTGCTGTTCTATCTTACCATAGAATATTATAGTAACATTCCTCCCAGTGCACAAGGGATTCTCAACAAGCTGGCATGTCTGCTAAAATATACGATTTAAACATGAACGTGCCTGTTTTTATGATGTAATCAGTAGTCAAATGACCATCTGTAGTAAGGTGATATATATATATAAAATACCACTCATAACAATACAAAAAGAAATCATGAAGTTATTATAATAAAAATGACATGAAAGAATCTTTATACACATATATATATATATACCATGTTGAAGTGTTATTACCTTTGTCACCCAACATGAAATTTTGCCATTATAAAGTACTATTTTGTAATTTGTATACATGCAGTATTATACAATGTTTGTGGCTTTCTGGATTTGAGTGAAACGTATAATGGAACGTTGATAAATTACAAGACAGTGGTCCATAATTAATACTATGTACATGTTTCCATTTGTTTACAGCTGACTGCAATGCTTTTAAGTATCCATATGAGAAAACAAAAAGAAAAACATGCACATTATTCACTAATTAAACATGTACCATCTGGACCAGCCACACTGCTTTATAAGCAATGTGAGTGTCTGCAAAAAATGTGTAGTATTGAAAAGGATGATATTACAGAGGAGGAACCAGTCACATAATAAACAGTTATCCCTCTTGACCAAAATCTTCTTTGAATTTTTCTAGTTTTGCCATATCTTCATCATTCACTGTGGGTTTTGAAGTGGCAAGCGACCGCATCATGTCACTCTGTTAACAAGGAAAACCATTTTAGTGAATAGTCAGAGGAAACTATCAGCTACTCAAGGACTATGCTCTTGTAATTAGTAAATCATACTGTAGTCTCGGGGGCATGCGGTTGCGTACTTGGTTAAGGCACTATGCTATAAGCTGGAAGGTGGCGGCTTCAATTTCCAATGAGGTCATTTGATTTTATCAACTGACCTAATTCTTCCAGCTGCACAATGACCCTGGGGTCAACTCAGCCTTTAACAGAAATGAGTGCCAGGAATCTTCCTGGGGGTAAAGAATGACCGGCATGTAAGGCTGACAACCTCATCACCATGTATGAACAGTCTAGAAAATGTGGGAGCTTCAATGTCACACAACCCTATGGGCCTCCATGGCCTGTTCCAGGGATAGTTTTACCTTCTTTTTTACAGCAGTTTCATTCCAGCAATGAAGGGAACAATTTTTAGATCCTCCTGTATAATTAAATGACTACTCTACTTACCGTCTACCATCTGCCTACCTACCTAACTCCATGGAGGAGTAGAATCCTTCTTGAAGAACTGTTAGTTGCTTAGCTAGTTAATAAATTCCCTTCTTATATAAAACTTACCGGTTCATTACTATATTCATTAAAGCCCATCACTGGATTCTATCCAGTCCTCACTCTCACAACTTATTTCTCTCATTCCCCCATGCATGATACATGTCCATCTCACATTTCTTCATTTAATTGCCTTAACAATGTTATGTGAAGAGTATAAATTCTGAAGCCCTCGTGTGGCTTTCTTCAATTCTTTGTCTTTTCATCTCTCCCAGGTCCTCACCACTTTGTTCTCAAACACCATGGATCTATGTTCTTCCTTCAGGGTGAGAGACCAAGTTTCACACCCATATCACCAATTCTGTTCAACTTGTACAGCGAATGCCTTACCAAGGAAGCTCTGGATGGGCTCGGAGACTTCAAAGTAGGAGGGCAAATTATTCAAACTGTGAAATATGCAGATGACCTTGTGTTAATGGCTAAGGAAGAAACTGTGCTACAGGGCACGATTGATAGACTAATTGAAATCGGAAGGTGCTATGGCATGGAAATGAATGTGGAGAAAACAAAAGTAATGAAAATTTCGAGACAACCAACCCCAGTCACAATAAAGATAGACCAAAAACAACTGGAGAATGTGAAGTGTTTTAAATATTTGGGTAGCTTGTTAACAGATGATGGAAGGTGTACTTGTGAAATTAAATCCAGGATTGCCATGGCAAAAGCTGCATTTAGCAAGAAGAAGAATCTTTTTACCAGCAAATTGGACTTAAATTTGAGGAAGAAACTAGTGAAATGCTACATTTGGAGCATAGCTCTGTATGGGGCTGAAACATGGACACTTAGGGCAGTAGATGAGAAACATCTGGAAAGTTTCGAAATGTGTTGGAGAAGGATTGATAGGTTAGATCAGTTGGACCGATTATGTGAGAAATGAAGAAGTGTTAATTAGAGTCAGTGAGCAGAGGAATATCCTACATGAAATAAGAAAACGGAAGGCTAATTGGATTGGTCATGTTTTACGCAGAAACTGCCTTCTAAAAGAAGTTATCGAAGGAAAGATAGATGGGTGGATAGAAGTGAGAAGAAGACGTAAGAAGATGCTGGATGACCTTGGGGACAGAAGAGGATACTGTCATTTGAAGGAGAAAGCTCTAGATCGCATTAAGTGGAGGAATTGTTTTGGAAGAGACTGTGGACATGTCGTCTTGACAGATTACTGATGATGATGATGATGATAAAGAACATACTAAACCCTTGAGTAAAGGTAAAGTTGTCCCTGTGCTTAATTAATGAAGCACCACACCATAAAGATGTATGGAAAATGGAAGTATAGCTCCACCATTCTAGACCTTGGCGCTAGATGTAGGTAGGTGGTTACCCTCACATGCCAGCCACTTTAGCCCTTGGGAAAGAGCCCCCAGTACCTATTGGACAGGAGCCTGTGTGGGCCCTATAGCCATGAATGCTGTGGAATACAGAAAAATTTCTTGCCCCAGCCAGAAATCAAACTCTGGCCATCCAGCCTGTAGCCTGTCACTATAATGAACTGTCCCAGCTTGTCAACCCCTTGAATATTATGACTGAAATTCCCAGACACATCCTAGGAGTCTTTTAAATGCAACAATGCATTATTTTCATTATAAATTAATATTTTTTTTTACTTTTTTTTTTTTTTTATTATGGAACTAAAAGTACATCAGAAAGCATTAATCTTTCCTCATGCATTCTATTGCTCATTTCTCACTAAAACTATAGTTTGCATCATTTATAATTACCTATTACTTATGTCATTTAACAAATGCTTTTGCAGCAGAGAAAGCATACCTTCCATGTTGCCCCACACTGCCACAGACTTGGTCTTCAGTTTGTGAAGAAAGAAGAGATAATGCAGAGTATAAACTAAGTAACAAGAGTGTCAAATGTGGGAACCAGGCTAACGACAAACTGTACACCATTTATTATAGTTCTGTCTTACTATCTGCTGATATTATGTAACATACACTTAAGTTTCTCCATTTGTTTCCAGATCAACATCTTTGCTAGCGTCTAACCCTTCCGCGCGGTCATTTAAATTCCGCGGCCGTCTCTCCGGTGGTAATATATNCTAATAACCTTTCTGCACTTTATGTTTTTATTTATCAAATTAACATCAGCACAGAGGAGTAGCTGATATGATCATATCATTTCAGTCCCACTCTTGACATCTACTTTAGTCCCAATTTACCAACATTTGGACTGAAGAACATCAGATGAACACTCACCATTGTAACTGGTGGCTCAAATAGCTTATCACCCTCCACATCCATCCACGTCATTTCAATAGCCCCAGGGCATCCAGGTGAGCAAGGTGTAACAAGGTCATCTACAATGATATTAGGATCTGTGCGAGATGGCCCCCGGACACGCCGGAAATGGGTAGCAGTTTGAACTTTTCTTACAGGCTGCATCAATGCATCTCGTACCACAATACTAATATCAGCACCAGAATACCTGTTTCAAAGAAGCACAAATTCCATCAGTTATTTATCAATGGCTCCACAACCCTTTGTTTGGCCCTGGCCTCTTCTTCAGTTTCTTAATCTTTTTTTGCACGGACGGTAGGACCCTTGGACATTACCTACACACATGACAACACAAACACAGAATAAACACAGACACCCATGCCTTGGGTGGGATTCAAACCCATGAAAACATGTATGTCACAGAAGCAGTCATGGACAACTTACAAGGAGTGGTCCCCAATCTGATGTGCACACGCATGCATGCAAACACAAGGCTACCAATCGCCTTCCGTAAAAATCTGCACATTACAAAATGTTACAAAGCGCATGAGAAATGGAATATGAAGATGAGACTTGGTTTCAACTGGCTAAGAACAGGACACAAAAATCAAATTAGGTGACCAAGGTAATGAACCCCTGGGATCCATAAGGGCTGGGAATTTCTTAATCAAGCAAACATTATCAACTTTTCAAGAAAGATTCTGCACTTGGTGAATATAAAGTAGCTTCTGTGTCCAAGCACAATGTCAAGAATGTGGAGAGATGTGCAAATGCATTCTAAACTTTGCTTCAAAATGAAGGAGAGTGATCACATTCCCAGAGAAAAGAGACCCCAGTACCCAATGGACAGGAAGCTAGGTCAATCTAAGATATCAGGCAAAGAATAACCACTACTCAGTATCTTGTAAGAATGTGCAAGGCTTTAAGTGAATGTATATTTGCACAGTCATGACTGTAAAGGAGAGAATTTAATGCAACATATCAATTCCCCTACATTTAAATCCATTATTAAAAGAATCAATTCCAAGTCTGAATGCATTGGACAAAACATGTCCTTTTGTAGTTTAAATATATGTTATTTTTTTTTTTTTTTATGTTTAAGCCCAAGGGAATTATTACATTTAACAAAAAATTGTCATACCAGAAAAGCATGTGCCATGTTTGAAAGTTATATCTTTTTTTGACTTCAAATAAATAAAGATTATATTCTCAAAATGTTTCAAATTCAAACCCTATGCAGTCTTGATACAGTACGTACACATGTCTAAATGGTGTGTAATGAGTCAGGGGGGGCTTAGTATCGAGCTGAGATACAGTGAACACTGCTCAATATTGCACTGCAAAGAAGCATAAATTCCTTTTCCTTGAATTCTGTTAAATGTATATATCAATATTTGAAAATGTTTAAGTCTGAGTTATAGATTATAATTTGATTATATAAAGTATCAATTTATTTACATGATGAGCTATTTTTGAGTAAGCTGAAGTACATTTTGAATTTTGCGTAAAGTAGGAATTATAGTAAACTAACAGACTGGACCTTTCTAACTCAGTCTAATGTGTGAAGGTCCTGTACCAGTGTTGTCACTTTACTCTCATCCAATATACATACCCTTCTGTGTTCTTGGCCAGCTTTCTGAGATCCTCTTCTGTGAGTGTGTGTGCTGTATTTTCCAAATGCAACCTGAACATTGTGAGTCTGCCATGTTCCTCAGGAAGAGGAATGTAAATTCTCTTTTCAAATCTTCTTCGAATAGCAGCATCTAATACCCAAGGGATGTTAGTAGCCCCCAAAACTAGTATGCCATCATTATCACTGCCAACACCTACAGAGAATGGAAAAGAAAAAGTTCCTTCACAGTCCCTCAACTATATTGCAGTGTAGCAGCTGTTGGTGTCTGAAATTACTGTACTGCTGCAATCACCCGTGGAAATAATGTCATCTTTTATTTAGCACATTCATACCAGGTGGCTTAGTGTCTGTACCAGCCAGCTACTTTGCAGCAGAACACACTGCAGTACACTTTCTTCAAAGAACTGTAACATGCATTCGATCTACTAGTGTGACATCTCACGCCATCTATCTAGCTGATTTTAAATTTCTGTGCTCATCTTGCAAGATGTCTAGCAGTGACATCTCTAGAAGTACTCTCCTCAGCACAGAGAAACCTAGGCTCCTAGCTGCCATAATACTAAGAAAAGTGAAAGAGCTTTTATCTCTTTTGCATTTCCTTTTCCTTCATTCTTGTTCAACTTTCTGAAATCCGTTTTCCTTTTGTGATGTCTGCTTTCTTTATGCCTATCAGCTACCGACATCTAATCATGAAATACATTAAGTAAAACCTTTCAGATCTACCATATTTACAGCAGGGTAACAACCATAATGGCAGGCCCAGAGTATATTGCATTATGATAGTGGTGAATATGTACATTAAGCAACTGTTTTATAATTTACCTTGCATCTGGACCAGAAATTCAGTCTTGATTCTTCTTGCTGATTCGGATTCATTGTCAGAGCGCGATGAACAAAGTGAATCGACTTCATCGATGAATATGATACTTGGTTTATGCTGTCTTGCCAATTCGAATAGGTTCTTTACAAGTTTCTCAGATTCTCCAAGCCACTTGGATACTAGATCTGAAGATGAAACTGAGAAAAAAGTGGAATTGTTTGCCTCTGTGGCTACTGCCTTTGCTAAGTAAGACTTTCCTGTTCCAGGAGGCTGAAAAAAGATCAATGTGATGAAAGGTCACCATAGTGTAAAGCATAAACTTTCTTGTATTTGTGAACCATTTAACAAATATCACCAGATCATTTTTATACACTACTCATTCCAATCCAATATCACAACAATGAAGATATTTCAGAAAGTGTTTCAAAGAATACAAACTATATTAACACAAATAAATATGACAAGTGTATGTATGTAATATGCCTTCAATAAGTGGAAATGTGCAGAATACCAAATCAGAGTATGGTATATATATGCTTCAAATACATTCTATGCTGCAGTGAAATCTGAGATCCCAGTTTAGTTAATATATTTTCTGGTCCCACATAAAGCCCAACATAAACAATGTATTATTCTCCTGTATTTAATGACATGTCAATTCATAGTTTTGTGTATTTACGCATAGGCTGCTTTGTTGTAAGAAATGTCAATTGGGTCTTTAAAACCATGGCAGAATATGTAAAGTCTCACCCCAAAAAGCAATATTCCTTTCCAAGGAATTCTTTTTCCAGTAAACAAGTGTGGAAACTTTATGGGTAAAATAACAGCCTCCTTCAATGCCTCCTTTGCTCCTTCTAGACCAGCCACATCTGACCACTTAACACATGGCTTTTCCACAACAATGGCTCCCTCAAGCTTGGCCTGTAACTTTTTCTTTTCTGGATCATCAGAATCACTGTCACTGTCACTTTTTTTCTCGTCACTCCTAGAGAAAAAGCAAGAAAGCTGTCAGGTAAAAAGAATGGGTTTCTTACCAAACACACAGGAATGATCCTGATTGTAGATTCTAAAAGGTTCTGACGATGGTGGATGACACACAGAATTACTGGGCTTTTGGACTTTTTCCATCGTCTGGAATTCTAGGTAACAGGGGACACAATTTGGAAACAGATCAAGTTTCCAAAACATCATGTCCTCTGTTACCTATAATTCCAGATGATGGAAACATCCAGTTTCCGAAACATCGTGTCCTCTATTACCTAGAATTCTGGATGATGGAAAAAGTCCAAAAACCCAGTAATTCTGTGGATCCTGATTGTGTTTGATACTATATAGTCTCAATACTGTACTGTACAGTCATTTGATTTGCCTGGATCTGGTACTGTTCATCTTGCATGCTGCAAATGTTGTCACTATGGAGATTTGTATGGGACAGTTCCATACAGACCTCCACAATGACAAGAAGATAAACAGCACCAGTTCCCAAGCCAGACAAACCATCATACAACTATATAAGTTTAAAACACTAACACGCATCTCCACAGTCTGATCTCCCTATATAAAAAGTATATACTGATACTTCAACAAAAACTGGTAAAGCAATGATATAGGATGTGATCACAAGAGGGCAGCTCCTTGTGGAAATACTACACAAAACAATCACAACAGTATGCACACCTACAACCTATTGTTCAACACCACAAATCCATGTCAGATGCAATACTCAGCCTCTGAGGATTTGGGGACCCAGAATTTTAACAATTACAATTCACATAATTTGCATCCTTTGCTATCTTACACTGCTGTCACCTAACGCCTATCCTCTGCAAGTTCATATATCCCAGTCCCCATCCTTCTTATCCTATTTTAACTAATTAATCCAGACAGTACACTTTAACACAAATCCATGTGTAAACAGCAATGTACAGTTTCACAGCAAGCAATAATGAAGATGACCTGTATGGCCTAAATATGTAGCAATAAATAAATAAATATGTAAAAAAACATTATATAATGTAGTTCTACACGTGGAACTTTCATAACTATATATTAAGCAAGATACTCTGAAGCAATAACAAAACACATACGAGGGTTTGAACTTTAATAGTGGCAACTCTGCTGTAGAGACGCCATGCAACAGAACCAAATAATGTCGCTTATACCACACGTTAGTTACAAATGGACTCTCCCTTCCCACATCACGCACATGCGCAGTGACAAGAAGAACAGAGCCTCGTGTTAGTTGGCGGTCTAATACAGTGTTGTTACGATGTTTTCGAAACAGGAACTACAGAGTTGGATAAAGATTAAATGTGCCAGAGGCCACAGAGCATGACAGTGTCATCAAGGTCTTCAAGAGGCTTGCAGGGAATCTGCATTGTCTTACAGAAGAGTGGCAAGGTGGGTAAACCCTTCAACAAGGGACGCCAAAATGTGGCAGACATGCGTCAGCCAGGTCATCCTAGTGTCAGTGAAGAAGTGTATGCTCTTTCCGCGTTACAGGAGAGTGATCCCCGACAGCAGACCATCAATGCGCAGTACTACTGTTCATTTTTGGAACACAACCTGCGACCAGCTTTGAGAAAGAAGTGGCAGGACACTTTCTGCAGAACCCACCCATCATTTTGCAGAACAATGTTCGACTGCATGCAGGGCAAGCTATGGCTGATTTGTTCGATCGATGGGGTTGGGAAGTGCTGTACCATCCACCATACTCCCCGCACTTAAGCCCTTGTGACTTTGACTTGATTCCTAAGATGAAGGAGCCACTTCATGGCATTTGCTTCAGAACTGTTCCAGAGATTCTTCAGGCAACAGACTGCTCCATTCGAACTATCAACACAACAGGCACTCCTAAAGGTATCCTACAACTTCCACATCGCTGGCAACAGGTTGCACACAATGCTAGTGACTACACTGAAGGACAGTAAAACTTAAAAACATGCATCTATGTTGTATCAGTTGTAAATAAATAGTTGCCACTATTAAAGTTCCAACCCTCATATGTTAGGCAGCCAGTACCTCATACTGCTATTACTGTAAATATCTTGAACACCTGCAGAAGCCGTTTAAGTTCTGTGTCGAAAGAAAGGGATTCACTGGTAATAAAATGATGAAATATTTTCCTTACTTTGAATTGCCTTCTCCAGCCTTCACTGGCTTCTTTGATTTACTCTTCTTCAGGTGTTCCTTTAGTTTCTCGGCTCTGTCTAAATATTGAAGACATTTAGTCCTAATGCTCTCCTTTGATCTCTCCCCCTGTGCTTCATCTGCAACATTTGCATACAACTTTCCAAATTCTTGTTCACACCAGTCATGAGTCCTGCTCTGTAAGTCTCACAAGCCCCATTCACTACCCCATAATAAATGCAAAGTTGCCCCTGTGCAAAACCATCATACCAAGAAAGCATATAGAAGCATGGAGGAAAAGCACAGTACATTATCCACCTCAGCATAAGAGGGAGGTCAGGGTTCAGATCCACAGTCAAGTCACTCTACTCCTAAGATCCAACTGACAGGAGGCCTGGTGGACAAATGTGACCACAAGAAACATTTCTGTTCCTGCCAGGCTCCTTATCTGCATAACAACTCCAACTGTGATGTTACAAATCATGGTTAGTGCATATTTAACTGTATGTGAGATCTGACATTCTCACAGTAATAATCATGAATATTACCATCTTCTGGGATGTGTAGACAGGTGTCCTTCTACCGAGTCACTCAGTGCCATGTTCCAGAAGGGTATCTTTGTAAATATCTCAACATGACAGCAGGCACAGATAACTTTCAACAGCAGAAAGCATGTAAAATTATCCCTGGGCTCAATTAAGTAAACACCATGCCATGAAGACATGTCTGATGGAGTGGAGGTATAACTTCACCATTCTTAACCTAAGCATTACCTGCAGGTGAGTGGTCAGCTCCAAACCCCTGCTGCATTATCCCCAGGGAAACAATCCCTGCACCCTTGAATGAGAGGCTGGATGGACCCCAGGAATGATCTAATGTTAAAGAGAACAGATGTATCTCTTGTCCCTGCAGGAAATCAAACCCCAACTCCTAAGCCCTATGGCCTGCAGCCTAATCTCTATACATACTGCTCTACCCTACCTCCCAGTAGAGAGCCCACAGTTTTCAAAAATACAGTTAGATGTCATGAACTTTCATTTACCCTTTTCTTTGTTCTAATGTTTCAAATTGGTCATGTTTTAGACAATGCTGTTTTCATGTGTTGTGGAAAACAGCATTCTGAAGCAGGGACATTCTTATCAATAACAATGCCAAAATCAGTAAATATTTTTGGTAATAACAAAAGCTTATGTGGAGATGGATGGTGAACTAATATGTTGGAAAGACAATGATAATATAAAATATTATGGAGAAGCAGAGCATAGTAATGAAAGTGACATTACCATGGAAAGTCATCATGTTATTCATGTTACTGAAACTAATACTGTGGTGCTTACACAGTAAAATGAAAGCGATAAGTGCTCCTGAATCAAGTACCAAATTATCATTGCTTTCCAGGCCGCGCCACAGTTCAAGCAGTTAGTCGCTGGCTTCCCATTGCGGTGGCCCGTGTTCGAACCCAGGTCTGGTCAAGTGGGAATTGTGGTGGACAAAGTGGTGCTGGGGCGGGTTTTCTCAGAGTACTTCGGTTTCCTCTGCCAATCTTCATTCCACCAAATTCTCCATCATCATAATCAGCCGGGGCAGGCTACAATAGGCCAATCAGTGGCCGCCGTGCCGAGTGGACCCAGTTGAACTCCACCCCCCACTAAGTGAATTAAAATAAAATTTAATCATTGCTGTCCAGGAAGAGCAGGTCACACATTCCAACTGTTTCCACAATCCTATGAAATAGCTGTAGGATTTCTGGTTCTCACAGCCATAGTTATGAAGACTTCTATCTTCTGGGATATAAGACCGTGTAGTCTGTGCAAAGACAATAGACATTTTGGAGGGACACGTTGCCTCCAAAACATCAGCTGGCTTTCAATAGACTACATGGTGTTATATCCCAGAAGACAGAACTCTCCTTATGAAACAACTGGTTCACAACATTCACTTCACCCTCATGCAAAACATACCAACTGCTTAAATTCTCTATCTACACTGCAACAGTGGAATCTGTCACAGAAACAAATTGGCATGGTAAACACAGTTTCTAAGAAAGTAAGCTGATGCATCAGTAATGCTCCATACTTGTATTTAGGAGGACCCGGGTTTGAATCTCAGCCAAGTGACTGGCTATCCTGAGAGCTTTCATGGTTCTTCTACTGCTGCATGAATGTAGTTACCAAGCCGTTGCCCAGTAATAGAATAAGGGATACAAATTACCAAGCCTTTGCCTAGCAATTATAGGAGGGAAGATTTTCTCTGTCATTCAAAAGCCGATGGGGGGGGATTCACACACATGCAGACAGCATCTTGATCTCATAACAACACTTTTATTTCTTTTTTTCAAAATAAGGAAAGTAGCCTAAAAATTCATGTCTTCTTTGTGACAGAAATAACTTCTTATAATTAATAACTGGTCCTGTCTACTTTTTCCTGTGGGAACTAAATGGAATTTGAAGACTTCTCAATATAAGTGATATATTCCTTGTAACTGTACATCCAGTCTTCACTGCAATTATGGCTTCTAAAAGTGGAGATTCTTCAGCTTCACTTCACTGCCCACTAGATCTCAACTGCACTGACTAAGTCTTCTCTTCATAGATTCCCTTACAACTGAACTAAACTCTAAACTTGCCCGCGCCATAGCTCAGGCGGTTAGTCGCTGGCTTCCCAACGCGGCGGCCCAGGTTCGATCCCGGGTCTGGTCAAGTGGGATTTGTGGTGGACAAAGTGGTGCTGGGGCGGGTTTCCTACAAGTATTTCGGTTTCCCCTGCCAATCTTCATTCCAGCAAATTCTCCATCATCATAATCACCCGTGGCAGGCTACAATAGGCCAATCAGTGGCTGCCGTGCTGAGTGGACCAAGTTGGACTCCACCCCCCACTAAGCGAATTAACTCTAAACTTGTCCTACTGATAACCCCTCAGCACGCACCATGCAGAAAACACTGTCACCAACAATTCTTCTATTGTTACAGTGGACTCATTGTCATGGGAACATGTTTGTTTGCAAAGGTGTTACTCCAAAATGGCTGTGTATATTTGCTTATTAAGAATCTGCTCCTTAGAAGTGGATATTGTTTCATTACCCAGTAACGGGTCTACGTGCTACAATACAAAAAATTCAAAATGGCTCAGAAGCACGTCTTTCCATGTTACTGAATCAAATGCTACATGTTCCAAATGTCAAAACAGATGCACAGTACTTGCTTTTTCAAAAATTTAGTAAAACTTTTGAAGTGGTATGTTAGGCCTCCCATACACACACAGTTTGGCCTTCCGATTGACCTTACAGGCAAAACTGTGACAGTTTACCCCTTCCTTTCCTCCCCATACATGCGCAGATAAAGCAGCAGGCTTCATGCCGCAACCACGGTCTTCCAGCCTATAATGTTGAGTCACACACGTCATGTGCTACGGTCCTGCAGGCAGAACTGACGGACTGACAGGTTTCCCACAGGCCAACAGTCCAAACGATTGGCCGGCCAGCCACACCACACACACATCAGTTTTGCCTTTCAGTCTTCAACTGTGCAGGCCGAACTGGAGGCCAAACTGTGTGTGTATGGGGGCCCTTAGAAAAAGAGTTACAGGAGTTTTACTAACATGCTTTAAAATAAAAAAAAAAATCTACTTGGTAATATTGCAAATGCACATACACCTATTACTGGCACTAAAATAATTGATCTCTCTCGGAAGTCTCTGGCCACGTAATGGTTTGTATAACTGTTGGATGGTAGCTGAGTTTGCTATACTGGATATGAAAGGTAAGAAAATGCAAAAGAGTTGACATGGGCAGCATTCCCCTCATTCCTAAAAGTCTCCTACAATATTTAATGTAAAGGTATGGAACTAAGAGACCGTCTTCACTCATACATGTTGTCACTGATGTCTCAGAATTCTGATTCATACATACGCCCATCAATTTCTTCTGAGTCTGGGAAGTACTGGCAGATTTTAAGATAATCTCACACCTTGCTAGTAAGCTACAAATATGTTTCAACATACATTTAATTGCATGTAGAAAGTATTCTACACCATGTTCATACAATCTTAATGCTTCTTCATAATTCTTATTCTTATCTTCTTCTGTTGCCTTCGTTACAAGATCAATGGCTTTCTGCAGAAAAAAAGAAAGAATCTCTTAATAAAACATCCTCCCAGTTAGACATATAATAATGCTGGTAATGTTGTGGTTCCTTTTCACTATCAAGATTTCAACAATGCAACAAATGGTAACAGCCTAGGAAGAGGGTTAGATTCAAAACAGAAATATGCCTTTTAGCTCACGAGGAAGAAAGAAATATGAGTCAGATTTAATGGGACTGAAGGAAATTTGATGGAACAAGGATGGAAATGAACCACGAAGGATGCCATGTAACACTGCTTGGCAGAGATGAAAAATTGATGCAAAATTTTAATTTGAAAACTTCAAAAGAAAAGAATGCTTGGGAGGCTCACACACAAATAGTAGAAAAATATTAAAATTGGTCTTAAAGACATGCAGGGAGATTATCTGACAGTGTGCTACATATCATTCAGATGGTGCAGTGTGAAGCACACAGTACTCCTTGTGTCAACTTTCCCATATACATTTAGATTTGTGGTGTATTCAACATAACAACCTACACACATTACAAATTCCTTTCAATATTGCCCAAATAAATCACTGAGCAGCTACCATGAAGTGAGTTTGTGTGTTATGTGTCTCAACAGTAATCTTGACACTGTATTAAACATTTAATCAGCTGCGTTATGTCTTGTGTTGAGCTGTCATGCAAGTGTTACACATTGAAATAAGTGTTCAAGTCCAATATCCATGTGTAAAGTAAAGAGATATTATTTTGGCATAAACTTCAAGATGTAAGCTCCAAATAGAAAAACTAATCATACAATAATAAATAAAAAAGAAGGGTTTGTTATTGGATTAAAAGAACCAAATCAATTAACTGAAGAGAAACTGAATGAAATCAGTGTTAGGCTTGAACATTTCTCTTCAATATCCCACAGTTTTCTTACAAAGGAAACCAAGATTTAAACTTTCAGGATTCAAGTCTCAAGTCTGCTCTGTTTCTGAAAAGAAACTTAACACGAACATTATATGCCACTATAATAAATGGGAACACTCCTGGCATCTACTGTGACCTGGATTGGTTTCATTTGTGTTCTTCCGGCCTATGGTTTGGGTGACTAAGCTGGAGAATTGTTGATATGAGCAGTCTATGTCTCTACCGCTGTATTAGCTAAGCAAATAGCAGGAGGCTCTCATATACTCTTCCTGTTGAATATGAGTGTGCAGACGACATTCACCTGGTTCACAAATGGGTTCAATAGCAGGCTTGTGTGAACACAGTAATGAACCCAACTGTTCCACAAAAGGTGGAGAACTTTTTGACCAACTGAGTGACTATCAACACCTCAAGAAAATCCATGTACCATGGAGTAAGATAGCTAGCACAGAGTGATCATTCAAAGAGCCACATTAAAATTAAATGGACATCATATTCATGTTACACTCACACCATTAACAAATTATATATTATGTTATATTAACCTGCACATATAACTGAACAAAACTTCACCTGCAATGTAGTTCCAGCTGCCATCTGTACAAAGGTAAGCCAAATATTCTGAAAATAATCAAACAAAGCCAAAATGAATCTATAATGAACATGTAGAATTACCAATTATGTACGAGTAGCATATGTTCCATTAACTAAAATGTTTTGTACATGTCACATACAACAAACATTGCAATGACAAAATCACACCAGTATTATAATCAACCCTGAGACCAATGTGTGTGAAGTGTGAAGACTGCTGCATTCTACACCTGAGTAGTATATTATTAACAAGTCACCAGCTTCACATTTTGTATCACATGCTTCAACTCTTCAACCAACATCAGAATCACAATGCATCCTTCTGGTAACAACGCCCCCCCTTTCGCCAACCACAGTCTCTGGCCCTGTGACGTCCAGCTGCACTGCACTCAATAAGCGTACTGAACCAGTTATTTGTATCCACTCTATCATCTGAAGATTTTCTGTTTTACAGATTTTGTGACAAATTCTTTATGGAAATGGGAAATGTTTAGCTATTCATAAAGTATGTATATGCAAAAATGTCATCTATTCAAAAAGACAAAACGTTTTATATGCCAAACACATTAAACACATCATATTTAAATTGCATTTTTGTTCATGGCAATGTGAGATGAGTATGTGCATATTACTAACTGGTCTGAACACAACTAAATTAAACTAAGCCAACATAACTTCATGGTAGTTGAAAATTGCATACAGTAAAGTAAAATAAGATACCCAGGAAGCCCAACAGTATAACACACGCAGTCGCAGGAGCACGACACAACAAAAGCACAACACACAAGATAATGAAGGAGTGCTCCAACAAAGGAGAATGGGCGTGACTGACGTAGTGAGGGGCGACGTAGCGATGTGGTATCATGAACAATTTTAATATTTTTAACGTTTGACAATGTATATGATAGATACATATTTTAGTTATTTTAATGTGTGAACATGGCATGCAATGAACTGGTTTGACGTGGATAAGTAAGCACCTGAAGATGGCATTATTATGCCGAAACATGTAGTGCGAGAGAGAGAAGGAGATAAATGAGTGTATGCACTGCAAGACGGATTAAATAAATCATGAAAATAAGATAAACTGAACAATGCAAAACCAAATCCAGACTAAAATTTACAGAATATGCCAGACTCCAAATTGACATAGGTAACAAAATTTTACAACTCTGAGTCCAGACGACAAGAATACTCCATTGCAGGTATTCAAGAAAAATTTTAAATGTTATAATGAAAACGCAATACCAAAATTTTCTGTTCATATGAAGAAATCATTTGGAAGTACAGCATTTGGATTTTGTCAAATATTACAATAACACAACTTTCCCACACAAACTTGGAATATGTCATATAAATACAAAATATATGTACAGACCCAATGGAGTTCTCACACAAGAGAAACCAAGAATACACAGTGACTACACACAAGGCTACTTAATGATACACAAGTTATTTTCTAGACAATGGAGTTGTTTTATACAAAAACTTAACCACTCCCAGGGCTACATACAAACTCATTCATTGAATATTATACACATTCAGTGATCACAAGTGATGTATCACAAATTTACTGTGATTTTGCTAAGGCTCTTGACTATTAAAATCACAATACAGTAGAGAGTAAAAGAGTTTATTCTGGAATAGATGAAAATACTATTACAGCAATCCCCCACCAAAAATGTGTTTCAAGTGTCCACAATTTTTCATTCACTACTAGTTTTGCCATCCACACTATTTGATTCTAACAACTGCTTTGGTAATTACACAAGGAGGAGTAAGACTTACTACAAATAATTAGAAGAAATTTGTTTATGTAAAATTAAATGCACCATATATCTTGCACTTGTTCTACTGTGGATTTTTTATTGAGTTTAGTTGCACAGACTTGTTTCATACCCTACTTAACTGGGACCCATGAAATGCATATAATCCATCTAATATAATGTTATCTATTTCAAACGCTTCACATCCTAACCAACAAGGATCCATGGAGTGCATATAATCCAACAACGTGGTACAATATTATCTGTTTCAAATGTTTCATATCCCACTTAATTAGATTCCATGGAATTCATATAAGTCTATCTAGTATAAAGGTGAAGTTGTCCCTGTGCTTAACTAATTAAGCACTATACCATGAAGGTATATGACAGAGTGGATGTATAGATCCACATTTTCATGACCTCCGCACTAGCTGGAGGTGAGTGGCCATCTTCATATCTCGGCCGCTCTACCCCGGGGAAAGAGCCCAGGTACCCATTGGATAGGAGGTTGGGTGGACCCCAGAGCCGGTCTGGACAACGTGGAGATAAATCTCTACCCTGCCGGGACTCGAACTCCGAACCCTCGGTCGTCCAGCCCATAGCCAGTTGCTATACAGACTGCGCTACCCCGGCTCCTATCTATTATAATTTTATCTATTTTTAAATATGCTGTATAACTGCTGAAGAACTGTTAATAGCGTAATTATGAATCTGATTAGACATACTGCACTGTAAATTGATCTTTAGAGATGTTTCGGTAACTGTTGTATTTCTAGGTATTTTCTGAAAGATAACATACTACTCTTTAACTTGTTCCACGTCCTTATTATAATCTTTGGGCTATATCTATAGCTATCCACCCACATTTGTAACAAAGGAAAGTAACAGTAAATATTCTGACATACAGCTTCAGCCTTCAAAACGAGGCGATCACATCTTCGTTCCATCACCAACTAGTTTGAATAGACTGCGGAGGTTACTAACAATATCGTAAAACGCACATAAATAAAAATTAAACTTTATGATGGGTGTTATGCGTATGTAACATAATCAAATGGTACTTAAGTTCAATTACCTGGTGGATATACCACAAGAACTGACCTAATACTTCAAACTAACCTAAATGCAATTTGTCAATAACAGTAGTATTATCTAGATAACATCGACATCCTCTCAAACTATTACGTGTTACTCACGGCAATATTAATAAATCACAGCAATTCGCTCAACTTTAAATTGTCAAAGTTCTTCAAAATTAGGGAGAATACACCCCATCCGTTACACACACAAACTTGCTTCTCTGTGGTTTACCTTCTGATGTCGATAGCCGCCTGACGTCTTCCTCTTCCGTTCCTGTGTGCAAATCTGCCGTGGTCTCCGTGGTTATGTCAAAACCAGTAATGTTCATCTCACTCAGCAAAGCGTCACCTGTTTCACACAGATATTACTAAAACAAGAAAAAATATAACTTTGGTCGTCCGAAAATTTGGCGCCCCCTCTCTGTTTGCTTGTTATGTTAAAAGCTCCACGACTTAATTGTACATAACACAGCAATGTCGTCACGGGTGAGACAGTACTCTGACATTGACTGTTAGCTCTTCCTTTGAAGATGAAAATGGCTATTCCTTTATTTCAAACTTTAATTTCTCACTTTTATGCGGATCGACAAATTGCAAGTGTAAAAGTAGAGGAAACCAAATACCGAGACTGTTAGAATGTCTCATGCATCTCTACTAAAAACCCCCTGTTGCAACAAAATAATGCTTCAAATTAAAAGTACCATTCAATCTTTGCCAAATAGCATGAGTAGAGAATTAAGCGTTACACCGCTTGAAATTTAGTGGCAACCCTTTCAGCCTTAGAGAGTATTTACATTGACTCACTAATTTCTTTAGTATGACGTCATACTAAGTAGTCATATTTCCGTCGTGACGCATGCGTATTTGACGGAACACCAGAGACGTTAGTACCGGGATTAAAACTGAAGCCATTTGTGTTGGGTTATTCTTATTTTAATTTGGCTTCCAACAAGCCTTATATAGGACAAAATTATGGCAAAACAAGAACAAGTATTAATGATAGAGCCCCAACATGAACTAAAATTTCGAGGTAAGCTTGGAAACGCATGGATTAAACTGCCACCGATGTATTTAAAGGGCGACTATTGGCCAAGCCTGCAGCTAGCCTATGGACAGGCCTCGAAGTTTGAAGTTCTGTTTCAAGAATGGTAGATAATGGGCTAATATTTATAGAAATCGCCGCAATACTATGTTCAGAAGCTCTGTCTTATGTTGATTGCGCTAAGGACACATGTTGGAGCCAGTAACCTAGCCATGTTCATATTACCCAGTGCCATTTTCATTTCTGTAAATATATGAATTGCATATCAGTATCAGTTGTGTTTTGTAGGAGAATGTAAGCAATGAACCTTTGAACTGTTTGCTTTTAATGTTTCCACTTTACTGTTTGTGAATGATCAGTGAACGTTTATGAACTGTTAAAATGGATAGTGTATGAAGACATGGTGTGATAAGTTCTCTGTATTTCAATTTCAGGCCCATTTACGTCACCTGTTACTTCTTATATGAAATTAACGAACCCAACAGAAAAGAAAATTTGTTTCAAAATTAAAACAACAGCACCAAAGAAGTACTGTGTACGACCAAATTCAGGAGTGCTGGATGCGAAGGGACTAATCGATGTTGCAGGTAAGCTGAAAAGTATAATGTGAAGTAGGCTTTGGACTGTATGTTACATGGCAGTTTATAACTTTTATAATAACAGCTAACATAATTGCAGTTAAAGCATGTTCTATAATGTCATGCTGCATACATTTTTTCCACATTTCCATCTTTTGAATGATATGTATGTTGTATGTTAAATCAGCAGGATGAGTTCAATTAAAGTAGTTGCTTCAAAAGTACAGCTTTGGAATCATATTGCACTAAATATTTCTCTTCATTGAGCACTGAGTGAAAAGATCAGGCATGCATAGATGTTTTCTAAATATTCTAAATCAAGGAGTTTTAGCCTTATTTGATTGAACTGAGTGCTAATACCAACTTTTTGAAATCGTGAATTCTCTGTCTATTATGTGATAGGTAAAAATATAGCTGAAGGTGTTCTTTATTTTTGTTGTAAACAGAAGTTATTTCCTACACCATATAATTATTTACTCCTACTTAGCTTTGTGAGTCACACAAGGTGATTGGAAACCACTGGTTAACTTTGTGAGCTTCAAACTTTTTGAAGTTAATAAAAAAGATCTCCAAGAGAAGTGAATTTAAATTGTCCCCACATGTCAGCCATCGAGGAATCCTAGGAGCAGTGCACAGTGGACACAACGTTTCTCACAGATTGCTGCTGTAACTGCCAATAGCAGAATGAGTCATTGGCGCTGATAAACGCATGCTGTCAGGTGGTCTGATCTTGTCACTGCAGTAAGTCACAGTCAGGATATTTATGACGAAACTTACGGATACATTTTTTTTAAGTTTTTTCCTTGCAAAAGTTTTGACGATGAACACCCACTGTTCAGTAGTAAACTACATTTCAGTATAAATGTTGACTGCCTGTCGACACCTCTAACAAAGACTGACTCCTAATGCAACTTACTGAAGTGACAAAATCAGACCACCTGACAGCGTGTGTTTATCAGCACCAATGACTCATTCTGCTATGGGCAGTTACAGCAGCACTCTGGGAGAAACTTTCTTTCCACTGTGCGTTGTTGCGAGGTTTTCTCGAGCGTTAAATGCATTGTGTAAATTTACACATCAGAATATTATATTGTGTGCAGTATGTGCAACTAGCTTTGAATTGTAACCAGGTTATATTTTGCAATATAAATATGTACATGATAAGAATCTCTTTCCATTACATTGACCTAAGGGATAAAGTTTACTACTGCAACAGAACTGGCAGCCATGGTTTGAGAGTTCTGCTTCAGGAAGTATAATCACCTGATATGTATTAGGAATTACTGTGATGCTAGAAAATGACAGCATTTTTACCAACAGCAGGACTTTTGAGAACATATTTTTACATTTCTCTGAAAACAGAATTTGACTTTATTACACGTTTTATCTAACTCAGTGGAGCTGAGTTCATGGGCAATCAATAGTTATTCAGATGGTCAAGAAATTCCCTCCCTTTTGTGGAGCCCAAAGATTCTCTGCTGTATTCACAAGAGCCTACTAGTGGTCCCTATCCTAAGCCAAATTTTTTCATTCCACACCCACATACCCTGTTCATTTTGAAATTATCCACTGATCTATGCCAAAATTTTCCAAGTTGTATCTACCTTTCAGGTTTTTCTACCAGAACTTTTCTATATCTCTAGCAAATAGGTATCTTTACTACAGGTCCTAACATATTATGATACTGTTTGCCACTAATAAAAATATTGCATTATATTGTTAATGGCATATAATTCATCATTTACATGTATGATTTGTTTTCAGTTAGTCTACAACCATTTGACTTTGATCCTAATGAAAAAAATAAACATAAGTTTATGGTTCAAACGATGATTGCACCAGATGGGGAAATAAATATGGATTCACTGGTATGTTCATGGCTAATAACTGCACATTATGTTCTAGACTAAATTATTACTTTAGCAATACTGTAAGCTGAGAAAAGAAAATATGGTTAAAAAACACATATAGAAATAGCAGTGTTTTTGTGCATGGCCAAGTTGTCTGTAATTAAGAGGTTAGTATTGAAACAGGTGGTTTTGATGTGCTGAAAATGATGATGGGAACTACCATTTGCAACAGCTTTTTCTAAATAAAATGTGAATTTTTCTTCAAGAATGTTGCAGAGGAAATTCTCAAGGGCTAAGAGAGCTGAGGTAAAAGTTGTCCCTGAGCTTAACTAATTAAATACTACACCATGATGATGTATGGGGGAGTGGATGTATAGATCCATCTGTTCTTGACCTTGGCATGAGTGGCCCCGGCCACATTACCCTTGGAGGAGGAACCCCCGTAACCATTGAATAGGAGGCTGGTTGGGCCACAGAATTGGTCTGAATGAAATGGAGAAGTGAATAGTTCCACCCCAACCAGGACTTGAACTCTGTCCCCTTTGTCTTGCAGCCCATTGCTAGTTGCTATACCAACTGCACTCTCCTCTCTCCTTAGAAAGATGACGTCTGTAACAAATCTAGGATATTAAATACTGAACAAATTCAAGATTTGTGTTGGTCACCTAGTCGTCTCAGTGTCATGAAGTCTGGGATGGAGAACTGGGCTGCATGTACAACATTAGTGAGGAAGACAGGAGCATGTAGATATTTGGAAGGGAAACCTGTGGGGAAAACCACATAGGTGACTGAGAAGAAGCTGGAAGGACAACCCCTTTAAACAAGGAGACAGCCATGACTTAATTTCTGCCAGGTGGATGACTATTTTAACACGTACAGAAAACTACACTACCGCGTGTGCCATGCCAAATCCAATGAAAAATGTACACACCACCAGTACTGCAGAATTCTTTAGTATATTATATTTAGCACTCTTAAATTTATATGGGATGTCCCCAAAGTCCCTTCATATTTTGGTGAAATATGGTGAATTTCAAACAGATTCTTAATATTGTATTTTAGCATCATCTTGCACTAACTTATTACTTATACACACATATACTTTCATCTCGAATGCAGCTTTATTTTTCATTTACTCCTCCTCTTTGCTACATGTTTCAGCTGTACCCAGACATCATCAGGCAACTACACTCACCTCTCGATTATCTGGAATAATGGTGGAGATGGAAATCACGATTAAGTAGTACTGTACCTTCATAATACTATAGGCCTACCTGTATTTAAATTTATTCAACCTCACTTTTATGTTATCTCATGGCCTATTTAATACTTTTTTTTACATTACACTGAAGTATGAATTAGTTATTTCAATCACAGTGTTCAGCAACATCCAACACTTTTTACGAATATTCACACTTAACACTTAAAAAAATTTAATATTGTCGTTTGCTTTTCTGCGGCATTTTCCTTTTTACGGATATCCGTACGAAGCCTACGTAATATTAGCTTGTCACTTAATAAACTGTCCTCTTCACTCTCAAGATAGTCTAGTAAGGATTCCAAATGATTGAGAGCAGCACCATGTGATATTTTCTTACTAGCAGCACTGTCCACCTCTTCCTCATTCTCACTTTCTTTCTGCTCTTCTGGCTGCATCCCCACTGAACTTAGAATTTTGTCACTGCTTAACACTTTGAAGCCCGGCTCACACGAGTCATAGTCAAACCACTCTCTTATATTTTCCTCCTCGACGACTTCACCACCATGAACTTGGTTAGCCAGTTTTGTCAGTTCTATCTGCTGAATACTTAACACAAGATGCTTCCTTTTACACCCTGACATTTTGCTTATGCACTTGAAGATCTATACAAAGAGACTAACTGGGGCGGTGTATCTGTCCTTGAAAGTTTCCACAAATCCTTGCATTCTTTCACCCCTACCCTAGAACATTGTGTTAGCATAACGGGACCAAAAAATGCAGAGCTCGGTTCACACTAGTGCGAAAATAGTGTTACAACTCACCATGTGAACCAAAAGTGAATGAATATTAAACAACATATAAGACTCAAAAAAAGCCCCGGTTAAGCCGCAAATCGGTTTAGTGTATTTATCTTGCTAACACTGTTACACTGTATTTTCCACAGTATCTAAAATGAATTAGTACCACATTAAAATATGCCTGTTGTCATTCCACTTGTTGGCATCTGGTCATAAGGAAAATTTATTTGAGCACATTACTCTACGAACAATCCATAAACCAGAACTTACAACAAGAAATGGGAAAATACACCAAAAACAGTAACAAAAAATACTTGACTTAACTCAGACTGAAACAATAAACAGAATAGACAGTAACACAAATTACAACAGTAGAAAATTATATAAACATGCAGTCTACAGGCTAGGCTGTCACAAGTTTTGTGCATGATGAGTTCTGAATATGCTCATGGGTGTGCACACAACACAGAGAATGGCTTGGGCTTCAACTTTTTTCACGCTTATACCCATTTATAATATTTACACTTCACTACACTTGGACTTGAAGAGAACAATACAATTGGAAACAAGACTTTGGGTGCAGTGAAACATTACAGTGTCCCCCCCCAGTATGTTTCTCATACTGGCAGAGACTCAGGACCAGTTACGCCTCCATATCTGTGGAAGAGTTTCTGTATTCTGTCCATTCATAACTGCATATGAGTGTATTTGCCACCACGTTTCTAGAATATCATATATTAATTGAATATCTTAAGATCTAACAGATTGTAGAATACATTTTATTTTGTTCTCTTTCTTTGTCATAACGTACAGAATCTTCCATTGCATCACTGTAATCAGTGCACATTGTTGGCTTTTGTTTTTTCCGCAGTAATAAGTCTTTACATCTTTAGACACTGATTACTAACTAGGAGATGTTTTCGGGACAGCACAGAAGGTAATTTATTCAGTTGCTCAATGACAGCAACTTGTTTACCACATGGGACACTAGATAATAAATACACTTGGGCCTGTTTTTTGTGTAAGGAAACTGCTTCATAATACTGCAAGTTTACAATGTATGGTGTCTACCCATAGGACCTAGTTAGAATCAAAACTAGATGACAGAAGCTTTGGGGATCATGCTGTGGAAATTCAACCTTCAGAGAACCGGAAAATAAATTTCATACCTTGTGGCCTAAGATGCTTTGCCCTCTACAAACTTAATTTCATGCAGCAGCATGTGCTGTGTTCCCCACCTTATAGGTTAGGTTGGATCATAGTGAAATATGTTGTGAGAATGGGAGCTGGGTGGAAAAGGCCCCAGTACCATGTCCACTGGCAGACTTTGGTATTAGTGATATTGAGTTCTGACATTATTTAGTTAAAAGAAAAACGAAAAATTATATGGGTTGTATAATTCAAATAATGATCAGTAGCAAATGCACTTCTTTGTTTCATTTGTAGTGGAAAGATGTAAATCCAGACAACCTAATGGATTCAAAACTGAAGTGTGTGTTTGAAATGCCTGTGGATCCAGCAGCAACAGCACCACAAGAAAACAATGTAGATGTTTCACCAGCCATTCATGAGGAGAAAGCAAAGAGGACTGGAGATGGTGCTAAAGCATCTCCCAAGGTAGTGGGCATACTGTGCAGTTTGGATTGCATGGTTGGTGGTAGTTAATGAACTTTATTTATGAAGAGTGTGTCCTTGTTGCAGCCTAGTACCATTGTGGAGGGTGAACTCATGAAGGCTGCTGCAGAAGTGAAACATTTACGAGAAGAAGAGAGCTCATTGAGGCAAGAAAATCTGCAGCTAAAGGTATATTTTGAAATGTTACAGTTGAGTGGTTAGCACTCCTGCGTTATATTTGCAAAGTCCTGGCTCTGATTCTCAGGCTTGAGGCTGGATATCCTGAGGTAGGGTGATCTTGGAATAGTATCTCAAAATAGGTCATAATTTCTTACAGGTCACAGTTCATTCACTATTATCCTTCTGTTTGATGCTATAGTCTGATCAGAAAATACTGAAATAATTCACATCTCTGATAAATTGCATTGCTCAAGGTCATGGCTGTAATATGTGTGTCCTGACATGTTATGGCATGTGTAACTCATTCCATTGCTTCAGTCCTTGGTCATCACTTAAAATCAGTGTTTTCATCTCTTACCAATTTAACAGTATCTGAGAATGTAGAATATGGTGTGTGCATTGAATTTGACAAGATTGGAAAAGTTGCCACCAGCATATTAACAGCTGATTCAAATTGCATCCAGAAATGTTACCATGAGTTGAACATTAATTTTTGAGTGGTTCCATTGTTTTGATGAGGGTCAGGTGTCCATTGAAAGGGACATGCAGACATCTTAGATACCCGTCAGATAAAAAAATTACAAATTTATTGCTCAAGTGCATGATTTCATGTGAAATAGTAGGTGGAGGGTATTATCATATGTGACATTACTAGATTTAGGTTAGGTAGGTTTCATTATGTTATGGTTCATCAGAAATTACACTGTAATGTTTGGTAAATGTGAATGAAGAGCTGATGAAGGTTATATCAGAAGAACCAAAGGAAGGGGTTGGAGAGGGGTGGAAGTTACACTTGGTTCTCAAATGTTACCTTTTATTTAAACAATACACCACGCTGTTTTACTCGTATACTCTTGTAGAACTCTTCAAATAGTGTAAGTGCTGTTGCTTGAATGGTTCTTGGGACTTCAGTTTGCTGGGTGTATTTCAAGCATTACATGACTGAAAATATTTTACTTCTAAAATTAGAATTATTACATCCTGTTGCTTTATCTTGATTTTTGCCGTTTTTCTGTAAAAGAGGCACAGGGTTATTGAACTTGTAACACTTCTTATATTAAACACATCTTTATCATTATTGTCAGTCAGATGCACAGCTTACAGTTCCCTTGTAGCTACAGTTTGATTGATCACATGCAGTCAGATTGAACTTTGGAAAAGGATGTTACAGATAAGAACTATTACTTGGAGACAGAAGTAGCTAAATATATATGATGCAGATAAAAAAGTAAAACACTTTGAGTAAGGGAAGAATAACATCACAGTGACATAATTACAGGTGGTCAGAAGGTCATTATAGATGGAATAACTGGTGTGCTACCATCAGAAATCCTCTTAATGTGATATCTGATATGTGCTCCCTTCTTTGCTGTTGTTTGCGATATACAAAATATCTGCTGTATACAGATGAATCAAGAAGGACAATTGGCAGTAGGATGCAGATCACAAAACACAGGAATTTTGCTCCAACTTCAGCATGCTGATTAAATACTGTGGTATGTGTTGATTGTCATCATGTTCTGCAAGTTGTCATATTGATAGCATTTTTGGTCTCATTTCAGGAGGAGCTCCTTAGACTGCGCCGTTCAGCTGCTGTGGCTGCAGCAGACTCATCTCCACCCATCCTGGCATCTGGAACTACTGTTATTCCGCCCCCTCTTCCCATGATGTATGTAGTGATTGCCTTTGTCATGGGACTGATTGGGATCATCCTTGGGAAGTTCATGCTCTGAATGTCCCACTATAGCAGCACTATACAGCAAATTTGTGAGTCAGTCTGTGTGTGCCGCTCTCCTACCTTTCTTCCTTTCAAGTCCATGTTATAATTTCATTTTCTTTTCCCTTCATTTTCAGGTCACATGCATCCCCTCCTATGAGTTTGTCTCAAGTAACCGTGACACTTCTCCTACCACACATCTGTTCTAGTTTTGTACATTATTTTTCTTTCAGTCCTTGGTTTTTGTGTATGGAGAAAGGAAGCTGGGTTTGGAGAGAAAATCTTTAATACTTGTTTATAAGCCAAGACACTTTGCCATTCAAAGGTGTCCCACACTTTTGACTATGTGTTAACTTTGTGTAGGCGACTCACATTGAATGGCTTACCAATGTTTGTACATAATGTGTTGTATATGGAAAATATAGGGCAAAATTCATCAGCAAAGTAGCACTGTTTGGAGTCAGATTAGGAGGAAAGTGCACCTTTAATTTAACATATTGCTAGACTTGGGCTGTGTGAAGCAAGTTAGACTGTTCATATGTAGAATAAGCTTTTCCAGGCAGCAAGATCACATCATCCAAATGCTTGTTCTTTCCTGTATATTTTTTCCCCCTACTTATATAATAGTATTCCCAGTTCTACATAATTGTTAATTGTAAAGAGACTGATGTTTTATGAAACTACTCTGGGATGGATTCATACCCACACTGTATTTCAAAGAAGGTGTTCTTTTTAACATAAATTGAATTTCTGTACATTTAAACCTGAAACATGACATTTGGTGGTCCAGAAATGGCAAAATAAAAGCAACGATTTTTATGGCCTTCTCTGAAGAGATTTATTTTAATTCTGATCCATCAGATGCCTCATGTTTGGATTTAATGTGAGATTATGGTTTCATAATTTTGTTAAACCTACTAGTGTATAAAATACAGTGGAACCTCGCTTAACGAGCATAATTCGTTCCAGAATCTTACTCGTTAAGCGAAACAATTTTTCCCATATAAATTGATGTAAAATACGATAATGCGTTTCATGCTGAAAAAATACTAAAAAAATTTTATGTATAACGTTTATTCAAAGAAAATTATGTATACATTGTTAAGGAGCATGAATCATCTTCATCTTTTCTTCTATGTGGAATGAACCAACCTGGAATGCGAGTTCAATTTGCAGAACAAAAAAAATCGAAATAATTAGTTTATTATTTATGATACATTTCTAATTCTTTTTTACTAGAAAGCTGTCTAGAGACATTTGTTTTTGCTGACGCTTCAAAATTTGGTGAAAATGCGACACAGCATTATCATTAAATAAATTTGTAGCGTGCATAGCCACAGGCTTATTAGGTTGATGCTTCTCAATGTATGAAGCAACAGTTCCCCATGCTTTCAGCATCTCTTATTGCGCCAGAAGATTCTTGCTTTGCTGTTACCTCCTCCTCCTCCTCCTCCTCTGACAAACTCTCCTCCACAACTTCTTGCTGTGAAACACAATGCAACTCCAAATCGTGCAAATCGTTGATGTAGACTGATTGTATGTGCGTGCTAGATCAGCCACGCTCACACCTCGTTCTCGCTTTTCAGTGATTTTACGTTTCATTTCTATGGTTATTTTTACTCTCTTATGGCTGTCTTTTTGCGGCTTTCTTCGGGGACATTTTTGCAAGGGTTATTAAACTTTGCACAAAAAAAATCACAATATGTCTGAACGCAAGTTTGGAAAAATGTGTGATCATAAGGGACACTAAGATGCTAGCGGAACGAGTGCTAAACACAGACTGATGTAGCAAGCGCACAATCCGGGACTTCCCCTCTCATCACTCGTTATGTGAAATGTTGCCCATTAAGCGAGTGATTCTTTTACAATTTGTTTTGCTCGTTATGCGAATTACTCGTTAAGTGAAGTTCCACAGTAAAATTGGTATATCTTCAGCACTGTGTTTAACAGACAAAAACTTGGGGTCCATGGTTGCTGAACACAGCATTTGTTTTGATTGCACAGCTTGTTTTCCAGAATTAAAATGACTTTACAGGTGCATGCAGCTCTTACGTACAGCATAATATTTACAAAGAAAAGTTGTATAGAGGAGGAAGGTATGTCCAATAAACCAAATTGTTGCTATCTAAAAAGCATTTATTGAGGGCATGCTGGGGTTCAGGGGGATTTCTTTCATTAACTTTCATCCAGTCACACCATGCAGAATACCTAATAAATATCATAATAGAGTATACATAGTTAATACTTTGTGGTAGTCCATTTTGTGAATGTAAGGTAGTTGGTTGAGGCACTATGCTGCAAGCCAGAAGGTCACAGGATTGAATCCTGATGAGGTGGATTTTTTTCAATTGACCTAATCCTTCCAGCCACACTATGGCCCTGGGATCAACTCAGCCTCTAACAGAAATTAGTACCAGGAATATTCCTGGGAGTAAAGGGCGGCCGGCGCGTAAAGCTGACACCCTTACTGCCATCTGTGAGCCGATTGTCTAGAAAATGTGGGAGCCTCAACATCTCACAACCCTGTGGGCCTCCATGGCCTGTTAAGGGGATATATTTACTTTACTTACTTTAAGGTAGTTGAGTACGCTAAGTATTCTTCAATGCAATTCCTTATTTCACACACAGGCAAGTAGTTAATAAGGATTCCAAAAGGTTTTGTCAGAACAGCTGTGAATTGTAGGCCACAACAGATGGTAAGAGTCAATACTGTATGTTTAATTTGTCAACAGACACCACCTCATAATCTTTTGTTTCCTCTGTCAGCATTGTAAATCTAATTCGTGGCTTATTAGTAACTGCTGTGCGGGGGGGGGGATGCATTGGTATACTTGTGTGAGCAATATCCCAAACACCAAACCTGGTGCTACCATTCTGGAGTGTTTGATAGTACTTTCAACAGTCTCTTGTTTATTGCTCTTTTTATTTAACCTAGAGTCATGAACTGTTCTCTTATTTGTACAGTATCAATATATGATAATACTTGTTTTTTTAATAATTTAATGTTGACAGGAGTAATACCTTTTAGCTGTAGTTAAACGTTGGTATTAAGTAAATAAAAGAGAATTAGGATTATCAGTTTAGTTATTTCTCTGACTTTCTACATTCCTTTTCTTTTTCCCTGGTTAAAGCTCTTTGCTGTTATGTATGATGTCTAAACTGTGTGACATGCATGAGCAACTGAGTGTATAGCAAAGTGCAACACTGACAATAACAGCTACATATGTGACAGTGGAAAGTCTCGCTAGAAAAATAAAAGGGGAAGGCCAGACTTTGCATGAACAGTTCATTCTCTTCTCCAGATTTATATGAGAGGATCTGCACAAGAGCATTATTTTCATTCCATGCTAAGAGGAGGACCAAATCCACATGCCAGTCAGATGACTCCTTGAATGTTAGCACAAAGATCAGCCATATATACAATTCTTTATTAAGTCCGTCACAGCACAATACAGCGTTCAAGGCTAAATTAGCTTTGCTACATGTTTCGGCTATGCATCAGGCAAATACATTCATTCATTCATTCATTATTAGAGGGGGTGGGTTCCCCATGCACTTAGACCAGTTATTGGTCCATAGTGTGTCCCCCTTTAATTTCTACTGTCGCCATACCCTTTCAGTACTGGTGCCCGCTATCAGCCCCATTCTGCCAGCGAGGTTGGCCCTCTTCTGGCAGTGGTACCCGATACTTCCTCATCTACCAGAGGCATTGGAAACTACTTGGGCGGGAAACTTTGCCTAATTTTGCTCAGAGGTCTCCTAGAGACATGAGGATCTTTTACGTGCTGTAAATCTACGACACGGGACCCACGGCTTAAAGTCCCTCCAAGAGGACTTGTTCCCTGAATTTTTCCACCCTTAAGAATTCCACGACCTCCACTGGGTTTGAACCCACGTACCTTGAGTCATGAGGTGGGAACGTTACCCCTAGACTATGGAGGCCGCTCAGGCAAATACATGATCATCATGTTTACACACTAGTGAACTGCAATTGCATAGTAAGTCTGAATACTTGACAACTATCATATTATAAAACACATGGTATAAAAATTGCAATGAAATATAAACTTATTATAAAACGAATTATTTCGTAAAATAAGGTTAAAACTATTCAAGTGATAATCTATGAGGGGTAGTCGAGTGTAAACGGGTCAGAACCCAAAACATATTAAAGAACATTTCTTACCTCAAAAGTAATCTCCAAAACTGTTAATACTGTCACGTATTGGGTGTATGACGCGACAAATAGATTCACGTAGGCCTCAAATTAAGCAGAACCTTTATTGTTCGTCCGCTTACACAATCACGAGTACAACTACTATTCACTGTGGCACCTCAGCTGTCTTCTGCGGCGCATGTTCCTAGACTGAAGACTTCTCGTCGAAGCTGGGCTTTTATAACCTTGGCCGCTGCTAGGTAACGAACCCTCTGTTATAGCGGTGGAGACATTGCATTGTAGGTTCCGCGTTCCCTACGCAATGACCCATGTCTCTGTGGGAACGCTACGCGTATTTGTCGTAGCCATGGAGATTCGATGTTCTCGGTACAACGGCTCACTGTTGGGATTACAGTGCCGCTATTGTTACTTCATATGTAACGGTCCATTCTAGCGTTTCCATAGAAGTTACTCCTCTGGTTTGCCGACACGTTACAATACATTTATCCCACTGGGAGATAAGACGGTCAATCCCATCCTTGATAAAGCTTGTGGGCTGTCTACGGAACCACATCTTTACCCAGCCACACACATCTTCATCTGATGCAAACTGATGTCCACAAATGTGTCTCTTCAGGTCAACCATTGGTCCTTTATGACGGTGTCCCATATGCCAGCTGGAACAGCATGGTGGGTCATCCATTTGTGGGCAGCGATCAACTTCTTCCAGGACCCACCATCACCCTGGGTCCATTTTGTTGGCGGTGGCGTAAAGCAAGATATTGGCCCTCCAGTGCTCCGATACTTTTAACCACAGCTTCTTCCTTAGGGACTTCTTGATGCTCTGACTCTGAGCCTCGAAATCTGTGGCCTCCATCATGGCTTCCATCCTTTCTTGATTGGTTCTTATTACAGATCAGCTGAACCACAGCAGACCTCTAACCCACTAACTCGCCAACCAATTCCACACTGACTGACTTTTCACTTGTCCTGCGTTTAACATCTCAGAACGGACTATGCAGAAAACACCGCTTCTGTGTTTCAGTGCATTTGTAATGTTTGTGCCTGTTGACAGAGCCGTTACCTAGCAACGGCTGTTGTATAGTTTCTTATTTCGTGGTGGTTGCCTAGCAATGGGTCCACATGCCACAATATATATAGTAACTTATCTTGAGAATTTATATACGTTTTGGAAGTGGCGATTTTTATACTAGTAAAAAAAATAATTATGGAATTCTTCTGGCTGACTGGCTCCTCCAGAATGTCCTGGCTGTTGTTCGGTGATCCCTGGAGGGAACTGGCTGCTTCCAGCTCAAGGGTCTTGCTGGGCGTCTTCTTGCTCCGCAAGAGTAACTGTCATACTTATATCTTGCTCCTTTATCCTTTTGGCGAAAGCATGGGTGGCTTCTTTACTAATTCAGTGTTCGGGTAGTTCAGCATGGATGCATTGATCCAAGTGGTCAGTGGTTGCGGCAAACTCCTGTGGGTATTCCGTGACAAGTTGGGTCCTTTTCAGTTGGTAGTGGGACACTGCTTCCTAATGGCAGTTACTGTGGTGATCCTTGAGGGCCTCAGTAAACTCTTCGTATGTCACTCTGGTAGGGATACCACGTAGAATGTGGGCAGCCAGCTCATTCAAAGCAGCAATCAGCGACTTTCTTGTGGCATGTCCAGTAGTTATGCTCTGCCACAGTCTCAAATGACTGTTGGAACCACTGCACCTACATACTGGTTCCTGTTCTCCCATAAGATCAGCATATAACTAGGGCTTTGACTTCTGCTAGCAGCGTTTTGAACTCATCCCATGACTTCTGCTAGCTGCATATTGAACTCGTGCTGAGGGGGTTCCTACTGGGGTCCTCGTTTCTATCTCAACCTATGTTCCTTGAATCCTGAGGTCCTTCTTCATGTCCACTATCTCCTCACAGTGGCTTCGGGTCTGTGTATCAAAGGACATTGTTACTGCCTGTAAGCCCAGTTGCACTGAGTTCTCATGGAGGTTGTCCATCCATTAGTTAATGGATGACGGGCATCCTGCACCCAATTTCTGATGGTCTCTTTTAGTTCAGATCAGAATTCTGCAGTGTATTTTCTTTCAAATATTTTTTACTGTCAAGAGATATATACATTTTTTCAATACTAATACCACTACTAAACTTTCATTAAGAAATTTAATTGTAGCTTGAGCAAGTCAAAAAGTATAATCCATAACCCATTATGAAGAACACAGAACTTCCTTCTACCTGCTCTTAAAAAACAAAATTATGGTCATCATGGGTGACTTTAACACCAGAGTTGGCAGTATTACAGTTCACAACAATAGGAATATTACACCTAATGGGGAAAATATCTTGCAGTAGGAATGGGAAGAAATTAATAAGACTTTTTCTCATAATATGAAAATTATTAATAGTTTGCTTCATCACAAAAATAATCATAAATATTTGTGGGCAGCAAAAGGTTAAGAAGTCAGTCATTAATCATATAATATATAATAAAAGAAAACCATGCATGATATTACATACCAAAGTGTGCTGTGGATCTGCATTTGAATCAAGTCATTTAGTTATTTCACCCATTCAAATACTCCCAGGATAGATTCAAAGGAACTTCAAGTAAGAAACAATAGAGAAATATGCTTTACAATAGAGCTATTACTATCAAAGTATAAGATTATGGTTTGGGAGAATTAAACAGACTCAACGTACTGAGAAAAATAACAGAGGAAGAATGGAAAAATATACAAAAGATACTCAGAGAAGAAGTTTAAGAATGAAAAAGAAATGACAGCAAAAGTATTAAGAAAATATAATGGGAATTTTGCTCAGACTTTAAATGAAAGAAGTATTTGATAAAAATTAGACTTATCAGAGGCAGTGGCTAAAAGGGCACACAGAAATACCCCTGTACCTCACCCAGCTGGTTTCAAATTTGGGAATGTTATCACAGGAGACAAACGAAATTACCCAGATTTCTATAAGTCATTTTATTGTCATATTGACACATTCTAATGTGTCAATAATACCACAAGAATATCTAAACTGTACATTAGGTAGGAAATACAAAACCATTGTTTAGACCATGAGTAGCAATGAAATCTTTTGTATAATCTTGGAAAGAGGGCGTTTTCTTATTTAAAAAGCAAAAGTTGCAGTGTTTGAAGTAATAGCATCATAAATGAATGTGTTGTTGACTGGCTTGTACTGGCCTGTGATGAATTTGATGGTTTCTTGTGCTGCACAGCCTCCTGAAAACAAACAACTTTTATTAAAATATTTTTCTTACACTTTCTCATAATATATGGTAGCAGTTCAGAAGTGGTACTAGGATTCTGAAATAAATATGTAGTTTTATGAAAATGTCCTAGAGTGTGTTTCAGCCTACAATTTATATTCCACTCTTACCAAGTAAGCTTGATAATTCAAAGCATAAAATCTGTGAACCCCTTGTATCAGCTAAACAAGAAAAAGAGTATAGGACAAATTTCTGTATCACTTAGATGTCAGAAATACAAACATATTATCCATGAAGTTAAAAATTCTAAGTTACTGTTTCCATCAATATTAATAATATAACATTTGCAGGACGTTTATGGTACCTAGTTCATTCAAAATAAAACTTTAAAAGTACAGGGTGGGGCGCAGAAAATTCCTTTTTTTGAAGGCGAATAAAAGAAAAATTATTGCTGATAGACAAAATTTATGTTTAGCTAATGAAAGAACATACTTTAACGTTTTAAATCATGTAGTTTTAAACAAAATATCTTGAAGGTGGTGGCCACTATTCTCTATGCACTGATGCAACCGTTTTCTGAAGTTCCCCTCTGCACGTTCCAACATGTGCACCGGAATTTGGGCTACTTCCTGCCGAATAACATTCTTCAGCTGAAGCAGGTTTGTGGGGCGATGTTTAAAAACCTCTGCCTTGAGGTATCCCCATAAAAAAATCACAGGGTGTTAGATCAGGTGAGTGCGCTGCCCATGGGATGTCACCTCGAAGCGAGAAGAGCCATGCGGGGAACTTTGCCCTCAAAACTGTCATCGAAGCTTGGACTGTGTGGGCCGTGGCACCATCCTGTTGGAACCAGACATTTCCTAGATGCATTTCTTCAAGAGATGGTTCGAAAAAGTTTTTAATCATGTCCACATACCGCTGTGAATTGACAGTAACTTCATGATTGTCTTCTTCTTCAAAAAAAAGGGCCAATAACTCCAACTCTCGACAACGCACACCATACTGTCACCTTATCACTGTGAAGTGGCCTCTCATGGAGCTCTCTGGGATTGTTACCACTCTAGTAGCGCATATTCTGCTTGTTGACATATCCGGATAGGTGAAAATGTGCCTCATCACTAAAGAAAACAAGTGTGTCAGGGGGTAAAGTTTCCAATAACGTTTCGCACGCCATTATTCGGTTCTGGAAATCACGTGGTGACAATTCTTGCACAACAACCATCTTACAGGGATGGAAATGAAGATGTTCATGAAGAATTCGTCGCATTGAATGACTGGATATGTCTAGGGCGGCTGCATGTTTGCGAGCAGAGCATCTTGGAGATCTCAAAATCGACTGTCCAACTGTCTCCACATTTTCTGGCATCATAATGGTCCGTTGTCGTCCTGATGATTTTTTCACCATACTCCCAGTTGTCCTAAAGTTCTGTACCCACAAAACAATCGATTTCTGGTCAGGAACCGGACCTCTGGGCTTAATTCCAAAGTGAGTATGGAATGCATGCTGCACCGTCACGTAGGAATGGTTGTTCAAAAAATATGCTTCGACAGCAAACGTACGCTGCTCACTCGTCCACCTCATGTTTCCTACTGAGGGGTATTAGACAGAAACTTCCGTGATTGCTGCGTTCGCCGAGCCTATCCCTACTTTTCTCTGACCTCCGCTCCCTTCACTATATGTCTTCACAAAAAGGAAATTTCTGCGCCCCACCCTGTATATAATAACCTGGTACAAATTTCACATAAGCCAAGCACAAGTCCCATATAATACAATAACAAACACAGAAGCAGCTCAATAATCTGAATTTTTGTTAACATATGTTTGCTGAATCATTTTTTGATGCATAATTTAGAAGATACACACTTTCCTGATAATGCTTGCAGTTTCAAATTTGAACTCTCTGTTAATCAACATTAAGAAACTTCAAAATAATGGTATTTTACAGTCATAATGAATTTCAAGAAGGAAATTGTGGCTATGAGATGCTTACCTATGAATGACGATACAGAATGCAATTCTGCTCCGCCATACCGACAGATCTCATGGACATAGTCATCCTTTGCCAAGGGTCCACAACCCCACTCACTCAACAGTTTAGAGATACAGGCCTACAAAAACATTAAATTTGTGTGTTCAAAAGTCTGTTGATACATAAAGCAATTTGTGAATTTCTGAATGAAGTGGATGATGGCTGCAGTGGACATGGCAGTGGTTCCCATGGTCACAGATTCAAATTTCATCTAGGGTATGGATATTTCTGCAGAATGAGGAACTCTGTGAAATGTAGGAGAAACGGAAGAGGTGATATGCCATACCTTCAGCTTCACGATGTCAGGTTCCACCTGGTCTTCGAACTCCCCAGGATACATGTTATATTCAGAGTAAAATCTATCCACTCCACGAAGCATAACGTAGTACACCATTGTGTTCTCAGGATTCTCCAAGTTTCCAGCTGTTAAATTAAGCTTAATTTTAAATGTGTTAGATGAACTCCTTTTAGTGCTCAGTTCTATACACAGAAAAACATTACAAAAATCCAAATGTGTGAACACTGAACTTTATTGATATATTGGGGTTTTGGACTTTATCCATCGTCCTGGTTTTTAAGATAACAAATAAAAACACGACGTTTCGGAAACTGGATCTGTTTCCGTCCTCAGGTCCAGTGATTGAGGCTAGCTCTTTCTAAGGGACCCAACAGAATAGGTGTTTTCCTTCACCTGAGGACGGAAACAGATCCAGTTTCCGAAACATCGTGTTTTTATTTGTTATCTTAAAAACCAGGACGATGGATAAAGTCCAAAAACCCAATATATCAGTGTGTTATACACCATCATCAGAATCCTGAACTTTATGTTCATGTGGCTTTAATCTTCCACCTTTTTGTGAATACCCTTGCTTTCATTGGTCTAGATCAGCGTTGGCCAACCTAATACATCTCGAGGGCCAAATTTAGTTTATAGAACACCATCAGGGGCCAGATACAGTGTTTCTTTCAGAAGAGTGGTCAGGGAGTATTGCCCCCCAAACTGAATCAGTCACAACCCGTACAAAAACAGTGCATTTAAACCTATGTATTTAAATTTTACGTTGCACCAATAATATTAAGCCGATATTGAAAATTTCACCAATCGATTTTATTGCCTTCTATCACTTCTACCCCCAGAGCATTTTTTCTTAAAGAAACACTGGCCAGATCATGTCTTATGTTTAGTTTTATATATGCCGGGGGAAAATGCAATTATAATTTAAGAAAGAAAAATAAAATGCCTTGAAATGTGCAATTACTTACCATAAAACAGCACAAATTCCTCTTTCAGCAGGGATGAGCACAAAAGACTTTCAATCATAGTTTTTATGGTCTAATGATTATACCTAAATCCTCATATACACACTGTTTTAATGAGAGCACTGTGGTTTCATAAAACTGGAAACCAATGATATAAAATCCACTTCTAATTGTGAGGTTGCCACTCGAAGAATATGTGATAACACGACATCTGAAAGTCTGTTCCTGTTCTTAGACTTTACATGCTTCAGCGATGAAAACGCTGTCTCGCATATGTAAGTACTTGCAAAAACAGAGCAAAGTTTGAGAGCCCAATTTCGTAACAGTGGGTAACGTTCTGGTGAAAGCAGTTTCCAAAAGTCAATTCCAGTAACCTGAGATGTGTTTAAGGATGGGTCACATTGAAGTTCACAAAGCTCTAATTGCAGATGACCTGGCTGAGATTCTATATCACAATGTATAGGATTACTGAATAAAGAAATATCAGGTCGAAAGCTTTCAAAATCGTTAAATCGTCGGTCGAACTCTGAAGACAAATCTTCAATAATTTCAGTGTAGTCCCTAAACTCCAAGCCTTCTTCTTCTTCTGAGAGTTTCCGACAGCAAGGGAAATGTAGAAGGTTATTTTTGTCCAATGCAGACTTAAATAAATGTAGCTTTTTACGGAAACTGTCAACAAAGCCAACCATCTGACATATTGTCTGCTTCTTGCCTTGCAATTGCAGATTCAGGACATTCAAGTGTTGAGTGATATCAGTGAGAAAGGCCAAGTTTCTCAAGAATTCGACGTCTTCGAGATCATTCTGCAGTTCAGCAGAATTCGTAACCTCTTCTCTTAGGAATGTTGCTATTTCATGACGGAGTTCAAAGAACCGTACCAGACATTTCCCACGGCTTAACCATCTTACTTCAGTGTGCAGAAGCAGGTCCCCGTAAGCAGAATCCATTTCTTCCAAGAGGGTCAGAAATTTTCTGTGAGTGAGTGATCGATTTCCTCCTCTGATCAAATTAGTAATTTTTGTGACAGTAGCCATGGTGGTAGACAGTTTAATTGATTTGGCACATAGAGCCTCCTGATGTATAATACAATGCAAGGTAGGTACAGTAATTTGATTCTGTCTTAAAAATCCAACAAAACCGCTTATTGTCCCTGTCATTGATTTAGCGCCATCTGTTACTATGGAGGACAATTTTTCAAAACCACCGAATTCCTCCACTGCACTCTTAACAGCGTTAAAAATATCGACACCTCTAGTTGTGCTGTGTAAAGAGCACACTTTTAACAACTCTTCGAAAATTGTAAAATCTTCCTTAATTGCACGAACAAATATCAGCAACTGATTAGTATCCGAAACATCTGTGCTTTCGTCGAGAGCAATTGAGAAATAGGAACAATTAGCGATAATGTCTTTCACATTATTAGATATCTGGTTGCTAATATCTTCCAGCCTCCTAGTAACAGTCTGTTTTGAAAGGGGCACTGTTTGAAATTTGTTTCCTACCTTATTTTCATTGAAAGCTTCTGCCATCTTTATCGCACAGTTCTTAATTAATTCACCATCACTTAACGCTTTTTTAGCTTTCATTAATTCATATGTCACGAAATAAGAAGCCAGCAAAGCTTCTTCTTGTTGTTTTGTTTCATTGGTAAAAAGAGATTTCTGCTGGAAAAGTTTTTTCTTTAACTGATCGCAGACTACTTTCCTTGATTCACAAGAGTGTTTTCCGAACTTCTGTTTATGATTTGTCATGTAATGCCTCTTTAGGTTGTACTCCTTTAAAACTGCTAGCACTTGAAAACATACTAAACACTGTGGCTTGTGGTCTTTATTTAATATAAAAAAATAGTCATGTTCCCACTCAGATTTGAACGCCCTATTTTCGCTATCAACTTTTCTCAATTTACTATTTGACATGCTGTATCACTCACAATAACTTCAAACACAATTTTAATTTAAAAACAGTTCTACACTCACACTCCGTAATCACACTTCACTTTCTAAAATCGCACTAACTGGGAGACATTTCTGCTAAAACTGGCACTTAACAAAGGCCAGGATGCCGAGAGAAACGGTAAACATCCCATCGCCGCGAGCAAGCTGGGAATGGTTATTATTTTGAAGGTGTCATAAATCCTTCACCACTACGGTCTTCCCTTCAGTGTCATCTCCCTACAGAAGTAGGGTTGGGGAACTTTGAATTTCCATGACATGAACACAGTTATTAGAAAACCGTTTGAACTGTCCAACTCAGTAAGAACGTATACAGTCAATTGCAAAATGCTGTAAGCTAATGAAACGTCCTATTAAAAACTGAATTCTATGCCAATACAGCTGTGAAGTTAAGATTTTTGAAAATAAACCTGAGACTTGGCAGGGGGCTGGAGTAAATCAAGTCGCGGGCCGCCAGTTGGCCATCGCTGGTCTAGATCAAGCCTCTTCTCACTGTAGATCTGAAATAAATTTGGTTTTACTATGATACAAACACATATGTACAATATATGGATGTGTGTGTGAAATTTGTATATTGCTAGTTTTTTTTTAATTTCCCATGAGAAAACACTTATTAAGGCTTAGTTGATAAAAACAAGGGAATAAATTAATGAAGATACTTATGTATTATATTCACTGTGAAACTCCTAACTCTGCTGTTTCCATTATTCACTACTCACCAATATTCTGAGCATTAAGTGTTTTGGGGTCATACTCATCAGCTATAGAGGTGCCCCTGACCAGATAAAGGCTGCTGGCATATTTACAGAACAGTTTCACTTCTTTCTCTGTGATGGTGTCAGGGGGTTGGTTCAATTGATGCAGCAGTTGCTGTACACATCTGAACACAACCTCAGAATCTTTTGCTGCCTGATTGTGGTATCTGGAATGAAGTGACATGACATGCCACATTTCATGTTATGTGTGTCTGACATCAGTGTAAATATGAGATTCATTATTATTTACCCATAGTTTCATATGGAGATGAAACTTGATCTCTCATCCTAAGAGATGAGAAAATTAAGGGTATTTAAGAATAGAGTGCTGGAAGAGAATACTTAGTCCTAAGAGAAGTAACAAGAGGATGTTGGAAAAGTACATAATGAAGAGCTTTATAATTTGTACATGTCATCAAATATTATGATGTTCAAACCAAGGAGAATGTTATGGGTAGAATATACAGAACATATGGAAAGATAAGAAATGTGTATAAAATTATGCTCAGAAAACCTGAAAGGAAGAGATTCCTTGGGAGGCTTACTTGGAGAACGGAAACATGGTAATGGTTTTTCAGCTTCCAAAAAGGGCAGGGAATTCCTTGACTAGCTTACAGAATATCAGCTTCTCAAGGAGGACTCTGCTCCAGTAATTTAAACTGAGATATTCATAAATGGAATGTTCATAGCTCAGGATGAACATACCCAAATTCTTTACAAAAGCAGAAATACGAGGGAGAGTCAGTAAATAAGTCACAAATGGAAGTAAAACAGCCATAATAGTTATAATAGGTTTTCTGTGTGTATCACTAGGTAGCAGCACAGTCCAGCTTCATGACAGTCTAGGCAGCAGACGTGCATGCACATGTTCAGAGGCTGGTTTCAGTAGTCAAAATGGCGACTGTGCTAGAAAAGAGTATTACTGAAGAGCAGCATTCTGTCATACGTTCTTTGTGGGCAAAAGAACTCGATGCAAAGGATAATCACAAAGAAATGTTTCCTGTTTGTGGTTGGAAGTATTAGTCACATAAAGTGGTTCACAACAGGATTGAGAAATTCTCTCAAGGATATTCGGAAGTCGCAGAGGACGCCCAAGCAGGCCTCCCTGTTAAGATCGGGAGAGAAGCAACTGTGCAGCAGGTGGATAATGATAGTGTAGAAACTGGACTAGGGTGTTCCAATGGTTTAGCATACAGCATAATGTATGATCATTTGAAGTTTCAGGATGCAATTCACAGAAAACATTCTGGCCAACTGGCAAGAGGGATATGGCTTCATCGTGACAACACCAGACCCCATACAGCCTGAGCAACCCAGGAGAGAATTCAAGAACTACAGTAGGAACTTCTTGAACACTCACCTTACAGCCCATATTTTGCCCATTGTGACTTTCATCTGCTTGGTCTGCTGAGAAACCACCTTGGTAGCAGATGTTTTGCTGATGATAAAGAGGTTGAAATGGAATTGTGGAAGTGGCTGAGACAACAATCAAAATACTTCTATTCTTGTGGGTTTTGATGCATTGGTAAAGCAATGGGACAAATGTATCAATGTTGCTGGAGGAAATGTTGAGAAATAATGCTTTTTTCAGGTTTGAATATCATGTTTTATGTTTTATATCCATTTGTGAACTATTTACTGACTCTCCCTCATAAACTGATGCTGGCAGCACAGAACTCTAAATGGAAGAGAGACTCTTTTTATTACTGTCCTGTTAACTAACATGAGATTAGGTTCAGTACTTACATTTGCTGCAGTGCAATGTACTTCCCCGTTTCTGCAGTCATGTCAGGGATAGAGCCACAGAGTGGCAAACACCCTTCACCTTCATTTTCCACAAAGTCTCGCACTGCTTTTGCCATTATCCAAAAGGGTTTGCTCTGGACAAATGAGGAAACAGATACTTCAGATTTTGGTCTTCTGGGTTGTAACATGGTGTTGTCTTGTAGGTGGGTACCAAAGTTCTGAAGTGTGTAGGTTAAGGAACTGGCTCAGTTATAAAGCAGAAGATCAATGAACGATCACTGTCATGAAAACATCAAAACCAGCACTTAACAGGCTGCTCTGGAAAGAACTTCCAAGTGAAGTTTTCTATTTAAATGCTTTCATTTGTACATACACGTATTAACAGAAACTAGTAATTATACAAACCAGTGACCTGTTCCAGTGTGTAATAACTATTACGACAGATTCCACCAACTGACATTTGTCAGAAATAACTGGCACAGCAGAGATAACTGAAGCAGCTTGTTAGACACCGGTAAGGTGTAGTAGAGGCCGCTCCATGGCACCTACTAAATACCATTAAATCATGACTAATATATTTTGTGCAACTGCCATGTTAGATTGTAACAGGTTCAGATGATGGTGTATAACACTCACGCTTACTGGGTTTTTGGACTCTGTCCATCATCCAGTTTTCTAAAAACAAAAGAACGCAACATTTTGGAAATTGAATCTGTTTCTGTCCTCAGGAAAGGGGTGGAATACACCTACTCTGTTGGATTCGTTAGAAGGAACTAACCTCAGTCACTGAAATGGACTGTGTTGTTTCTGTTCTTCCATTTAAATCTGAGTTAGAAATATATACTGCTTTACTTTGCAAGAACTTACAAAACACAGTTTCCTGACATTTTCTTCAGTTATACAAGAAAGGTAGTCAGGCCAAAAAAAAATTATTGCTGTTCTCAAAGGTACACAGAGCACTTGCAGACTTTACAGTCAACATCCTAGGTTTGTTTGTTAATGAGCCACAGTGGTCACACATGACTGTCAATATATACAACAACAAATGTGACTCTGTAACTTTTAAACATATACTTAAATCAATCTGACATCATTTTATTTCCTCTATATCAGGTATAAGAGTTATATCACACTGAGTTGGTCACCAGTCCCATTTGTAACAGAAAGGCATGCCATATGAGGTGAGACTGGCATGGAGTTGAGAGAAACTCTGACACCCCCAGTACAAACGGTATTAATCTGGTTTATTTGTTCTTGAAGATTGATATTTTCTTTATGAATAAATCATCAAGACCATTTCTGTGCAACCATAACCTGTACCTTAGATGTTAGATTAATACAACTGTCATCATCCAGAATATCCCTCACATGTGATGGTACCAATGTTGATTTTATGCTGCTTGTAACTGCTTTCATTGCTTCTTCAAAATTTTCTTCATCTTCTGGATTTCCATGTTCATCAACATATATACCTATTGCACAAATGTTGAAAGAACAGATTAAAATGTCTACTGAAATTTCACATGTAAGATATATGTACAATATTTTCATGGGAAAATCTTGAGGAAAGATATCACACAACAGACATAATACAGAAGTGAGGATAATATAAAAATGTATCTTAGAGAAACAGGATGAAAAATAGGTTTATCTGGCTCAGAATAAAGTCTGGTGACAAGCTTCTGAGGAACAAGGTTATAAACCTTAAGGTTCAATAAAAGCGTGGAAATATCTTTATTAGTAGAGTAAATATAAACTGTACTAGGGAGATTCTGTACCATGGTGTTAGTGTTCCATATTACGAGCAGTTTAGGAGAATCTGTACTCTTGAGTATAGGAACTCTGTATGGATAATACAGAGATGTATTTTTCTGTTCTGTCTTGGTCATTTGAAAACTGTACGAACAGTATTCCAGGAGTTATTTTCAAAATTTGAATTTACACTTATATATCTTCAAAATCTTAGTGCAGAGGTACCATTGGTGTCACAGTACAAGGCTAAAAATTTGCAAAACATACCCTTTCGAATTGTGGATTTGAAATCTTCCTTTTCTTTGTAATTTTTTGGAAGCTGTCCATTGTGTTCAGCCTTCCACTGCTGCAGATATTTATACAAAATTATGAGGTATGGTACATGAGCATGATCCTTGTACTCCATGGCTTCCAAATCTATGGAGTCAACATACTTCTTGAGGCTCGGAAATGGTCTGTCAAGACGCAAGTCAGGTATTTGATTATCTGGATGAGTTTCAATTACTGTATGCTCTGCCACCTGCACTCTGATGTAACCGATGAAACCGTAACTGCGGCACACAATGAATGGGATTTGCAGATCCCACAACTTCTTGGAAAGAGGGATTAAAGTTCTGTAATAAAAACATGTTAATATTTTAACAGCTGGGATGTCATGGTTGATGCTCTAACATTCTTCCTATATTAACAAACTGACATGCTTAATGACATACATGGTATTATTGAGTTATATGTATTCGTCATGAAGCATAACTAATTTTTTGTTTCTGAGGGTCCTAATTTGATACAACATTATGTTTTCTTTTGTACAGTAAGGAACTGAAGGTAACACAAATAATGACATGTACATTTTAGCATGACATAAAAATAATTCCATTAACAATCTACTTCACTTAACCTGGTATCACTGCGTTCAACAGAAGCCGGCTCATACACTTTAAGTGTGAATAATATAAACCATCATCCTCCATCCTACTATCCTCCAGTTCTTCCCAACCACAGTCTTAAAATACAAATGTGTGAATTGTTATATGAAGTTTTATAAGAACAACAGGTTAATGCAGTCTTAGAAACGTGAGTTTCATTTACTTACATCATCTGTCTGCTGTATCTCCGTGTGTGTATATATATGCACATGTGCACCAGTACATGATGCTATGCAAATTTAACAAAAAAAACAGGTAGAGGGCTGGGTGATAGAAGGAGGTTCAGTAACACTTTTGATAGCATACAATCAATATTATACTAATGAGTATCAAAATCCATACAAATATTATTATACAAATTATACAAATAGTGTAACCCACACTTCACACATCCCTATTAATATTTACTAACAAACAATTTTCTCTTAGGTGAATACTTGGCAAGGAATGCCACAAAAGATGCCCTTAAATAATGTGGGCCTTAAAATGAACTAAAGTGAACAAAATTCACACATATAATACAAGCACTGAGTCAGGATAGCACAGTCGGTATAGCGACTAGCTAGGGGATGGACGACTGAGGGATCGGAGTTCGAGTCTCGGTAGGGTCAAGAATTTCCTCTTCTCTGCTTCTTCCAGACTGGCCCTGGGGTCCACCCAACCTCCTATCCAATAGGTACCGGGGGCTCTTTTCCTGGGGGTGAAGCGGCAGGGGCATGAAGCTGACCACTCAACTCCAGCTAGTGCTGAGGTCAAGAAAATGNCGACTAGCTAGGGGATGGACGACTGAGGGATCGGAGTTCGAGTCTCGGTAGGGTCAAGAATTTCCTCTTCTCTGCTTCTTCCAGACTGGCCCTGGGGTCCACCCAACCTCCTATCCAATAGGTACCGGGGGCTCTTTTCCTGGGGGTGAAGCGGCAGGGGCATGAAGCTGACCACTCAACTCCAGCTAGTGCTGAGGTCAAGAAAATGTGGATTTATACATCCACTCCCCCATACACCTTCATGGCATAGTGTTTAATTAGTTAAGCACAGGGACAACTTTATCTTTTATAATATAAGCGTCAATATAAGTAATATTTCAAGTTATATCAAAATCTGTCAAAGGATTTAAAGAAATACTATAAACCTGCCATACAAAATTTGGCCACTCTTCTAGAAATGGACACACATATAGAAAATAATATGTCCATACTGTAGGATTCTGGGTCATGACAGTGTAGTCTGGTTGGTGGATATCACCAATCCATCAGAACATAATGGCTTCATCTTCTGTGTACCTGGTGCTATAACCCAGAATGCCTCAATAAAACTTTTCACTGAAATATTAATAATGACCTTAATAAATGAGTTTCATGTTTGTTAATACATCCAAAAATTGATAATGTAAGAGTGGCACTCACCTTTCAATCAGTGATGTTCCGATGACAACTGTGAAATTATTGAAGAAGTCGGGGCTGTTTTCCAGCAGCTGGTCTATGTTCTCATCAACATAGTCACCTCGAACATCAGGGTTCAGCTCCAAAAGCAACTGAGTAGCAACCTGGGCTCGAGACTTGCCACAGCTCTCTGCATCCAGGAAGAAACTGTCAGAGGTGAGAGGAATTAAATCATTAAAGCTGAAACCAATGACATTAAGAAAATAAACTTGTGTAAAATTAGGAAAACTTAATACAAATATTACGTTTTTGGACATTGTCCATTATCCTGCCTTTATCTAAAAACACTGTCCTGTTTATTTTTCAAAACACAATGTTTCAGACTGGATTCTGCCTCCATCTTCAGGTAAAACCTACTCAGTTGGGCCCAATTGATACAGCTAGTCCCTACCAGACCTTTAAAGAGCTTCTGATTGCAGCCATGATGTAGAGTTGATCTGATCGATTTGTTGATCTCCAGAAAAAAAAAAGATTCCAGACTGCTGATTTGTTTGTTAAGTGCAGCTTTTTTAAAACAGTGGAACTGGATCCTATCTCTTAGCAGAGCCTTGCTGGCTCATAAAGTTATCTTAGAAGAGTGATGATTGTGATCTGGAGCTTTCAATATGAGGCCTTCGGGAACAATATCATGAGTCCTGCATTTCATCAGAAAAGTGAGATGGTTGGAAGTCTTAGACTGCTGGATGTTCAGTCATTCAAATTTTCTAAAATTTGGACATATATCAGGTCCATACTGGTTATGTAAACAACATCTAAAAGTTTGTGACAATGGTACATCAGTACAAATATTATGTTTTTGGACATTATCCATCATCCTGGCTTTATCTAAAGACACTGGATATAAGGACTAACTCTATCAATTTGGCTCAACTGAGTAGGTTTTACCTGAAGGCAGAGACAAAATCCAGTCTCCAAAACGTTGTGTTTTGAAAAATAAAGAGGATGGTGTTTTTAGATAAAGACAGGACAATGGATAATGTTCAAAAACATAATATTTGTACTGATGTATCATCATCACAAGCTTTTAAATCTTATTAGGAAAACTTGTTTATAACATAATAAGCTATGGCTACCTCATGTTCACAGTTCCTGATGTCTTAGCTGGGTACAAAATGTATTTTCACTTATCAGAGGAAACTGGGAACAGGTAACAAAGCTACCAGCAGGTATAGGATGTGGTCTGTAACTTCTAAGGCACTATTCCTTTCAGCATAATCAGAAAAAGAGGAACTGACTTTAATGAAAGTCCATGTAATATACCTATTCTACTTTGCGCTGATGCTCATATCACAGATGTGCACTTTAAATCGGATTTTAATAGTGCCAGTTTCGCAGCAAATTTTTGTTATATACCTGAGAATTCCCAAACTAAAAATACACCGTTGTTTTAACTAACTTGCATCCAGTATCTTCTTCTGTTACTTTCTTCCCATCAACTATCGTGAAGGCACCAATTCCTGGTAATACAAGTGACTTCAGTATTTCTGTTCCTATACCAGTCGCGTTGATAAGACATACTTGGGCTGACTCTAATGCTGATTGCCCATGGTCCCCCCAGAGTCTGAAAAATGCAATCATGGTCATTAATGACAAAATAGACATGTTTCCTTACCTAACCTCACATAACCTTATCGAATACAATATATTATCTTCACCTACACTACATATTTAAATCTGTGATATTAAAGATACGTTAACAAATAACAAAATGTACAAACCTAAGCTGTCTATCATACTTCTTGCTCTTTTCAGACTGCTCTGGTGATTTCGGTGCAGGAGACGACATTGTTTAGAACAATTGAACATCTTCTATCAACGACTGTAAAGCGGGTAGATTCCAAATGCCGACGGTAGCAGACAACACAAAATGCAAAATGAAGAAACGATGAAATAATTGACACTTTCCCTAAAAGGAGGAGCGATTTTTGGAGTATAATAAGAGTGACAATATAATTAAACAAGCAAGGATATATATCAGTATGTCGTAACAATTCTTGCGCGCTCGTTCACGTTTGTTTAATGATCTCTGAATGCATAACATGACTTACGAAAAAACATATTGTGCATATAATATGTATTTGTTTTTCCTATACTTCTAGCGTTTTGAAACTCATTCTCTTCGATAAATATGTAGTGAACTACTTTCGAGATGCGTATAGAAATGCATGCATATCTTCATGCAGAAAGTGTCCGTTATTGTTGCTCAATTTTAATAAAAATCTGCTGTGCAGCCAAATTTTGGCCAAATTTTCCAATATCAAATGTCACGAAAACCAGTTCAGCACTTTAAAACATGTTGTATGAGGACGGACACACAGACACAGCAAAGATAGCTGACCCATTTTTGCAACTTTTCGTTGCTAACGCGCCAAATGTGAAGAGGAGTTCACTACATGCTCTTGTCTTACACGTTTTTGCGGGGCACTCAGTATTTATCGCCACAATTTCGTCGGCTTATTTTTACGCAAGGATCCAGGTGAATACGATGTATTTTATAAAATTCAGTCATCAAAGAACATTCCGTACATGTATGAGCTTACATATTTCGTACTAAAGGATCGCTCGAAATCGCTCGAAATTCCTAGCACTAAACTCAATGACTCGAGGCAAACAACCATTCCAAGCGCATACCTGTTCGTTACAGCACGTTAAACAGCATTTTTTTTCAGTGATTAAGCATCTCAGCTCCTCTCGCCTAGTCTGTCGTAGAGGATTCGAAAGACGACGTGAAGAAGAGAAAATTCTTCACCCTATCGGGACTCGAACTCCATCCCTCAGTCATCCAGCCTGTAGCCAGTCGCTTTACCGACTACGCTATATAGTATATTTAAAAAAACGAAGAAATATTTTATACTTTACCTACCTAACTACCTACCACTCGGCGCTGCAGCCCTGGATGAACCTTGGCCTCCTCTACAACCAGTCTCCAATGCTCTATTTCATACTGTAGTTTTCTCGATTAAGGGAGGAATCAGTAGGTCTATATTCGCTTGAAATGTTACCCACCTATCAGACTATGTTGTGTCATAGCCTAGAAGACCATAATATGAAACAACTGGATGGTTTCCTTACAGATCACGAGCAGCTGGCTTCACTGCATGACACCCTACTTAATTCTATGAAGATTAACTTTGTCGAATATCCTCGTCTCTAAAACGATGAAGTTGGCTCATGACGATAAGTATCTCGTGTCAGGAATGTCTTTTTTGTGTAACATAAACATATATACGGAAATTAAATAAAATATAATTCTAACGTCAATCTAATTCAGAAGAAATTAAGAAGTGTGCTTCCCGATATTGTGTGCGTCTCTGAGTATGTATAAAGTATTATCAGCATCTATGGGTGTTTGGGCCTCTATAAAATACAATTTAGAAATGCATCCCACTATCTCTGATAAAGTTAATATATACGTTTACACACATCTCTGATAATCTGAGAAGATTTTTCCAAAATAGATGATCGGTCATGAAGTAAGCAGAGTGAAACAACGCATATTGCTGCAACTCGTGTCGGCAGTAAAGATGATATCTGTGACGAAGTCACCGCACACTGATACAACAAAAGAGTGTTATTAGTGATATTGTGTCAAATAATATATAAAAGTATTGATAGATATTTACTTTAGAGCTAAAACTAGACAAAATTTCAAATTCGGTTATCTGAAGAGTCTGCATCTCATGTAAACTGTAATTTTATTGCATCGTCCATTGTATTTTGAATACATAGCATGGTGAGTATCACACACTCATACAGCTAGGGCGATAGCAGACTGAACTACTTTCTTAACCCGCATTTCTTTCTTTATAAGCAAAGACAGGAATATGGTTATTAGAGTTGTAATAACCCGTATGTGTCCACTTTCTAACGATTTTTGAATCGATGGATATATTTTTATTATACTGAGTATAAGCAATTTCCTATTTAGTGTCACCTAACATTCGTACGCCTTTATTTCCTGCCGTCGTAATAGAAATATGACGACAGTGGAAATTTCTAGGGGGATATGTTTCTCAAATGTTATATGACGTGTCAGAGATACCGAACAAACTATGTGCTTTCTAATTTCGTAAACATTCGTATCAGCTGAAGAAACAGTTCATCAGTTGAAGAAAGCAGTTTTATAGGATGTGGCGCCGTGTAGATATTGTGTTAACTGACGTTTCAGAGGAACGTATCGCCTCTATCTTCAGGGTAGAAGAAAAAAGAAGAAAATCCGCGTGCGAGGAACCAACGCGAGCAGGTGCTCACAGTCTTTCATAGCCACCGCCGTGAAAACCTCAGATTTTACAATTCATCAGTTGCTTGATAAAAATATCAGGCGGACGGGCATGCGGACATGACAGTACCGCCAACTTGCGTGCCCATGTATAAAAGTGGCGGTAGGCTGAAAGAATCTGTACTATTGACCTTGGTTTTATAAATATTAAGATAAGACGTTGAAATTATAGATAACTTAATGGTTATTTATTTCTCTGAAGACAGAACAAGTGTTAATAATAATAATAATTATAATAATAATAATAATAATAATAATAATAACAATAATAACAACATAGCCTTGACGTTTTCAAAGTACTATTCCAGCCCTGGCCTGCAGGAACTGAAGGAAAAATCCTGAAGTATGGCATACAGTGCGATAGTTGAGCTTCGAACTCCGCTCCTGAATGCGACGCAAAGGTGTTAACCACTACACTGCAACGCCCACGAAGACGGCGTGATCGTAGGGACAAAACTCTCAGAGTAGAAGAGGCAAATCAAAATTTATGCTTCCCCGTAAGTCATGTTTGTTCGTCTGTCTGCATACTTTATCTCCAGAACTGATATTCTGACGGGCCTTAATGAGGTTTAACGCTAAAGTTGCTAAAAATATTGAAAGAGATTCGTATCGGTCTAATATAAAAATAAGTAATCTACACGTGAGTAGGCCTAAGATCAAACAAAGTTCGTCAATGCTTTAAAAATGACTTAACTTACAAATAGGCCTCGCCATAGCTCAAGCGGTTAGTCGCTGGCTTCCCACCGCGGCGGCCCGAGTTCGATCCCAGGTCTGGACAAGTGGGATTTGTGGTGGACAAAGTGGCGCTGGGGCAGGTTTTCTCCGAGTACTTCGGTTTCCCCTGCCAATCTTCATTCCACCAATTGCTCCACAAACCCTCACCTGTCATCTGGGGCTGGTACAATAGGCACGAAGTGGACGCAGTACAAGGGGCTTAGTCCCACCCCTCTAGCAATAAAAAAATCTTACAAATAAGTATTATAGTATAACGGATAGAGTTCCAATAAGATCTATTATTTATTAGCTCTCACAGATGATTATGTTGTGCTTGTGTACCACAAGGAGTATTGCTTCTCTCCCGGTATGATTTCATTCTAGATATTTCTCTGGTGTTAAGCCTCAAATTATAATTTGAGCTATCATAATTATGATAGCTTCAATATCTCTTAGCTCTCACAGATGGATTATGTTGTGCTTGTTTTATGAACCCCTTCTGAAACTGGCATAGTTGTCCGGAGATAGGGGCTAGCTCTGTCTATTGGACCCAACTGAGTAGGTTTTACCTGAAGACGGGGACAGATTCCAGTTCCCGAAACGTTGTGTTTTTTAATAGAAACTAGACGGTTTTTTTTAGAACAGACAAGATGATGGATAATGTCCAGCAACATATTAATTGTAACAATTTACCATCATCACAAACTTGTAGATCTTATTTATCTATTATTTATATTTGAAATATTTTTTGATATTACATATATTTAACAAAATACAAGAATAAGTATTACATGATTATAATTAGTCGCTTTTCCCTTGACTCGACAGTCCTTTTAGAACGTCGGCCTCCTTTATGCCAGATGCCCACTCTTTTCTCGTTTGGCATCAGTCGTTAGTTTCTTGACAAATATTATTTTAGGATGAGAGGTTGTTAGCTTCACATACAATTCCCAGCCTGGAGAACCAGAGGTTATCTTCAATCTGGCCCCTAGCTTTCCTCCTATCTAGCATGGGTGACCCTATCAGAAGCTTACTCTCCCACTAGCATATCTCTCCAGGTAATCAGGACACCCTGATCTCCCCACTACATTAAGGTACTAGACCATTGGAATGAATTTATTTTTATGCAGAGAATGAATGTCGCAGACAGAATTATCAAGAAATTTCTTGATAGGAGTGAAGAGCCTGATTATCAAGAAGAAGAACCGGACAAACCAGATAAGAAATGGGCCTCGACTATAACCCGGTTACTAGTCCAGCTAGGCCCACCGGTAGGGGATCGGCTGTCCCTGCCAGTGAATGGCAGTGGGTGGCTCTAGGCTTTCCACTGTCAGCAATCCAAGAGATCTCCCTCTCGCACCGGAGGTTTAAGTTGCTGGCCCCTGCTGCCGAGAGGAAGTAGCCGTTAGCTCTCGAGAGCTTTCATGATGGACCTCAGGAAGTAAAACTGAATGAAGCCTTTCGATGGTGGTGAACAGGCTGTCAATCTATAAGACATTTCTGACCATCAGGAGAAACTGATCAAGATGCTGTCTCTTCTGGGGGGAACTGAGGGCTCTGCTGAGGCTGAGGTCCAGCTGAGACTAGCTTTGTTGAACCTGTCGATGAATGACAGACGGCTCTCGTTGTTTGCTTTCCATGCAATACGGACAATTCTTCTTAATGACGAGGCAGCATTACACAATTCATTAATTGCTACACCATGGGCCTCTCTTAAAATCTTCTATATAAAGTAATATCGAATTTCCCTATTGTCTATGGAAACGCACACAAAGTATATCCAACGACTGATTCAATGTTTTTGAAAACATCATTAATATTTTATCTTGTTATAATACTTCCAATTTTTAATTTTTATATAATCTGAACTTTTGTATTTTTTACATAAGCATTTTTAAATTTGTACGATTAATAGTGTTATATCCATTTTATGATTGCAGTTAAATGGTAGATTTGTTGATATGTATTTGCCTGATGATGGCCGATAGTGGCCGAAACATGTAGCAAAGCCACAGCTGAACGCTGACTTTGATGTTTTACTATTTGTTGTGTTGTGACGGTTCATTAAAGAGTTGTATATTTTAGCACAGCAGGATGCATGAAATTAAGATTAAGATTGTATGAGTGTATGTTATGTTTGTGTCTGTGTACGAGTTCCATATGACAAAAGATTCTTATCTGGATGATTAATTAGACACCTTATACAACAATACCACATCGAGAAGTTGTCATTAGGCCAACTTCACTGATAACCTGCTACTCGAGTGTTTCCTATACAAAATAGATTGCGAAATAAATAAGTCTTAAGTATTTTTAGCGTCTATAAAGAGGCTATCAATCAGATATCTTTATTATTTCAGTGTCTTTGATCAGGTAAGCATGATCTGTTTTAATTTGTTCAGCCCGGAATTAACGAGAGAATTTGGAAATATTCTGAAGAAAATCAGACTTTTTTAAGGTTACTTTCACAGCTAACTCAGTTGTATTTAAGTAATTTCTGTCTTCAGACTTTCTAATTGCTCAGCCCACTGCAAGATGTGCGAAATTTCCATAATGCTGCATCTCTCTGGCAACGTCGAACGATACTCTTTGCTTTTAAAGTCGGTTTAATTGGCGACGCCCTCAGTATCGAGACAATTGAACGGAGTAGAATAAAATGATTAATGAATTTTGAGTAATCGGGACAATGAAAATTTGGAAACAGAAGCACTTGAAGAAAAGCTGCCCAAGTGTAACTCTGCCCACCACAGATCCCACATGACCTGCCTATACCTTCACCACGTTCGTCCCTCTGTATGAAAAAAAAAGAACTTCCCTCTGGAAGAGGAACTTTAATTAAATTTAATGCTTATATTATTACCAACGATTATAGACAAAATATAATACTGCATGATCCAGTGTATATATGTATGTATGGTTAAGGGGAACCCCCACTTTTCTTCCGAGATAAGGTTACTTCCCTTTCCGTATCACAAAATGCGACAGCTAAAATTAACCCGCGGATACTAAAATTAAAAAAAAAAAAAAATTAAATAGGCCTTATACGAATTTAATTAAAGAATAAGATGAGAACAAAGATTCAACCCTATTTAAAACTCTGCCGCAATAATTAAAAAAAGAAGTAAAGCTGTCCCTATAGCAGGCTATGAAGACCCATAGGTTTGTGAGACGTCGAGGCTCCCATATTTTGTAGACAATCAGCTTACAGATGACGGTGAAGTTGCCAGCCTTACACGCCGGCCGCCTTTTACTCCACAGGAAGATTTCTGGTACTCATTTATATTAGAGGCTGAGTCGACTCCAGGGCCATAGAGCGGCTGGAAGCATTAGGTCAATTGAAAAATCTAGCGACCTCATCGGGAATCGAAACCTCGACCTTCCGACTTGTAGCATAGTGCCTCAACCGACTATGCCACTGCGTGCACCTGTCGTAATAACTGTATCGCTTTAATAGGCGAGTCTTCGGAGAGTTCTAAGACAATTCGCACGCATAATTGCATCCAATTTTCACAGAAATACGAGGATGAGATGAAAAGGCAGTGATACTAAAATAGGGGGGAAACGAGAAATGCTTACAGTTTTTTTTTCGGAAATCCCGTAAGAAAGGGAGATTACTTAGAAGACATGATCATGTGACAGGCTAGTATTAAAACGAATATTGGGAAATGTAATGTGGAATGAACGCAACTGGAACGCGATATAAACTGTTTTTTGAACCCCGTGAAGAAATTTCAGGTCATATGAAAAGTGAGAATTTCTTAATCACTTCAATAACAATCGAGTTTTGAAGGAAGACTGCACAGTGGAAGTAAGTTAGGTACATACCTCACACAGTCTCATTTCAGTGTCCTATCACGTTTAGAAATTGCGACGAAGAAGTTCATATGATCTACGGCCCAAATATTAATATCAGACACGCGAGAGGAGACAGATAACAGAACCTGACTCTCTTATTTTCCATAAGCTGTCACGAAGATGTTGAGATTCCTGTGCCTTCTGATCCTGACGACTGCGTTTGCAAACAGAGCCACCTTTGACAACTACCAGGTGCATCGCGTGGTGCCTGAAAACCAGGAACAACTTAATATTCTCAAGGATCTGGAAGACGACCCAAATGGCGTACGTATACTCTATTAGGAGGGTGTGTTTATTGGGAATACCAGGAAAATTGTGAACATAAATTTATTCACAAATATAAGATACTTTCCTCTACATGGAAATTGGGTTTCCATGTTTACGGAACAATATCCATTATAAGACATAGAGTAATTACAAGGCTCATTAAAATAAGAAATAAAATTAGGCATTATTATAAACTAAATATTGACCTAATCACTGTCACTAAATTACTGTCATATAGATGCACAATAGTTTTATTTCAATTTTGTATTGAGGCTCATTTCGCTTGTGTTCTTGTTGCTTCTAACGCCAGTCATAACCACGGTTCCCCACACTCCACCCCTGATGTTATTTTCACTGTGAATATGATAAAGCCGACAGAGGGAATCTACAGCGTAAAGGATGATTCGAATTACATTTGAGGCCTGATATTCCTCTTAGTAACAGAGATCTGACTGTTTTCAGAGGTGAGAGACGAGCAAAGCTTGTTTGAAAACGCACTATAGACATAACTGGGCTCGCACTCCAGACATTCTCTGCAGAACGCGAGCACCTAGACATGTATGTCGCAATATGACTTACTTGACTTAATTTCTTTAGTTCCGAGCGGAACATAGAGCTGCTGTGAAATTTCTCCATCTTTCCCTCTGGTTTGCCAATGCCTTAACCTCTCTCCAGGTCTTGAGCCCACTAGTTAGAGTCATAATAACTCGAAGATAGCCTATGGCGAATTGGGTGTGGCGGTATGAACGAGTTTGATTCCCTACAGGCACAAGGATTATGCCACGCACCACGGCATCTCGACAGTCTCTGAAGTCTGTTCAGCCCCCTGTCCAATATGCAACGAGGGCTACATCTCCGTCATAAAGTGACTGGAGCAAGAAACTGATGATTTGAGCCTGTCTAGTGCCGAGGTTAAGAATGTCAGAACTGCAGCATACGTCTCTGTGGCGTGGTGCTTCACACACAGAGATATTGGGTTTAAGGACTTTATCCATCGTCCTGGTTTTTAAGATAACTAAAAAAAGCACGACGTTTCGGAAACTGGATCTGTTTCAGTCCTCATGTGAGGGAAAAACACCTATTCTGTTGGGTCCGAAACGTCTTAGTTATCTTAAAAACCAGGACGATGGATAAAGTCCGAAAACCCAATATCTCTGTGTGTTATACACCATCGTCAGAATCCTATAGTAACTAATTTAAATTCAATATAGAAATACTTGAGGTAATAATCACGTTATAATACTATCTTTGTAATCCAATTTTATACTAACCAATCAGATTGGTGTAACAATAATTCTGTATATTTGTGTATTTATGAAATATAAGGTTAGAATTTATATCAAACTAAAAAATATTTGAAACTTTCGTAATTTCTCCTCAGTCTTTCCAGAGGAATGCAAGACTCGCCTTCGTTAAAATCCTTACCTATTTACCATTCATAATCATTTTACCAAATAATTCGGCATTATAACGTCTTCAGCTGAAACAGTGTTGTTAGATAACTTAATAACTCCGCAGTTGTGAGCAACCTGACTAAATTTACGTTATTACAAAATCCCACTCCTAACCGATGTGTAATTTCTTAACTCCAGCTGAGTTTCTGGGTGGGTCCAAGCCGAATCCAGAAAGCCGTTGACATCATGATACCACCCCATATGCTGCCACGATTCAACGACATTTTGGCAAGCATCAATCTAAAATCCGAAGTTTATATCGGCAACGTACAGCAGTAAGTAGAACATAACTTTTGCTTCATAAATTTGTCACCAGTCACCTTAGCTTAACTGTAACCGTTTTGAGACCTCAACCTTCTTCATCGCTTCGCACGTATTTCCTTCCTGTCTATGGGTGACTTATTACAAACACTAATCGATTTGCTTGAAACCTGGTAATAATTTAATGCCATTTGGGCCCTCGTAATACGGTGTTAATTTATGCAATAGCTACGCAGTCTGGACATCAGTTTACGTTGGGTATCATACCAGATAACAGAAATAGAATGTCACAAAATTCGTCAGGAAGACAGGCACAACTCGGCGTTGCTTCGGAATGCTTCGGAATCAAAGTCAGAATTAGTGGCGGTTTGTATTGACACTCCGTTCAGCTCCCACCAACTCTATGAACTTGCTTCACTGTCTCAGCAGACTATTATTTCATACGTACGTAGAATGAGTGTCGATTACAAAGTTGGGTGTTGCTCTTTAGTCTTCTTTAATTTACTCAGTGGTTTTCATTTTGTTTTCCCGTCATTCTCTCGGTCTTTCAAATCGTTGACACGAGTGGAGCTGGACAGTTTTCGGAAATGGCAGTGGTCCACTGAAAATAAAGATAAAGTTGACCCTCTGCTTAACTAATCAAACACTACGCGTGGGGGAGTGGTTGTGTAGCTCCATGTTTTCGTAATATCGGTACTAGTTGGAGGTGAGTGGTCAGCTTCACGCCCCGGCCTCTTTACCTACAAGAATAGAGCTCCCGGTACCCATTGGACAGGAGGTTAGGTGGACCCCAGAGCACGTCTGAATTACGTGGACAGGAGAAAATTCTTGATCCAACCGGGACTCGAACTGCAGCCCTCCCCATCGCCCAACCCATAGCCAGTCACTATACCGACTGTGCAATTCCGGCTCCTGGTCCGTTGAAACTAGGAACACAAATATGTTTTTATTACTGGAAACCATCATTTGACTGTTCTCTGCACTAAGAATTTAATTGAGGAANATCACCGCCGTGAAAGCCTCAAATCTTACTTAATTGAGGAAGTTTTAATTCTTTTTCTTTGCTGATAATCATTTTTCACCAGTACTCCATAGGGTTACAGATCTAAAGTGTGTGATATGCCCTTCCAGCCAGCACATCCTCACTGTCTTTGACTTGGCACGCAGTAAATAACTTAGCTGAGACTGAAAGTTCTTTTGTTTTTTTCAGTCTCATCGACACGGAGCGCCCCAAAGTAAGGCCGACGGTTGATTTTGGCTGGACAGACTACTACACTCTGGACGAAGTAAGTGTTGCCATCTGATTGCTAAATACACGTAAACACAGCTTCAAGTCTCATGCAAACAACATTTGACTGATGCTGCCTGCAGCATGCAAAAAACTTGGAAGTAGGATGTGTTTTACGTACAAAGGCTGCTTATTTTTAGGTTTGCATAAAATAAATACCCGAGAAAAACTTTGTTTCAGGTTTAATGCTTATTATAAAAGATTATTAACGCCGTCCAGTGTGATTGATGAATTTTGTGTTTTTTTATATTTTATCCTTTACTTGTTTCGGTCAGAGCGACCATCTTCAGAAGGACATTATCAATACATTCGGAAACTACTATTACAATGTCATTGATCATTATCCATACATATAGACACTACTATTACAATGTCATAAATATAAAATACTATCCCCTAACAATTACTGCGATGGGCATGAATTTATTAAAACATTTATAAATTATTGTAATTAGTATACTTACAAGTATGGTTTTAAAACTATTTATTACAATCTAGAACTAATTTGGTTCGTGTCCTTTATACTGCCTCTCTTTAAAGGAAAATGAGTGTCTACCGCCTCGTCATTCCCTTGTTTGAAGAATTGTCCAGTTTCGGGCCTCGTTGTGTTATGCAGTGACGGACTAGGATGAACCAAACCAAATTTAATGCTTATATTTGAGTAGCTGACCAAATTGATAGCGTAATTTAATCTTACTTCATAATTTTCATAAACATAACCTTTTCTGTCTTTATGTTTTTTATATTTTTAACTGTGATGATCCAACATTACAGATTTACGCGTGGCTTGATTTCCTGAACGAAACTTACCCTGGGGTCGTGACTCCAATTGTTGGAGGTGAATCCTATGAGGGTCGACAGATTCATGGCGTGAAGGTGTCCCACAGGGCAGGAAATCCTAGCGTCGTTTTGGAAGGAGGTGTGTTTCTGTATCTGACAACACAAATCGATCATGTTGTTTCGGAAGACGCTAAAAATGAAAACACTTGTTAAGGGGACTACGATGAACAGAAGTATTGTACATTGTTGTGCCTCTCTTAACGCATATATGAATTACACTTACCATAACCAGCCTCTAAACACGGGCCAGTCGAATCACGGCAGGCCTACTAGAAACTTCCACGTCATCTCAATCAGTTGCATGTGAGTGAAAGAGCTAAGAAATAATAAGTAGCAACGTTACATGTGCCATGATGTTGTGAACGTTGACATAACATAATTTTGTGTTTGAGGCAGTGGGAGATATAACCATACACATTCTGTTGTCCAGGAATCCACGCCCGAGAGTGGATCAGTCCCGCCACTGTGACATACATTCTGAACAAGCTGCTGACTAGTCAGGATCCAGTGATGCAGGACCTGGTACAGTCCTTCGACTATTACGTCTTCCCTGTCGTAAACCCGGACGGCTATGTGTACACGCATACAACGGTAAGAAACACATCTTCTGTTTCCAAAAAACTACTTAAATCAGCGAATTACTTCGAGATTTGTTTTTTACTAGAAAATGAAACTTTTATTCCTAAGAATTTTATTCTCAGCTGTGAATATGAGCAGAGATTGAAAATCTTAAAACTGCAGCCTTCATATTCACAACATATTTCAGTTAAAAGTCTCGGCTTTATAAACTTAACATAATTAATTTCCGAAAAAAATCACTGAAAGAAACCTGTCCCGACATCTCTCTATAGTTAAATCTAATTATTATGGCATTTTCAAAGAGACAAATCATGGAAGTATTATATCCGAAGTGTGTTGTAAAATAAGTGGTCATGGAAATTGTTAAAGAATATTATCTTTACAAATATTATATTTCTGGATATTATCCATCGTCCTGTTCTTGTTAAAATAATTTTCGGAGAATACACTCCCTCTCCGCCTTCAGGTAAAACCTACAGAGTTAAGCCCAATCGATAGAGCCAGTCCTTTTCTCCGGACACCTGCACCAGCACAAGTTACACAAATCATCTGCAAGAGTTAAGACAAATCATTAAAATATTATTAATGTACCATCGTCACAAACGTTCAGATAATACATGTATTATCTTTATGAAATACTGAGGATTCTCCTTTCATTCTCTCTTGTATCTGCCTTCTTCTTTCTTTCGTTCCTCCTTTTCTCTCTTCTCCTTGCTTCCTTGTTTGCATGATTCTTTTTTCTTTATTGATTTACGTATTTACGTATTTTTCCCCTAAAGAATGAATCCATTGAGTGTTGCAGGACCGCACATGGAGGAAGACCCGCAGTCTGTCAAACAACCTTTGCTACGGGGCGGATCCCAACAGAAACTGGGATTTCCATTGGAAGGGTAAAAACAACACGAATACCCAGATTTTCAATTGTAGATGTAGGCTAGACCATGAAATGTTTAACAGAGAACTAGTATTGATATTCTTAAACATATTATATAGTCTTTTTAAAATGAATACAATTAATTATCCATTATATTATTTCACTATGGATGTGAACTCTGTAGTTTTATACACACTCTATGTTTCCGGAACAGAGGCCGGAGCCAGCAGCTCGCCATGTTCTGATTCGTACGCCGGAGAATCTCCTTTCTCCGAAATAGAAACCAGAAGTCTGGGAAGATACCTCGACGACATCTCAGACAATCTTGTCGGGTATTTGGATTTCCACAGTTACAGCCAACTGCTCATGTTTCCTTATGGCCACACGCACGAGCATGTATCCAACTATGATGAGCTGGTGAGTTGTGTCTTATTTCCTATGGGGGAAAGAACTACTTTCAACTTTCAACTCTCTGAGCAAGTTTACAACGACTATAACCCCTCAAAAACTGAGTGACTACCTTTTCCCTAGCGGAGCCGGGATAGCGCAGTTGGTATAGCGACTGGTCACGGGCTGGACGACCGAGGGGTCGGAGTTCGAGTCCCAGTGGGGACAAGAATTTCACTACTCCATGTTGTCCAGACTGGCTCTGGGGCCCACCCAGCTTCCTATCCAACGGCTATCGGGGGCTCTTTCCTCGGGGGTAAAGTGGTCGGGATTTAAAGCTGACCACTCACCTCCATCTATTGTCGAGGTCAAGAGAAATTGGATATATACATCAACTCCCCCGTGTGCTTCATGGCGTAGTGCTTAATTAGTTAAACACAGGGATAGTTTTACCCTTTACACTTTCTCTGTCCCGTCACAATCTGTAGAAATACTGCCACCTCTTGCTGCTCAAAAAGTATACATCTAATCCCCTGGTAACGACCATGGCAGGTTTGGTCATACACCGGGTATGAGTATGGAATGAGGTTTAGATACCTGTAGGAACTTTTGAAAATTTTGCACAGGAATCGTGGCAATATTTAATACAATCTCTTTCTTAAGAATGGTCTCCACGCCTATGCAGAATATTATACCCAGAAACTACATTACTCTACTTCACCCCTACTATCGTATCTTAAATCCATTTTGCGCCCATACGAGAATCAGAACTCAGAACTGATCTTACTAGTAATTCCGCTTAGATCGTACCTCGGTTTTCATGGCTCTGCCAGCCTAGACTTGCTCATTTTAACAGTGCAGATGACTGATAATTAGCCATACAATTCAGTGCATCACTTCGTGGAACGCCTCTCAGACCGCCGGGTCATGCTTGCAGACTTCCGGTTATCCAGGCAGCAACCAGTACCCCAGCCGCAGCTTCTAGTTGTCTCGGACCAACAGAACCTCTGTCCACGAAAGGGATGAAAAGCCTCCGCGGCCTATTGCACCACTGTTTTAATCCCTCAGACTGCTTGATCAGCAGCTGTCACAGTCTTAGTCAGCGTGGGTCATTGAACAAACACCAGGATTTCCTTCATTAAATTCTACTCTTAGAGTCTATTTCTGAAATTCTTCCTGATGCCACGCTGCTTCTGTATCAGACTAGAGGCCTCTAGCCCTAGTCGATTACATTGGTCGCGCGGTCTGAAGCATAAACCGTCTTCGACCATTCGAACACTGGGATCGTGGGTTCGAATCAAACTCGAGGTATAGATGTCTGCGTGCTTTTATTCTGTGTGTAGGTAGCGACAATGCGACGGGCTATTCCCCCGTCAAAGGAGTCCTACCGACTGTGTATATATTAAGACACTGAAAAAGCGGCCAAAGTCCACAAGGGTTGTAGATAGATAGATACTCGTAAATAGATAGACAGAGAGATAGATAAATAGATAGATAGATAGGTAGACAGGCAGAGAGGCAGACAGGCAGACAGATATATAGGTAGAGGCCTCTAATTATGGAGAATTGGTCCACAACACTAAGTTACTGGAAAGCTTATTCTGACTAGCATACAGAATGCAGATAAAAGATAAAACGAAACTGAAGTAATCCTTTTTAACTTCTCTAGCAATAGATATGCTCTTATAATTGGACAATATAATTCCCTTTGTTCCAGTTGGCTGTCGGTTTGGATGCCGCTGCAGCGCTAGCTCTTAACAACGGGACTCATTACGACGTGGGCTCCATATATGACGCAATTTGTAAGTGCAAGCTAAATATAAGTTGTTTTTTTTCCAAGACCACGTCGTTTTCACTGAAAATTATATCCAGCCAAGTGTAACTGTTTCATACATGTAATCTTAGCACGTAATTTGAATAATCCTCCAGTAGACGTCCTAAGCAAACACTATTTTTTTATTGCTAGTGGGGTGGGACTAAGTCCCTTGTATTGCGGCCACATCTGGCCTATTGTACCAGCCCCAGATGATAGGTGAGGGTGATTATGGAGCAATTGGTGGAATGAAGATTGACAGGGGAAACCGAAGTACTCGGAGAAAACCTGCCCCAGTGCCACTTTGTCCACCATAAATCCCACTTGACCAGAACCGGGATCGAACCCGGGCCCCCTCGGTGGGAAGCCAGCGACTAACCGCTTGAGCTATGGCGCGGCCAGGCAAACACTACGTGTCTGTCGCTAACTAAGAAGTAGAAAAGTTTAGCAGCAATTGGTATCATGACTTCCTACCATCACAGATTGACACGATCAATATTTCTTAGAAGAAAAGTAGCATACAAAATGCAGTGCCTGTATCTGTTGAAAGATAGCACTACAGAAGAGCTATTTATTACATAACTGTGAGCAGTAATTTTGTAAATTTAATACAAATATTTAGAAGTGTATGAGAGAAAGATAATGAGGAACTTCGTAACTTGTACTCTTCTCCAAGTATAAATAGAATGAGCAAGTCAAGGAGGATGAGATGGACAGAGAATGTAGCACAAATGGGGGAGAGGAGGAATATATATAGAATATTGGTGGGAAAGCCGGAAGGAAGGAGACCACTTGGAAGACCAAGACGTAGGTGCGTGGACAATATTAAAATGGGTCTTAGAGGGATAAGATTGGACGGTATGGATTGTATTGATCTGGCACAGGATGGGGACCAGTAGATTACTCTTTTGAACACGATAATGAACCTTCAGGTTCCATAAAATGCTGCACAATTGGCAGCTTATCAAGAAAGGCTCAGCTGCATGAGTGAGTGAGAGAAGGAAGTCATTTTGCTCATCCCCTTACAGACAGATAGGAAATTTAAGAGTCTAGACTGCAGAAATTACTCTTTTCCGGATGCAATGATATTAATTTCGGAATCTCATTACTCCTTTATCAAACTTACTGATTCTTAGGTGGCATGAGGTTACCCTTGGGTCTGCATTGTCATATGATTTAGAATTAGATGGGTAGATGTTATTGAATGGCACGCCATATGGAACTGAAAGAAGACAATCGAGACTTGCTTCAAGGTACTACCCCACAACTGGGAAACCTACGTTAGTATAACCGATAATCCGTTTAGATTCGAACTGAATATCTCTAGAAAATGAGTACATACCATTATCCTCGGTTTCTTTTTTCAGAATACTCTCTGCATATTTCATAGCAGTGTTCATAAAACTGTGTGACCCATATCGCCAATGAGGTTTTTGTGTCGGTTGGGTCAAATGAAAGATCTCGGCAACAAGAACTTCTATTAAAGATTAATATAGGCCTATACTGAAATGCACATAACTGTTCAAATATACTTCTTGTAAAAAAGGGAGGTTTATTTTTGTCGCGACGGGACTGAGATGTGTTTGAAAATATCTGTGGGGTGCAAGTTACAGAAGTTTGAGTATCTCTGTTCAGTAACCAGAGTCGGTTAGTTGAGATTTGAACTCTGAGCTCTGCAAGAGGAGTGGCCTATTGTAAAAGGAGAACCGCCTTCCTCCAGGGAGCCGTGAAGTTTTTCGGGGGCCTAAACTCGGGCCGATAACTAAAATACTGAATTAATTCTGATCTTAAGAGGGTAAATTTTGTTACAAACATACATGGTAAAAAATATGCTTTATATATAGGTATATAGCATTGACTTTTATTAATAGGGTCTATTTTTTCGATGCTGTCAAATCACATTTTATGCTTACAAGTCACTTTCTGTTGGCTTGGGCACCTGAAACTCTTATTGGCGTTAAGGGAGCCACAGAATAATACAGCAAACCCTCGTTATAACAGGACCGGATAAAATGGATTTTGGATGTAACGGTCAATATATAGCTGTGTACGATTGCGGAGTTTTAGAGACGCTAGCCACAAAGGAGATTTTATGATTATAAATCTATTTAAAATAAAAAAATAACCTTTATGTAATCACATTCTGTTTCTGTGTTTACTGCGTGTATTCACTATGTATCCTGTGGTGTACTTCTGTGAATACACCTTCACTCGGTTATGGTGGACACTGCTGATAACAGACACCCTGCCCCCCCTTCACCATTAGTCTGTTATAACGAAAGTTTTCTATAGATTGTGGTCATCAGACTACTACCACACTGTCTGTTAGTGACAGCCATATCTATTATGCATCTTACCATACCTCGCGTCCCGCCAGATGGCCTGTAAATATGTGAGAAATAAGATTTTGTTACAAAAAGTCTCCCTCTATCTTCGAACCCCTCGTGTATGTTGTATCTCTAGATCCGGCCAGCGGAGGAAGTATCGACTGGGTGCGAGGTGTTCTCGACACTCCTTACACCTACGTATGGGAACTCAGGGACACGGGACGTTACGGCTTCCTGCTTCCAGCCAGTCAAATCATCGACACTGCCGAGGAGACACTCAACTCAGCCGTTGTCATTCTTCAGCACGCGAAAGGGAGACTCCGTGGCAGCAAGAACAACGAAGTTCAAGACATCGCAAGGCCATAAACTGCGCTGATGAAAGGAATTCTGATTCATGTACAAAGGGTCACATTAATATCAGTCGATTTCAATTATACGATAAATAATCTGAGAATGCATATGTTAAAAACAATTAGGCCTAAGCCACTTCTCTATAAGTTCTTGTTGCTGTATATCATAGATTAATTTTGTGACTTTCGCAAGTGCATAAGGGATTTTATGTCATTCCGTAAAATTATCTGGAAAATAACGCATTGATTATTGAATGAATTGTGTCTGAGATTGTTAAAATATAATGTGAAACCACGTACTGAAATCAAAGGATCAATAAATATATTATTAATTGTTGTTTTACTCATTATACCGTCTTCACCTCTTGTCCTGTAGCGTCTTCTCCATTTCTAAACTGATATTGACAAGCTATTTGAAGAATTTAATTGGGTCCCACATTTGCGAAATTACACTGAATAAAAGGATTATAGTGATAATTGGCATTGCCTAAATCTATCAATCATGACAGCTTTAATCTCCTATCTAAAAGAGTAAAGATTATATTATACAGTATTATATTTTTTCCTTGGCACTACAGCCCCACTGGGCCTAGGCCTACCTCCATGAACTCCGTTCACTTCGGTTTTCCTAGATCTTACACAGACGGTAGGACTCCTTGGGCGAGTGATGAGCTCGTCGCAAGGCCTCTACCTGTAGACAAAGACAGGAAAACGCACACAAACATCCATGCCTTGAGTGGGATTCGAACCCACGATCCCGGTTTCCAAGCGAGCGAAGACAGTACATGCCTTAGACCGCTCGGCTACCGTGACCGGCATACAGAATTATAGTTTTACTTATTAAATTTATGACGTGAAACTTGATCTCTAGCACAAGACTGGATGTGTCTTACAAAAGGATGCTGAGAAGAACATTTGGACCGAATTGATGGAAACATCAGGATGCTAGAGAAAACTGAATAATAATGAAATTTACCAAATATGATTCACGCGATCAAGTCGGAAGAATGAAATAACTGGGTATGTAGTATGCATGGGACGGATCAGAAATGTTTATGAAATTTTAGTCGATAGATCTAAAAGACGTAGGTGAGAGTGGGAAGATGATATTAGAATGCATATCGAGGAACCAATGTATCGACTGGATTCATCGGTTCGAGATGGGGTCCAGTGGTGGGCTCCTGTGAACACGGGAATTACTCTTTGGATTCCGTAAAAGTCGGGGAAATTCTTGACTAGTTTCCTGAGAAGGTCCGCGGTTCAGAGTTAATTATATTATCTTTATGGAATGCATCTTGTTGCGTGATCAAACCAATCAACTATCATGTTCAGTCTAACGCAACACAGAGTATGCATAACATTCAATTTATTTTATTAAAATCACAACATGTTTCGACCATATTATCTGGTCACCATCAGGTGAATACAAGCTTAACAAGTGCTCCTATTAGTTGCTTCTCATATGGGCCATATTTGCAATGATTTTTGTTTTGATGCCAGCATTAATATAGGTAAAATGTACATCTAAAAACGGAGTTGGTGTGTGGACTGAATAAAATTGAATGAAATTGAGTAACCCTAGAGTGAACTATGGTAAATGAGTCTGGAGCTAGGCTTGTTGCTGGGTGTCCAGTAGCAGTTAAACATACGACGCTTAAGAATCTGGAACAATGCAAATTGCAACATGAGTCACTAATTTTGATGTGTTAGCTATCGCTATGACCGCCTCTGTGGTCTAGTGGTCCCGGGTTCGATTTCTGGCGCTAGCAGATTTTCTGAGAAGTAGTGGGTCTGGAACGGAGTCCATTCAGCCTGGTGAGGGTAATTGAGGAGCTATTTCAAGGGAATAGTGTCTCCGGTCTAGAAAACCGAGATTAACGGCCGTTGGGAACCGTTGTGCTAATCACGTGAGACCTTCTATCCTCACAAGTTGACACTAACTTCGCCGACAAGCGGCGGTCGCTCGGTCGGTATAGTTCGCTTGCAGACTACAGACCACGGAGTTTGTTTTTTGTTTTGTAGCTACCGCTATATGCTTAATGTAGAGATTACTCTTTTGCTTACGGCCTGATGGATGTTTTCTAGCCTAATTAGGATGTGGTTTTGATTCTTTAACTGTATAGCGTAAACTGCGTGTCTGGTCTCAGGACGACCGTTTAAAACGCAATACAAGGAATATATTAAAAAAGTAAAAAAGTAAAGCTATCCCTGTAACAGGCCGTGAAGGCCCATAGGGTTGTGAGACGTTGAGGGTCCACACTATCTAGACAATCGGCTCAAAGATGGCGGTAAGGTTGTCAGCCTTACGCCCGTCCGCTCTTTACTACCCAGGAACATTATTTAATTAATTCCTGGTACTCATTTCTGTTAGAGGCTGAGTCGAACCCAGGGCCATAGTGTAGCTGGAACGATTAGATCAACTGAAAAAAATCCAAAGACCTCGTCGGGACTTGAACCTGAGACCTTCCAGGAATATATTAGGGAGATTAAAAATAAAAGGGAGAACTCCAAAATTTCGCTGCACCTACAGAATACAGGACGCGAATGTAAGGACATGGAGCAGACACCCGGTGTGCTACGGGCACAGCATAAAGGTAGAATGATGAACGCACTGGAAAGCTACCATATGCACGTATACGAAGAGCATAAACAAGGATTACAACTGAACGAAAGGTTAATTGAATGATACAATCCAATATTTGAAATTATCATCAAAAACCGGGCGAACAATAAAGCCTCGACGGCCTCGACTACCTATAACCGGATCCAAATCTACGCCCCTATTAACCCTTTTTACCTCCCCTCTAGCCTCCTCCCTCCCTTCATTTTTGAAACTACCAACCTTTACATAGTAGTCAGACACACAGTCTAAGCGGTCTAAGCGGTCTAAGCCGTACAGTTCAAGAATAAAAACCATGGCCTAGTTAGGCTAGCAAACATCCATCAGTCCGTAAGTACAAGGATAATCTCTTCTTTAAGCATGTAACGGTAGATAGTACACCTAAATTTATGACTTGTGTTGCAAATTACATTGTTATAGATTCTTAAGCGTCACATTTTATCCGCTATCCAACACCAAGCAATAAGCGGAGTAAGGGATCATACCCTTGTAGCTCCAGATTCGTTTACCCTAGTTCACTCTAGGGTTGTTCAGTTTCATTCAATCCACACACCAACTTAATTTTTAGATGTAGATTTTATTTATGTTAACACTGGCATCAAAACAGAAGTCATTGTAAATATGGGCCCATATGAGAGGTATAGCGTTTTGCAATTCAATAGAAGCAACTGTTGAACTTGTATTCACATGATGGTGACCAGATAAAATGGTCGAAACCTGTTGTGATTTTAATAAAACAAATTGAATATTATGCGTTCTCCGTGTTGCGTTAGACGGAACATGATAATTGATTGGTTAATTACACTATTATTTGTCCACGCCTGAAAACATAGATTACCACTGCGCATGAAAGCCTAAATGTATTTTGTCCACACCAGTATTCTGAGCAAACGAAGAATGTTTACCAGAGTTGTAACGGCTAATACCTCATAATGTTACACTGCTGAATGAAAAGTTTTTGTTTCCTTTTGAATTTTGTACCAGGCAAGAAGCTTTTCTGCAAAATTGGGCATTTGTGAGCCGATTGTCTAAAGAAAATGTAGGAACCTCGACGTCTCGCAACCCTATGGGCTTTCATGGCGTGTTACAGGGATAGTTTTTTACATAAACCGCTTACACAATTCTATAATTGTTAAATTACGGGTCCATTTCCTGGCGCATGTGAAGAGAAATACGTAAAAAAAAGTCTTCATGACATTTTTTTTTATTTTTAGGCACTTGTATTTTTAATTGATAAGGAATGATGTTCGAAGATAAAGAGGCCGATAAATATGTCAATCATCTGTTATCCTTGGAAAATCGCAGGGCTCACAATAAGAGCTAGGCCTATAAGAACATGGACATATTCGCAGGAAATTTACTGCAGTGTATTTCTTCAGGTGAGTTTGCTTTTTGCTTCCTTGTTTCATTGAAGCTGCAGGTGGGTTGATAGCTACGTAGCCAGTTAACACATGGTAAAATGTACTTCTTTTGGCTTATTTTGGACTTCATCCATCGTCTGGTATGTAAAAGACAAAAGACCACGACGTTTCGGAGACTGGATCTGTCTCCGTCTTCAGGTGGGTAGGGAAGGATAAACCTACTCAGTTGGGCCTGTTAGAAAGAGCTAGTCTCAATCAATGGACCTTTTCACTTTTACATACCAGACGATGGATGAAGTCCAAAATAAGCCAAAAGAAGTACAGTACACACCATCGTCAGAATCCTTTCAAGTCTACATGGTAAAATGCGCTTAGTTTTAAATTAATTATTATAATTCCAGAAATAAGAACATTTTTTATTTTAAAACCGGAAAAGAAGTACGTGGTATATACTGGCTTCTTTCGAACTTTCCAACGAACACTTTTTTCATCGGTGTTAAATCCTACACTTATATTAGTATGTATATGTAACAATGTTCTTGGTTTCGATATAAAGATCGAACAAAGTGAACATTTCCTGAAGTAAAAAGGATCCTGTTATAGAGGTTTGCGGATCCCACTCATGCTTGTCATTTCTGTCTCAAACCGGGGATAATCTGTAATTCAAGATGGTGAGGAGATCACAAATTTATAAATAATGTTGAGAGCCAAAAGTTTCAAAAATACATACAGGTCATGTACACAGACACGTCTCTCCGTTCAACAAAATGAACGGAGTTGTCAAGTACAGACACAGGCCTGTAAGATAAATTGTTAACATTAAAAGAAATTTGTACTTTTGAAGGATTTTTAAATATTTATTTCTTACTTTTCTTAGTCTTTCTTGCATTAAGTATTAAAATTGCCCGCGCCATAGCTCAAGCGATTAGTCGATGGCTTCCCACAGCGGCGGCCCGGGTTCGATCCCGGGTCTGGTCAAGTGGGATTTGTGGTGGACAGAGTGGCGCTGGGGCAGGTTTTCTCCGAGTACTTCGGTTTCCCCTGCCAATCTTCATTCCACCAATTGCTCCACAATCACCCTCACCTATCATCTGGGGCTGGTACAATAGGCCAGAAGTGGCCGCAGTACAAGGGACTTAGTCCCACCCCACTAGCAATAAAAAAAATAAATAATAAAAGTATTAAAATTAATTTTACTTTTGTTGCCGCCATTTTTAACCCAAGCCTATTTGTAGATCTATAATAATTCCATGTAATTCTGAAACTCTCTGTGTTGTATGAAACAAGTCAACCAGCATTATCACAAACCAGACCCGTCTACTTTTTTAAGCAAAGGAGAAGAATGCAACTGTTAATAAACATTTTGGGGATAAAAATGTGTCAAGATGTAAGAGAACAATATCAGAAATTGACTGTTGCGTTTCCAGCCTGTTACCATGGAGATACTGAGAACCATTTGCCTTCTGATCTTGGCGGTTGTGCATGCCGACAGGGCTACCTACGACAAATACCAGGTTCGAAGAGTGGTGCCAGAAAGCCAAGAGCAACTTGAAGTTCTGCGGGACTTGGAGAAGAATTCCAACGGAGTAAGATGGTTAAATTTAATTCTAATGTAACACCACCAGAATCAATTTTAAAATCTCTGAAAGTAAGCTTCGTGTCTAGGAAATTCAGTTCTTGTATTAAAATTTACTAGTGGGAAAAACTTCGCTGAAAATAAAACGGTAAATCCAATTACAAACTTTTTTACCTACTAATCTCCTCTCTCCAGTTTTCCTTCCCCAACCCCTTCACTTGTCCCACATCTGTGAAATACATAACCGTCTAGGCCGCCTTACGTTTAACGACGTCTGTCCGTGTAACTACATCCTCTATGAATGGATAACTTATACATATAATCAGTCATAAATTCTCTACATTTTAGGCCTATATAAGAGTAAATTTCTGCTCAACATATTTGCTGATACAGCATCGTTGAATAGCTAGTAAATCGCTCAGTCATATTCTAGGCTGCTCTAGAAAGAATTGGAGGACTCGAAGATTGTTATTATATCTGGTATCCTTATAAATTAAAATCTTAGTCCTATGCCTACTTTGGTTTACTTAAATAAGAAGAACGGTAAGTTTTAACCCTGGAGTTACATTCGTGGATTCATCTGCTTGTTAACTGGATATACGTAAAGCCAGGTGATCTTCATTCCTATCAGACAAATGGTGGAACAATAACAGTAGGTCTGATAAAACTTCGGATGGAGCACACGTAAAAATGATCTGAACTTCGCACGGTAATACCTGTATAAGTTCTGTATGTCAAGTTTTATCAAAATTTTTCCAAAAATTAAAAAAGTAATTTAAATGTAAAAGTCTCTCAGCAAGTTTTTCATAAAATCCAAAATGATCGACAAAATTTTAGAGTAAAAATACCACGCAAAGTCTGGTCGAAACTGGTCAGATAATTTGGATGTTGCTACTAGAGGACGGAACTCACTAAAAAATCTGGTATAATTTTTCCTCTAAATTAAGCGTGCTAGAGATTCTATGGTTACGTTTATAAGTACTCAACATCTAAATATCTAGGTGACAAAAGTCAAGAGGTAGTACAGAAAATTTGCCCACCGTGCACAGTGGCGCTTCAGAAACACATGCCTATATTGAAGCAAGTTATATAATAAGGTATCTAAGTGTGAGCACCAGGCACAGGCTACTAATAATTGAAACGTCCTCTTGTATACTCAGCTAAGTTTCTGGGTGGGCCCAAGCAGAGTTCAGAAGGCCGTGGACATCATGGTACCACCACATATGCTTCCTCAGTTCGACGAAATCATGGCAAGCCTCAACCTCAGATCCGAAGTCTACATTAAGAACGTACAGCAGTAAGTATATTCAGCCTACACAGTGACCAAATAGGCATCTATATGTATATCTCGTAGAACTAGGTAATATGAACATAGTCTGAAAGAGGTAAGCTAAGTCCCTTCTACTGCGGCCACTTCTGGCCTATTGCACCAGCCCCAGATGATAGGTGAGGGTGATTGTGGATCAGTTGGTGGAATGAAGATTGGCAGGGGAAACCGAAGTACTTGGAGAAAACTTGCCCAAGAGCCACTTTGTCCACCACAAATCCCACTTGACCAGACGCGGGATCGAACCCGGGCCGCCGCGGTGGGAAGCCAGCGACTAACCGCTTGAGCTATGGCGCGGCCCATACCACCTAAGTAAGTAAGTAAGAAATAAATATACAATAGTTATATATCTTACTTTAATATACGAGTATATGTACGTGTATATATATATATATATATATGGGAAAAATAAACGTATCTTTCCATTTCTTTTCATAGTTCCCTACTCCGTAATAAAATTTAGAGCAAATGGTTTTCGAGATGTATTCTTTGTGAACCTACATACTCGTTGACATTTGTGTTCATATATTCTCATTCAAATATTGCTGTGGAACAATTAAAATTTATTTCTTCTTCATGTTATTAAATGTGTAAAGTTGCTGGTTTCAGTCCCCTGCAGTATATCTCTATAAAGAGGTAAATCTTAGTTCAAAGGCCTTGCGTGCTTAAGTTATTTCATCTTATTGCCGTTTATAAGACGTAATATTTAAATCTTCACTGAGTATCACTTATGAATATACACTAATCCATATCACCATTTAACAAAACCTTCTTCATGTATCAATACGAATCCTTCCAACACATTAACACGCGTAGCATAACTTTTTCAAGATTGAGAGAAGGCAGGAAAGAAATAACTATTTTTTAGTCCTAAAATTGTACAACTACCGAAAGTCGCGATCAATTCGATTTCCCAGGTTCTAATCTCGTTCCCGATCCCAGCTCTCCCCTCCGAGTTATTTCCCTAATTTTACTCATCCCTTTTAGTCAAATGGCGATAAACATTCTCAGATTATATGGCGACCGCTTCCTTGCAAATAATTTGAGCTATTGATGTCGTTGAGTATACCAAGAATAAATAAATTGCACTGCTTTCTGACATACAAGTTTATTGTAACATAAGTTTAAATATCTTTCTAAATAATTTGTACTAAGATGCATCATAGTCACCCTGGATCATTCATATTTCTAACAGAAATGCAGAGATTCAGAAGCTGGTTCTCCTTCCAGAACACTGCGTTTATTATAAACCTAAACAATGGCTAATGTTCTGGATTAAGTCTGAGAAGTGGCTCAGTGATAATGAAAACCCTCTGCTGAGTTGACAGAATTAGTACGGTTGAAGTGCCAACGAAATCAATTGTAATGTTAGATTAACAGAAATGTTTAATTTGTAACTGATACTACATGAAAAGTCCAGTAACAATCTTAAAGATAAGATCATACTTAAGAACTTTGGTGTAACTCTGGTATTAATTATATTTTCAATAGAAATACCAATAATATTATCGAAGAATAATGTCAATAGACATAATAATATCACATAAAAATGCCAATTGCTTTATCATTTAGATCACTGCCTCGTGATACAAGCAGTTTGAAGTATTAATCACCAGTCTCGAAAGATAGGAGTGTACTTGAGAAATCTGATCTGGGGAAAGCCGACTAAATCTTGCGTGGCGCCGAATAATTCTTGTCCTTGAAGTGACACGCGTCTTTCATCTAGGCCCTGCCCTATTTAGTTCGGTCCCAGCTAACACAGGCCTATCTTAATAAGTAAAATGTTTGCTCTGAACTTCTTCCTCTTTCTTTACTAAAGTCCTCATTTTCCATTCACAGTTAACTTCCCACGCCGTTTTCAAAACTGAGTAACTTTAATAAGTGGCAGCTTCATAGCTCAAGCGGTTAGTCGCTGGCTTCCCACCGCGGCGGCCAGGGTTCCATCCCGGTCTGGTCAAGTGGGATTTGTGGTAGACAAAGTGGGCCTGAGGCAGGTTTTCTCCGAGTACTTCGGTTTCCCCTGCCAATCTTCATTCCACCAATTGCTCCACAATCACCCTCACCTATCATCTGAGGCTGGTACAATAGGCCAGAAGTGGCCGCAGTACAAGGGACTTAGTCCCACCCCACTAGCAATAAAAAACTTTAATAAGTGATTCATCATGTAGCGAGCTAATGGACTAAATAAATTTCTGAAATTACTAATCACGAGTAGTAGAAATTAAAGAAAAAGAAGAAATAAAAGAGATAGGAAAGATACAGATACACAATCTACTAGTAGTTACTATAGGATTCTGACGATGGTGTATAACACACTAATATACTGGGTTTTTGGACTTTATCCATCGTCCTGGTTTTTAAGATAACTAATAAAAACACGACGTTTCGGAAACTGGATCTGTTTCCGTCCTCAGGTGAAGGAAAACACCTATTCTGTTGGGTCCGTTAGAAAGAGCTAGCCTCAATCACTGGACCAACCAGTTATCTTAAAAACCAGGACGATGGATAAAGTCCAAAAACCGAATATATTAGTACACAATCTACTGTTCAATAAGATACGCGTTGTTACAATGCCAAGAATTTCGTCACCGTCACAATAGAAGCTCGCTATTGGATAGCGTAGGGGGCAGTTCAGTCTCGTTCGCATTAAAAATAATATTAATGTTATCCACCAGTTTATATGGGTTGAATTTTCCCACGTCTCCCAATGAAAATGTTGTAACCTATGTATTTGTGCTACAGTCTATGAAGAAATTTTAAACAAATTACGAAAAAAAATACTGAACTCTACAAAGCGAATCGTCGTCCGGTTTGCTTCATTCCACACCGTGATTTAAACTGATTTGTGTTTCAGCCTAATCGACACGGAGCGCCCCAAAGTGAGGCCGAGAGCAGATTTCGGCTGGACAGACTACTACAGTCTGGACGCAGTAAGTGGTGTCAGCAGCATCAGACGAGTCTCTACATCGCAAATTTCTTTTTGCTATGAACAGTGAGGACAGCCTCTGTGGTCTTGTGGTCAGAGTTCCTGGCTACAGATCCAGAGGTCCCGGGTTCGATGCCCGGCGCTACCAGATTTTCTGAGAATTAGTGAGTCTGGTACTGGGTCCACTCAGCCTCGTGAGGATAATTGAGGAGCTATTTCAGGGAGATAGCGGCTCCGGTAAAGAAAATTGAAACTAACGGCCTTGGAGATTCGTTGCGCTGACCACGCGACGCCCTCTACCTGCTAAAGTTGGCACTAATTCGCTTAGTGTAGGGTGGAGTCCAGCTGGCTCCACTCGGTACGGCGGCCACTGATTGACCTATTGCACCTGCCCCGGGTGACTATGATGGAGAATTTGGTGGCGTGAAGATTGGCAGGAGAAATCGAAGTACTCCGAGAAAACCCACCCCAGCGCCACTTTGTCCACCACATATCCCACTTGACCAGATCCCGGGATCGAACCCCGGCCGCCGCGGTGGGAAGCCAGCGACTAACCGCTTGAGCTATGGCGCGGCCAAAGTTGGCACTAACTTCGCCGACAAGCGGCGGTCGCTCGCTCGGTCAGTATAGTTCGATTGCGGGCTAAAGCCACGGAGTTATGAACAGTAAGACAAAAAAACGTCGCTGAAGTATAACGTATGGGATCCGTGACTTGAAGGAGAGGGCACTGCTCAAAATAATTTGGAATTATGGACTTTTGTTAATATCATCATACAGAAGATATGAGATTCGTGTGATATAGGCCTATGAACAACTCTGAATTTGTGAAACCACTGCGAAAACGGGGCAAGAAATCGTAGAGCATTCGTTTCTATCGCTTAGATGTAGATAGAATTAGGTCCTACAACAGAGCATTGGAGTTACTCTTCTCGCCTGAATGTCTGTAGGACAGGTCCTTCCTTCAAAATGCATTATCAAAGAATTTTCTAATTTATAATAACCTTATAAGAAATAAAGAAATATTTGACATTATGCTGATAATGTTTACAAAATTTTAATTCTTCCTCTCTACTTCTGCTGTATCGGTCCCACAAAACATTTATCTTCCAGTGTTCGTTTGTTTCGATAATATTACATTGACGGCCAATTCCCGATCTAAAGATTTATAAAATTTTTCATCTGTTGATGTTAATAAACATCGTTTCAATCGACTGAGTTTGCTTCATTAGGTTTTCGATAAACTGAAAAAAAGAGACCTTTGCTTTCAGATCTACGCCTGGCTGGACTCCCTCGTGGAAACTTACCCTGAGGTCTTGATCCCAATTACTGTGGGCAGAACTTATGAAGGCCGTCAGATAAGAGGGGTGAAGTTGTCCTTTAAGGAGGGAAACCGTGGCGTCATCTTGGAAGGAGGTGCGAGAGAAATAAGGCTTATTCTCACCTAGACAACATATCTCTTCCAAATATGTTATGTTAGAGTTTTAGCCTAGTTTTCTTATTTTGAAAAATAAATTTAAGTGAGCGTGTGCGATCTCCATGCTGTCTGTTAATCCATCCATATTAACTTCCGAATATCTGAACCAGTCTTTATTAAACTTGGCATGTTTATCATGGCACCTGAGCCCATCTCAGAGGTATACTTCATAAATCCCTCCCATCAGTCTGTGTGTCAGTTTATGCATCTCTTTCTTCATTGCTAGGCAACGGCTCTGTAAACATGTTCCCGCTGGAACAAATACAAGCAATAGTAGAAGAATTGTTGTATACTGTTGTACCTCTGTACATCAATGAAAACAGCTTCGTTAAATAAAATTAAAAATGAAATAAATATTATGAAATACTTGATGAAGAAGTGATTCAGATAAATTTTCAATATGTAACATAAGACAACAAGCATAATGTGGTTTTCCATAATGGAACTTATTGTAATTTCAGGTAACCTTATTCCATGACACAATCCATTCTGCTAAAAGAATAGAATTTAAATTAAGGGGCGGTTTGAAATTGTATCCGTTACATTCTACGTTACATGAGAGATATATGTTCAGGTTTCTCTTTGCAGGAATCCATGCCCGAGAGTGGATCAGTCCCGCCACTGTGACGTACATTCTGAACAAGCTGCTGACTAGTCAGGATCCAGTGATGCAGGACCTGGTACAGTCCTTCGACTATTACGTCTTCCCTAGCGTAAATCCGGACGGCTATGTGTACACGCATACAACGGTAAATCTGTTACCTAACGTCACTGTAACAAAGAGAATCAAGGGAAATATCCAGACATTTGCCTGAAACTACCGGGGAGAGCTACGATCTGTTACTTCGGCCAAGATTCTAGCCAGACCTCTTCCAAAGACTAAACAAGTGTGCTAGCTTCTATGCTCTCTGCTCTTGATATTACCAGGATTTAGTTAGGTCATAGTAACTCATACCAGGAGATACGAATTGCCGTATATGTGTGTGGAATTTTTTTATACATATACGAGCCGGGATAGCGCAGTCGGTATAGCGACTGGCTACGGGCTGAATGCCCGGTGGGTCGGAGTTCGAATCCCTGTAGGGTCAAGAAATTTCTCTTCTCCACGTGGTCCAGACCGGCTCTGGGGTCCACCCAACCTCCTATCCAACGACTACCGAGAGGTATTTCCCCGTAGGAAAAGCAGCAGGGAAGTGAAGCTGACCATTCACCTCCATCAAATGCAGAGGTCAAGAAAATGTGGATCTATACATCCACCCCACCATATGCCTTCATGCCGTAGTGCTAAATTAGTTAAGCACAGGGACAACTTTACATTTTATTTTACTGGAAAATATATATATATATATAGGTTTCCAATAAAGGAGGCGATTGTGATAAGATGGAGTGTTAGCCTATCGGAAATTTATTCCCAAAATATATTTGAGCGAAATTGACGTCACTTAACAATGATAAATCAAATGAAGTTTCGATATCGAATTATGTGAGAAGATGATAATAAATAGTAAATAATTTGCAACGTGTCAGGAATCGACACTGACATATTTTAAGGTATTTTCCTGCCATTTGCATGGACTAACCATAAAGCGCCACGGAAATCTTTATGCGAGATAGTTATTAATTCTGCAAAGATTCCAATCAGTGTGCATCCCATATGGACGTCTTGAGCCTTGTCACTACACTAATCTGCGCGACCAGAATTTCTTCTTAAAGTAATGATTTCTCATCATTATCATCAGTGACTTCCCCATGATTTATTTGATAGCTCTGAAAAGGCAGAACTTTTATCACATCGACGTATAAGATTAAGGCATCGCCCCTAACAAGCGTGTGGCTGGTCAGAGAGTAAAGAAGTTATTTATTTATTTATTTATTTATATTTTCTGTTGCAGGACCGCATGTGGAGGAAGACCCGCAGTCAAGGAGGAAATCGCTGCTTTGGTGCTGATGCAAACAGGAATTTTGACTTCCACTGGCTGGGTAAATAAGCGAAGACAAAATTGTGCAAGGACCAAAACACAATACGCCTCAAATTTTGACAGATTCAGTTCAATATACAAATTGTTTATTCGCCTCAGTAATACAGTTATATTATATAACTATCGACGTACTAAACGTTTCTAAGGCCGTGCCATAGCTCACGCTGTTAGTCGCCGGCTTCCCACCGCAGCAGCCTGGGTTCGAGCCCAGGTCAAATCATGTGGGATTTGTGGTGGACATAGTTGCACTGGGGCAGGTTTTCTCCGAGTACTTAGGTTTCCCCTGCCAATTCTCATTCCACCGACTGCTCCATACTCATCATCATCAGGGGCTGGTACAATAGGGCAAATAGTGAGATAATACAGAAATAGCTCACTAATTCGGACTAATTGGGAGCGGACCTTTGACCAAATTAGTGAAAGTTTGAATTATAGAAATACTACTGAAAATATGTTCAGGGAAGTTATCAAATTGGCTTCAAACTTTATTCTGAAACTTAGATTGCTTATCATAAAATAAATTTACTTTCCATAAAATGTAAAAATGAAAGTTTTAACATCAGACTTAAGAGCAGCAATATGACTATCACGGTCGTAATGCGAAAACAAATTCGTTTTCCGGATTATCGCCAGTTGCGAATTAGTGAAGTTTCATTTTATTTGTTCGCTATAGAACAAACTAGACCAGTTTCAGTAAATAACCTCACTTCCACTGACAGAATTAAAAGTGCAAATATAATGCGCTAACTTTTCTGGAAGAATCTGAAGGAAGAATGGGCACTGTACTCTCTGATAAATGCAGTGATATTATGCGCAAAGTTAGAAAACAGGATGCCAAGAGAGTGAAGAAACTGTGGCAGATATGTATAAATGTCTGCACTACTTAAAAGACAATACATTGTTTGCACATAGCATAGTTCAGTCAGTTAAGGGCTATGCGACTGAGAAGTTAGGGTTCGATTCCCAGCAAGAAAGTATATTTTCCCTTCTCCACTGCGTCCCATCTGTTCTTGGGTTTACCCAGCCTCCTAATAAAGGGTATCAGGAGCTATTTCCTCCGAGGTAAAGAAACCGAGGGATAAGTTGGCAGCGCATGACCGTCAAGTATGCCTGTAGCTTCATAGTATGGGAACTTAATTAAGCACATGGACACACCATTCTTACCTGCCTACCTACCACTCGGCGCTACAGCCCTGGGTGAGCCTTGGCCTCCTCTACAAGCAGTCTCCACTGCTCTCTATTCCTCATCTTCTCTATCCATCCTTTCACCTTCATCGTCTTCAGCTCGTTCTCAACATCGTCTGGCCATCTCATCCTGGGGTTTCCTTTTCTTTTGGAATATAGTCTTCCTTTTAACATTTTCTTTGGCATTGCATTATTTGTTTTTACCTATAAAGTATATAGTATTTGTGTAGAAGCTGAAGACGAGATTTCGATTCACGCAGGGGCAGGAATTCTTCCTTCTTCTACAGTGTGTAGATTGGCTCTTAGGCCTGCCCAGCCTCTTATTCAGTGGGCATCAAGCACTTTTCCCCAGACCTGAAGCTAGCCATTGGTTTCATTCAAGAGACTCAATGAATATAATGTGCAGCTATATCCCACTTCTCTTTATTAGGCACAGGAAACCCCCTTTGTTTACTTTCCTTGCATGCATAAACACAGTGCTGTGTGAAATCTGCAAATAACTCGTGCACAAGTGAGGAGTTGCGAATCGTTATCTTCATTGCTACATCTGCTTCCTTGCAGCACATCCCAACAAAGAGCAAAAAGACCCAAGCGATAACACTTGTGACTTATATTCAGGGGCTGCCTGCTTCGAATATTTGCCGGGTCACCAAATATCTTGACTTTCCGGAAAATATCTGGATCACACTTTAAATATGTCACTGCCGCTTCCTACCGGATTTCTTCCAATTCATTTTTTAATGTCATCAAACCATGCGACATTCCGTACTTCTGAGCTAAGTCCGATTGGTACTCCAGTCACTCTACGGCCTAGTGTGCAGACCGCGATAGGCAGCTGAGTGTGGAGCAGTTGGTGGTTTGAGAATGGGGAAGGAAAGACGAAATACTTAGAGTAAACCTGCCTCAGTGACACTTTGTCCACCATAAACATCAGAAGGCATGAACTGCAATTGAACCTGGGCCGCCGCGCGGGAAACACGGCGACTAACCCCCTCAGCTATGGCATGGTCAGTCTGCATTACTGCCAACATTGTTAAACAAAAAATAATAAATAAACCCATAAATATTTACAACTTTTTCTTGGGATATGTTTCTGTGTTATAAAGAGTGATCATAGAAGAGGCGCGTGTACATGTCTTGACTCTTTACAGAGATTGGGGCCAGCAGCTCGCCGTGTTCTGATACTTACGCCGGATCAGCTCCTTTCTCCGAAATCGAAACTCGAGTGCTGTCCGAATACCTGACCAGCATAGCGGACCAATTTGATGCCTACCTCACCTTTCACAGCTACAGCCAACTGCTGCTCTTCCCCTACGGGCACAACAATGACAATGTATCCAACTACGATGAATTGGTAAGCAGTTGTACAGTGGATGTTAATGAGAACGATTATAAACCAGTAATAGCTCGTTAGTTTCCTTTTTTGTTTCTTGGTGTCCACTTGGTACGTCGGCCACTAACTGGCCTTTCCTACCAGCTCCTGATGATATATGATGATGAACGTGGAGCAGTCGGAGGGATGAGAATTGACAAGGGAAACCGAAATACTAGGAGAAAACCTACTCCAATGCCACTTTGTCCACCACAAATCCCACATGACCTGAGCTCGAATCCGGGCCTCCGAAGTGGGAAGCCGGTGACTAACCTCCTGAACTATAACACGGCTACCAGAGATAGTTAGCTCTATGGAGCACAGCCTGTCTTGAGAAGCTAACAAGAAATTCCTAGAAATTCCTGGCCATTGTGGCATCCGCTACTGAAAGTTATCTAAAGTTACGTGAATCTAGTACACACCCTCATATCCTCTTTAAAATTCATTTTACTATTGACCTCCCTTCTTATCGGGGTACGCTGTAGCGTAGTTGGTTCAGGCACTATGTTACAAGCCGGTAGGTCACAGGTTCGAGTTCCGGAGATGTGTTCTTTTTAGTTGCTGTAATCCTTCCAGTCGCACAATGGCCCTGTTATAGGGATAGTTTTACCTTTTTACCTTACCTTCCTTCTTATCTTGAGTCTCCAAACTTCTTCTATTCAATTTCTCCGAACAAAAATCCTGATGATGTTGATTTTGATAATAATATTGATAATAAACTTAATATGCCTAAGCACAAACAATCTGAGAGTTTAGAAGGCAAAATGGAGCTACAGATTTAACTCATTCTGTATCTTGCCACTGCATCTCCACTCTCCAGTCTCTTCAGGGCTGTATGCTGCGTGCACACCACACCACACCTGACCTGGGTACAGAGGTGGCGAGCTGGAATCGAAACTTGGTCGTTCAGCTCATAGTCATTCACTTCACTGAATGAAATATGAGTCCTCGATGACGACAACCACAACCACGACCACGACCACGGACGACCACTACCACGACAGTAAAAATCACCGTGTTTATAAGAATGCGCTACTGGATAATATTTTCAGCCAGATGAAGTCAATCAACACCATCACATATTATTTACTTAATATCCACATTAATATTAAACTTCCATCTATGTCCTTGTCTCCCAAGTGATCTCTTCAGGTTATCTGATTTCTAATTTCCCCCACCCTTAGCGTGCTACATATTACCTATGTCGTCCTCAAAAACCGATCATCTTAAAGTGTTAATTGAAAATTAGGTACAAAATTATGAAGCTCCCCATTGTTCTAATTTCTTCCATTTTCCTTTTACTTCTCTTCCCTTGAGTCCAAATATTTCCTTCGGCACTCTGTCGTGATAACAGTAGGTCTGGATAAAACATTCTGGTAAAAAAAAGTTATCGGAAAGAGGCCGCGAAGACCCATACAGTTGTGAGACGTCGAGGCTCCCACATTTTCTAGACAATCGGCTCACAGATGGCGGTGAGATTGCCAACCTATTAGTATTTTAATACTAATATAATATTTCTCGTACTGGAAGTTAAAGAGGCGTCCTCTTTTTTAGCAGACAGGCTATTTATTCATCGTTGTTGTTTGTAAGAAATTTAAAGTATAATTTCGAACTGTTCCAGTTGGCCCTCGGTCAGGCAGCTGTTAGTGCTCTGGCCAACAACAATGGCACTCAGTACGCTGTTGGGAATATCTACAGCACTATCTGTAAGTACCGCCACTGCCTGTGGCGAGTTGGACGCTGGAATTAAGATGACAATTGTCGTTAAGTTAGATGGGCTAGATTGTAGAAGTAAAATGAGGCTACTTTTAAAGGTGCACGTGAGAATGTTCCGAATCGAGATTTGTCCATCTCAGATATTTATGTCAAGCATTTTAACAAATTTTGAAATAGCAGCGAGGTGGATTTGGCCAAATTTAAAAGAAGCGTCGACATGAGCCATTTATATTAGACGCACCGAACATTTGTCTGTTAACAAACGGCCTGGCTTCAGAATGTGACTCAAGCAGAAATGGTTTTATGACGTAATTTTATTGGTGTCTGTGGAGTGAAGGGTAACAGAATAAGAACCTCGGAACTACAGACTGAAGTAGAAAAGTGTACTCCACTCTAGAGTACAAGTTTTTTAAAAAGTTTCCTTACAATTTTACACACTTTATCTCTCTTGATGTTTATTTATTTGTAATTCAAATTTTTTTTGAAGAAATTTACATTTACTTCTTCATCATTCCATTTATTTTGTAATACAACTTACGTCACTCATAAACATAAATTGCTACGTGTATTTTTTTTTCCTTGGCACTACAGCCCCAATGAGCCTAGGCCTACCTCCATGAACTTCTCCGTTCACTTCGGTTTTTCTAGATCTTACACATTCGGTAGGGCTCCTTGGGCGGGTGATCAGCTCGTCGCAAGGCCTCTACCTGTACACACACACATTCAAACTGAACATCTATGCACTGAGTGGGATTCGAACCCACGATCCCGGTTTCCAAGCGAGCGAAGACAGTACATGACTTAGACCGCTCGGCTACCGTGACCGGCAGTACGTGTATTTATTTCCCAGTAATAACTTATTATACAATTAACATAATTATACTTCCATAATCTAATCACGGACGCAGTTAGCTAGTTTTCCCGTTTTTTTTTTTCTTCAATGGCTCTTTCAGCCCATTCAGGTCCCTGGCCTCTTATTCATTTCCATATTCATTTTACACAGCAGGTAGGACTCCTTGGACGAGTGATCAGCCTATCGCAAGGCCTCTACCTAAACACAGGACAACACAAACACAGAATAAACGCATACACGAACCAAACATCCATTCCATTAGTGGGATTCGTACCCACAATCCCAGTGTCCGACCAAGCGAAAACAGTTCATGCCTTAGATTTCCGGGGGGTTAGATAAAAATTTACGTACACAGTTACGTCTAAACCGGTCAAGACGGTTTTACTTACTACCCTACAATATTCAGGATAGAATAATATAATTCTTTTAAACTTTTAATATTTTGTTTTGCCATATGTTCTTTTTTGCTTAAGTTTAATTTTTCGCAAAAACATTACGGAGAGGATTAGCAAATACTTGGCTTGTCCCCGGCCAGCCCGCTCCGATATTTATTATGTATTTTATTCAGTAGCGCAAAGAAAATATTGTCATTAGATCTTTTCGTTAGGTTGCAAATGAAATTCTGTATCGTTGCAAAACTATTCAGACAACCTAAATATCAGAAAGTACTTTCCCTTTTGTTTTGTTTTGTTAAATAACTTATAAAATTGTTTAAATTAAAGGACACAGAACTTACTGAGTTGCATTTATTTCATTATGTGTATATAGGCCTATATAGGGTATTTTTTTATAAAGAGATAGTTCTTACGCAATAAAATTCAGTCAGACCTTAATAATTATTAGGGTTATATGTCTACAAAAAATTAAATATCCCCCTATAATTCTTAATGCATACAGAACAAAACACTTATCGAATTATTTTCCGTAGTTCGGAGATTGTATGCATTTTGTGCAAAGCTCGCATAACAATAATTAACGTGCTTATTGTTAATATGATTGTTGATTGAAGTATACGACGTCTGGCGTCATGAACAGTTGGGAACTACAGAGTCACAGTATAAAGGGTCGTTGATGTTTACGTTTCAAATTATGATTTTAAAAACACTCCGCAGTCACTTCTTGTTTACTATTCAACAGCTCGTCTTACAATCTGAAATAGCGCTGATCTCTATTAGACTTGGCAATGAAACAGCAGTAGAGACCAACCTCATTTAAGCAAGCTAGTGGCATTTCTGTGAGCACAGGTCGGACTGATTTTCGTAGGAAAAATAACTAGACCAGCATATAACCAGCACGCCATTCTATATCATGGAAACATACATTTATTTTACACTCTAACATATAAACACATAGTTTCATTCGACATAAGATTATTTTTTTGTGGTTTGCATATTCTCCCATCCACTTACGATAAAGCTAAACATTTAATTCCTTTAAGAAAAAGGGAATTAAAATGACTTAAAATTTTTCCCCCTTAGTGGGGTTGCGACTGCGGCCACTTCTGACCTATTGTACCAGCCCTAGATGATAGGTGAGGGTGATTGTGGAGCAATTGGTGGAATGAAGATTGGCAGCCGAAACCGAAGTACTCGGAGAAAACCTGCCTCAACGCCATTTTGTCCACCACAAATCCCACCTGACCAGAACCGTGCTCGAATCCGGACCGCCGCGGTGGGAAGCCATTGACTAACGGCTTGAGCTATGGCGCGACCAAGATAATTTAACTTAAAAAATATCCAAATAAGTTGTGTACGGAAGTGAAAAGCATTGTTTCTTATTAATGAATAGGATGTGTTCTTGTGTGCACAGATCCAACTAGCGGTGTAAGCATGGACTGGGTGCGTGGTGTATTCAATACTCCCTACACATACTCCTGGGAGCTCAGGGACAAGGGGAACCACGGTTTCCTACTGCCCGCGGACCAAATTATTGACACCGCTGAGGAGACCCTCGTTTCCTTGATTGTGATTCTGCGACATGCGAAGGAAAAGTTGGGACGCAACTAAAACACTTCATGGATACTGGAGACGTAAAACACACTTGTACATGGAGCAAAAACAGCGCTATCGATCGAACAGTAACACACTTCTGGAGTCCCACGGGAGGAAGAATGGTGCACTTAAACATGGCAATTTAACGCATTTGTAGAGTATACGGAATTATTGCTCACCTACATACAAAAATAAAAATTAAACTTGTACAATGTTATGGACCGAACAATAACATACGTTGATATGTTGGGATTTTGGACTTTATCCATCGTCCTGGTTTTTAAGATAACAAATAAAAACACGACGTTTCGGAAACTGGATCTGTTTTCGTCCTCAGGTGAAGGAAAACATCACTGGACCAGTGATTGAGGCTAGCTCTTTCTAAGGGACCCAACTGAATAGGTGTTTTCCTTCACCTGAGGACGAAAACAGATCCAGTTTCCGAAACGTCGTGTTTTTATTTGTTATCTTAAAAACCAGGACGATGGATAAAGTCCAAAATCCCAACATATCAGTGTGTTATACACCATCGTCAGAATCCTATAGTAATAACATACGTATATAGTGCTTAAGGACAGAACATTGACACATACATTGTCAGCTTCTATGTTTTCTGATTACAGCACAGAGTGGAAAAAGGAGACATATCTACGGTGCTGTTCTATTCGAAACCAATCTGACTGAACCTTATGTGTTAATTGCATCAAACAATAAAGAAATGTACTTTAACAACTGTCTCATCTACTGTAACTGGGAACGGAAATGTTTATTTTATGCTTATTATAATACTCTACTTATTAAAATATTATGCTGGCCATTTTATTGTTGACAAATATTAAGGTCAATATTGCAGCTTTCACAACAGTATAAATGATTCGTCAATTATCGTTTTCTCTCCAAAATATTTTCCGAGATCGCCGTGTTTTTAATTTCTGTCTTTGCTAAAAGACTGCATGTTTTTAAAATGTCTAATTTCTGACCCTCTACTGAACGAAATTGAAATCCCCTTAAATCGCATAGTTGCAATGTTACTACTCTCCTTAAGAAATATGAATGTAGAGAGAACATGATGTTCATAGCCATTACACGAAATGTTATCATTTATTCTGCATATCATTATGATGTTTAATTGAATCAGAAGATAGACAGTCTGCTAGATCACTAATATGAATCAGAAAATGGAAATCTCATTCTTCGGAAAACGGAGAACAGGTAATTTATCATATTAAATATGTCAGAGGTTACAGAGACAAAGATCGTAAGTTCAAGCCTGTGAATACGTAAAAGAGTAGATACAATATCACTTTACATTTGTGTCTGTAACAAAACACATAGTCATTGCAGTTTCCTTACCTCTCGTGGTACTGTTTTCCAGCTTCAGAATATCCTAAGAAGATAGCAAGATTTCCTCACTCCTTATACTATAAGGAATGATTGAGATGAAGATCAGAGAAACAAATAAAAAGACAAAATAAGGAATGAGTACAGGAAACCTAGAAAAAGGACAAAGGAAGAAATAAACTAGTTGGACACTATGTGCATAACGTAACAGTTCTGAATAGTCTCTTTCGTTTTGTTTAAATCTCTCTAGAACTCGTTCTGAAAATAAAGTTTTGCTTTACGGTTCTCTACAACTTCCGTCTGAAACGCTTTTCCCTCCGATGAGAATTTAGAGAGAGATGCGAACAGAAACTCATGCAGGTCTCTATGTAAAGTCGCCATTATTTTTCCAACTTTAGCCAAAATTGAGACATGTCTACAGATTTTAGCAAAATTTAATTTAATGCAATTACCAAATTTAATGCAAATCCCTTCTGCTGTTCTAGAGATGTTACATGCGAACTGAATGACATGAAAACAATTATTTCGAATCGAAAAGGTCTATTTTTTCAACTTTTCTATTTCTAAAGCTGCAAAAACAGAAATAAAATTTCCACTCATTAAATTCATCGATTTTCCCATTGCTTGGAGAAGTCGGATTCAATTGTCTTAAAATTATTTCTCACCTAGTTACGTCCTAGGGCAGACACACAATTGGTGTCAAATGCAGTTACGAAGGACTGATGTCTGAAGATAATTTTCCTTTCCATATCAATTTCTGCCATGAGATGTCATCTTTTCTCAACTGCCAGTAGACATTCACTTGTTTCAACATTTCATTTTGATAAGATACGTTTCTGATATAGGCCTCTAACATCAGTGGATTTTACAGCCTCGTAAATAAGAGGAATGAAACCCTATCACTGATATAACGCTCTCAACTTGTGTGCATTGTTGTTACCTGGACTGTAAGCTTAATTATTCCTACATCAAGCAAGGCTGGGAATGTAACCTAAGAGGAGGTGACACTACGTGCAAAAACATGGTGCAGACTGGAGGTAAACAAACACGATTCCGTGTGCCTTCTTTTGTTTACAGAACGTGTCAACTTTGTAGGTATTATTATTATTGGAGGGGTGGGTTTCCCCATGCACCGCGACCAGTGGTCTATTGTACGTCCCCTCTGTGATATTCTACCAGTCTCTATACACTACCGATACTGGTGCGTGCCATCAGTCCCGACTCAGCCAGCGAGTTCGGCCTCTACTGGCTCAGCGGTATCTCTCGATGGTTCCCCCATCTATCAGAGGCGTTAGAGACTACTGTTGGGCGGGAAATGTCCGATCAATTTGGTTCAGTGGTCCCCTTGTGACATGAGGTTCTTTTACGTGCCGTAAAGCCATGACACGGGACCCACGGCTTAAAGTTCCTCCCGGAGGACTTGTTCCCTGAATTTTTCCGCCCTTAAAAATTCCACGACCTCCGCCGGGTTTGATCCCGCGTACCTTGAGTCATGAGGTGGGAACGTTACCCCTAGACTACGGAGGCCGCTTAACTTTGTAGGTAACTATGCATATATAATTTTCATTTCGTGCATCGTGTTGTGTTATTATATACAATTTATTGAAGTCCGTCACAACACTACAATATAAAGGTCAAGGCTAAAATTAGCTTGGCTACATGTTTCGGTTCATAGAGCCATCATCAGGCAAACACATGATTACCATACAAAGCCTTGACCTTTATACTGTTGTGTTGTGACGGACTTTAATAAAGAAATTGTATGCATATAGAGCTATATCTCCGCTTCCCCGTCTGTTCGCCCATCTGCAGTAACTCAGCTAATAGTGAAAGAAATTTAATGAAATTTGGCAACCATAGATTTCGGTAGAATTTCACAACCAAAATGAGCGTCTCTTTATATTACATAGTATACGAAGTGGGCTGATCGACGGAAGTTATTACAAAATTTGCAATGAATATTTTGTTTTATTTGTAAAACGTGCATTTTTTGAAGATAATGATTCATTGAAAAGTGCTATACTGAGACTCTCGTCCATTGCGATGTCTGCCAGACCCGTTACCGTACAAGCAATTTGTACATTTCAGAGGCTTCGCTTCTTCTACAAACAGGAGATGAAAGAACGATACAGCACGCAGTGTCAATGCGCCGAGTGGATAAACTGGGGTTTAAAATTAGATACAATTTTACATTCATATGTCTTTTGTTTTTATATTCGAAGCATACAAATTAGTTCCATAACTCACACCACCCTCAAAAGAAAATATTTTAAATTCATTTCGAATTGATATGCCGAAATCTTTTTTATGTTTCTAACCCGCATTAACGCAGTACTTCATATCATAATGAGAATGACTTATATACACTAGGATCTTCAAAATACAAAGTCCTTCACCAAGATATTTGGTTCAATATCTAGAAATTAACTAATTAAAAAAAACTATATCGAAAGTCAATATATTTAACGGACACTTGATAAAGACTGTGGAGAATTAAACAAACAATGCATTATAAGAGACATTTATTAATTTTTTATTTGTAAAATAACAAGATCTCAAGAGATAAGAGCACGAAACATGCGATATGAACTAGTCATTAATCAGAACAATATCGAGTGTCACTGTTAATCTGCAAGATAAGGGCTCAATGAAACTAAGAAGCATATAAGACAGTGTGGTTTCAGATGATTGGTGGTGTTCTCTCCAAATAATTTGAGGTAAGTCACGTTCTGAAACCCCCTCATAATTTTCACATGCATGTAAATTAGCAGTGTGTACGCTCTGTAAACTGTTCAGATTTAATATTTGGAACTTCAGACGTTGATCAATTGATGTAAAATTTTCATCAAATCTACGATTTAATTGCATAACGATAACGAACGGCTAGTTCAGACTATAATTATGAAATACAGCACAGTGATGAACTGTAAAATTTCTTGTGAATTTTTATATATTTTTTTCTTCTCACCAGAAATTTCAATACCAACATTTTATTTTTAAAGTACACCGTCAATAATTCAATAATGATATAAAAGACATATAAAATATATATTTTTCATTAAAAGTGTAACTTTAATACTTTAAGATATTATTAAATATCATAAAATGTCATTAAGACGCTGCAAGTATAACTTATATATCAAAAGTGACTATCAAAACACTTAAAAATATCTTTTTGTTTTACATAATGTTTTTACAAATTTTCAACATGTTTCGGCCACGTATGGGCCATCATCAGGCAACTTTTAATTTGTGGGGAGACCACTGCACTGTTCACTTTTCTTTCGTGCTCCCATGCACTTCGTTGTTTTGATGCTGTGTCTCATGTCTAGATTATTGTGCCACTGTATTCTCTCTTTCGGCAATCATAGTTTTTGTTTGTCTTTTTTTTCTGTATATGTGTTTATGGTGGGTTCTTCACGTATATCAAAGTCACAAGTTTAAACTCGGATAATACTGCGGTTTTATGAAAATGAAACGTATTGAAAGAACTCTGTTCCGTCCCATTTCTTGCGTCTTTTGCGGAAAGCGTATAAAATTAAAGTACAAGTGACAGAATGTATCGCATTACCTCATGAATCTTATGTTAAAGTCAACTACTGACATTACGGTGATTGAAGCTGGCATTGGGGCTCTGTACTAAACGTTACCTGATGAACTTAACATTGGTTTACATGACCAGATATCATTCCTACATCACATGAAGATTCGGTAGCATTTCATAAACTTAAAAAAAATGCGCATTTATATATCATATGAACTAACTTCCTAGAGCTCAGCTCTTCTTGGGCACCCGTCAGTTGCTCAGCTGCTTAGGATTATACATCATATTAAAACAAACTCCGTGGCTTGAGTCCGCAAGCGAACTATACCGACCGAGCGACCGCCGCTTGTCGTAGCGGAGAGAGGATGTCGCGTGGTCAGCGCAACGAATCCCCACGGCCGTTAATTTCGGTTTTCTAGGCTGGAGCCGCTATTTCCTTGAAACATCTCCTCAATTACCCTCACGAGGCTGAGTGGACCACGTTCCAGACCCATTATTTCTCAGAAAATCTGGTAGCGCCGGTAATCGAACCCGGGACATCAGGATCTATAGCCAGGAACACTAGACCACAGATGCGGCCATTATACATCATATTATAGATATAAAATAGTAGAATTTCTCTTTGTAATATTGTTAACTTAGTGTATAATTAAGAAGATATAATGAGATCATAAGTGTATCTGCGTGGTGTGAAATATTTAATGTTTCTGCTGTAGCAGACATGCTCCTGTGATGATCGAACTTAGTAGATAACTTGGGCCGCGCCATAGCTCAAGCGGTTAGTCGCTGGCTTCCCACCGCGGCGGCCCGGTTTCGATCCCGGGTCTGGTCAAGTGGGATTTGTGGTGGACAAAATGGCGCTGGGGCGGGTTTTCTCCGAGTACTTCGGTTTCCCCTGCCAATGTTCATACCACCAATCGCTCCACAATCACCCTCACCTATCATCTGGGGCTGGTACAATAGGCCAGAAGTGGCCGCAGTACAAGGGACTTACTCCCACCCCACTAGCAATAACAAAAATATTAAAAAAATAGTAGATAACTTCGCTAGTTATATTTCTTGCTGCTACCAACATTGGCATGTCGAGTGAGGGAACAGTTTCAACCTGAAGGCCTGTTCAACTTCATATTCAATTCCTTCGGAGTATGAATGATTAAACAAGTGGTAGGGGCAACTAAAATAATTAGCATAACAAGCATACGTTTTATTCTGATGAGCATAGCGAAAAACTAACTATAAAATTTTCACTTGGGTCAGTACTTTATGAAACCAAATGACTATTTCGACGCTCCCACGTCCAAAATCCTGCGCTTCATCCGAAGCGTGGGGTTGCTGAGGGAATAATTAAAAAGGGGAAGCTCAATGGACCACTGAGGTCTAAGTGCAAGGGCCGAGTATGCCTACCCCTTCATACATACATACAATACATACAACTATAAAATTTACTGTTCTGGAATTGAACCTGTATACAATGTAGCGCTTTACAGAGACAAATATACTCAATAGGAAATAAACGTAAAGTTGTCCCTATGCTTAATAAATTAAGCACTACGCCATGAAGGTGTATGGGGGAGTGCATGTATAGACCTACGTTTTCTTTACATCGGCACTAGCTGGAGGTGAGTGGTCAGCTTCACGCACCGGTCGCGTTACCCCCGGGGAAATATCCCCCGGTACCCATTGGATAGTAGGCTTGGTGGGCCCCAAACCGGTCTAGACGACATGGAAAAGTTAAAATTCTAGACCCCAACATGACTCGAACTCCGACTCCTTGGTCGTCCAGCTCGTAGCCAGTCACTATATCGACTGTGCTATCCCGGCTCTCACCCAGTAGGAAATAACGTTTAAAATTATATGGGAGCTTCGTCGTTTTCCCGGCGGTTTCCTTGAAGAGTGCTATCGCTTGGGACGGGACGCCATGTGGTCTGGTATAAACTTACTTACATTTCGAAGCAATGGCCTGCTTCCAATTTTAGGATCAAATAATTAACAGAGCTAGTCCTAGTCTCCGCCGTGGGAAATTCAAAGAGCACATATTCCAGTATTATCTTGCCTACTGTGAGGAATGCCTTACGCATCTGCTGACAGCTTTCCAGAACAAAACAAGATGGCAATGAAAGGGTTGTTGTGGCTGCTGCTGGCAACGATAGCGTCGGCCAAGTTACGTTACGATGGACACAAAGTGTTCCGCGTAGTGCCTGAGGACGAGCACCAACTGCAAGCACTCAGGGATCTGGAGGAGCAAAGTCAAGGGGTAAGTTAAGAAGATCTAACTTTGAAAGTAGAAATAGTACTATTACGTTCCTACAAAGAACCGTAAGTCGGCAATAGTTGTCTGCCAATTTTAAGTAACTTTGTATTCTTAATTTAACTTTTTTTTCAGTAGTTCTACAGCCCCTTGGGCCCTGGTCTCTGATTTTTTTTCTTCAGTTTCATGATCTTTTTACAAACGGTAGGTTTCCTTGGCCCCCCGATGGTGTCTCTACTTTGATGTAGTTGAGAGGCTTGCGTGTTCAGATGATACCAGAAGATTGGAGAAAGAGCATTATATGCCCCATATTTAAAAAAGTGGATAAATTAACATGTAGTAACTATAGAGGTATATCATTACTACCGACAGCATATAAAATTTTAACAAGGATACTAAAAAAGAGACTGGATCCATATATAGAAAAAAATAGGAGAATATTAATCAGGATTTGCACCCAATAGGTCAACAATAGACAATTTATTCACCCTGAGACAAATAACTGAGAAATGCTGAGAATTTAATACAGATATTTACCTATGCTTCATAGATTTTAAAGAAGCATATGATACAACAATAAGGAAGAAATTAAGGATGATTATGTACACTTTTGGTATTCCAGCAAAACTAAGTAGAATAATTAATTTAACCATGACAGAAACAATCAATCAAGTTAAAATCCAGAACCAGTTAACAGAATGCTTTAAGACAAATCAAGGATTAAAACAGGGAGATAGTTTGGCACCATCACTATGTAATTTGGTATTGGAATATATAGTGAGGAAAAGTAATGTGGACACAAGGAACACAACAGCGTATAAACAAACGGAAATAATGGCGTATGCTGATGATATTATTATAGTATCGAGATCCCTAAGAGCAATGAAGGAGACACATCAAGAAATAAAAATCATAGCAGAAACAACTGGCTTAGAGGTGAATGTAAATAAAACTAAAATGCTGATACAGTCTAGAAGGAATCCAAGGAAAACTGGAGAAATTAATATGGAAGGGGACGGGACAGAAATAGTTGAAGACTTCATACATTTAGGATCAAAATTCCACAAAGATGGAGAGGAAAATCATGAAATAACAAGAAGAATAAAACTAGCGAATAATGTATATTTCTAGTTACTATAAGTTTTTAGATCAAAGGATATACACCGAGCGATTAAAACAAAAATATATAAAACAATGATAAGACCGGTGCTTTATTATGGATGTGAGGGTTGGACGCTAAACAAGAAAGAGGAATCAGTTATCAGTTCAGTCGAGAGGAAAATCCTAAGACGAATTTATGGACCAATAAAAGAGAATGGAATATGGAGAATAAGATATAATAAAGAGTTATACAAATTACATAAGGAGCCAGAGATCTCAGTGACGATAAAGCTTAAAAGATTGCAATGGACTGGGCATGTACAGAGAATGGATAAGGAGCGTATCCCAAAGAAAACATTATATAGTACAACAGGCGGCAGGAGACGCGTTGGGAAACCAAGAACTAGATGGATTGATGCGGTGGAAGAAGATGCAAAGAAGTGAATGGGTGTAAGGAACTGGAAGAGAGCAGTGCAGGACAGAGAGTAATGGAGGGACTTAATTAGGGAACCCAAGGCCCGACATCGGGCTGTTGTCCACAGAAGAAGAAGAAGGTTCCCTTGGATGAGTGATTAGCTCGTCGCGAGGCCTCTACCTAAACACAGGAAGACACAAGCATAGAATAAACACATACACATACCAAACGTCCATGCTTTGTGTGGGATGCAAACCCACGATCCTGGCTTCCGAGCGAGCGAAGGCTGTACATGCCTTAGACCGCTCGGCTGCCGTGACCGCCTATTAATTTAACTTACTTTTTAATTAATTAATATTATTGCATGTAAAGAGCATGTGTGGAACTGTTTGCTACAAACGCAGAATCTTCATTGTACTGGGGGGTTTGTACTGATCTTGTTTAACAATGCTATACCTCTGCTTCACTGAAGCGTTTGAAGGGATTGAAGTAAAACGTTTCTATTCTCTGCCTCAGCACTTGCTGCGTTATATTTTTTTCCATCCCTGAAAACAATTCTGATGGAAATAACAACCCCATCTTCAGGGTCGAAGAATAAGCCAAACAAGAAAGCAACAGAAGCAGGTGGAAAGCTCAGCTTAGCTCCTGTTTCTGGTTCCTTGCTCGGTTTGTTTTTCGGCCCTCAAGATGGAGACAATATATTCCTCCGAAACGCCGGGGTATTCCCTGAACTATGCGTCGTTACAACCCAGAAAACTATATTCTTTAAGAAGTGTTTGAAGCTTTGCATAATGAGCAATAAATCCCTTAGGCAGTTTCGCCACTCTGGTGGGTTTTACGCCTCTCTGGCTGCACTTAATTATATACAAGTATATTCGGGTTTTTATTTGCCTGTGGTGGAAGCTGAACTTCTGGACAAGCGCCAGGAGCCTGAACAGACCTGTTGATGTCATGGTGCCTCCACACTTGTTGAGAGACTTCTACGAAACAGCCCGAAGAAACCAATTGACGACTGAAATCTTCATCGATGACGTGCAGAAGTGAGTACAGTTCATTGTTTATTCTCACTGTTTCCATCATCCAATTCGAGCCTCCATCCGACCACCCATTAATCCACCCTCCCTATTCTTCGTCTCTCTCTGAACTTCCCGGTAGAGCCTTATCAGCTGCACCATTTCCCTTTTATTAGCTGTATTATTGCAGACATCAGCTCCCCTTAAAGGTAAAGTTGTTCTTGTCCTTAACTAAGTAATCACTACGCCATGAAGGCGTATGGGGGAGTGGATGTATAGATTCATATTTTCTTGACCTCGGTACTAGCTGGAGGTAAGTGGTCAGCTTCACGCCCCTGCCGCTTTACCCCCGGGGAAAGAGCCCCCCAGTACCCATTGGATAGGAGGCTGGGTGAACCCCAGCATCAACTCCCCATTCACAAGTATATTCATGTTTATACAGCTTCTACTTGAGTTTACTTTAATGGAACTGTGTTTGAAGCTTCGAATTACAGTCCTTCAAAAGCAATTAACATTAGTCTAAGTAGCCTGAGCTTCTGTAAGAAAAAATGGGAAACGTTGCGTTTTTCGTTAATTGAAGCAAGAAACAAATATAATCATCCACCAGCATGGCTACCAGTCAACCTGACTTATTCCAGCTTCTGGCTTTCAGTGAATGGTCTGAAGTGACGCACATTCGAAATTCTGTTGCATCAGAGAATGCGTGGCATATTCATAGAGTGTGCCCCTTGTTTATCAAGTCACGGATACAAGAAGTTACACGAAGATTTCTTGTACCTACCGAAATAATAATTTTATTCATTATTGTGTAAGATTTGAGGTTTTCACGGCGGTGACTATGAAGAAAGCAGTCTTCTGGGATTTGGCACCTTGTATATGTGGTGTTAACCGACGTTTCGGAGGAACGTATCGCCTCCATCTTCAGGGTAGAAGGAAAAATATAAGAAATCCGCAAGCGAAGAGANATATATTATTCGTATTATATTTTATTCATTATTATACATTCATTCCTTATTCTATCATTATACTGCAAATCTCAAAAAATTAAGTTCTTTAATGGTAAAATGTAAAAAAGAGATAGGCCTTCCTCAAGATAGTTGAGGGTTTATTTGGATAGTCACGCACGCGCACAAATCCTACTCTTATCTTAGATAAAAGAGAGTGAACTGAAAGACCATTGCATTTGGCTTACTTCTCATCCAAGTAGTCCAACCTCGTCTCGCTGATCTCTGTCTGAGAGTAATGAGTTGCCACGAGAGAGCACTAGTTCTCCGTGAAAGAAGAAATGAGGCAGAAGTTACATTCTGGAAATTCCGAGCAATGTAGTGACATCTGGAGAGAAACTTGGCGCTCAGTTAGATGGAACATTACATTTACAATTTACAGTCAATATTCGCATCGTGTCATCGTGGACCTGCGCCTGAAATTCACAGACATTTTTTCTACATCTTCATCTCGCTCCTTGCAGGACCATTGACAGCGAGAGACCAGCGCATAAAGTGAAAGAAGCTTATGGCTGGACCGACTACTATGATCTCAATGAGGTAAGTTTGGATCAGCATGGAATCGGGCATTATATAGCTAACCATTATTGTAATTTTCATTTGAAGATTTCTGCCGACAGAAACACAAATCCAGTTAATCACTAAGGGATATAAATCACTATCCTACATCAGTGAATTTTGTTCACAGACTTATGGCTACCTACAATCTCTGGTCGAGGAGCACCCACAACACGTGGCGCTGTATGTAGGTGGTAGATCGTATGAAGGACGGGAAATTCTCGGGGTAAAACTCTCCTACAAGGAGGGGAATCCCAAGATATTCGTCGAGTCAGGTGAGTTGCTCACTGGTTGCATGCAAACATTTGTCATTTATAGATTACTCTAATGACTTGAGGCTGTTAAAACTATGATTAATCACATACTTCAAAATAGCAGTCAAGTGGTAAGGCTCTGGTACAGCCTTTACACCGCAAATAATAGTACAATAGTCAGAGCGCCATAACTCTGTCCTTAGAACCACGGTTATGAAAACGGACTGCAGAACGTGAACATGAGGAAGAGACTGAAGATGTTGGAGTTTCAAGAAAATGATATCTTTAAATTTAAGCATTTGTAGAGACGTAATCGTATTCTTTTCAAAAGTTATTTAAATGGAACAACAGAAATTACCACTACAAACCTAGGTTCCAATATATGTTTGTTTATATTTCAACAGACACAAAACTTATTGAAAAAAACTTTGACAAAATTTGCACATTATTTTTTATTATTACGCTTAATTTCTTTGTACGTGTTTTGCTTTAGCAGGCTACAATGATTATCAAGAAATTACTTCCACCTGCATCACTATATTAATATGAGAGACAACTTATCAAGGGTAATACATATAATTGATTCTAGGAATTCACGCACGTGAATGGATCTGTCCGGCCCTATCCACATGGATCCTAAATCAGTTGCTAACGAGTACAGATTCTGATGTGAGATTCATCGCAGAAAACTTCGACTGGTACGTGTTTCCTAGCACCAACCCCGACGGATACCAGTATTCTCACACTACGGTAAGGATTGGAGTCAAGAACGTGAGAGGGTTTACGAGTACACTCTGCCTACATTAAGGATTGTGAACCTTGTGCCCGTGGGAAACTTAAGCCCTCGTACATATGTTTCATTTTCCGTGAGAATATTAAAATCAATGAAATATTCTCGGCCTGTCAGCTAAAAATTTGGTCAACTTTAGCCTCGGTGAAATCTTCAGATCTCACAGAATATTTTTTTTCTGTGGCGCTACATCCCCAATTTTTTTGGGCCTAGGCCTACCTCCATGAAACTCTCCGTTTCACTTCGGTTTGCTAGATCTTACACATACGGTAGGACTCCTTGGGCGAGTGATCAGCTCGTCGCAAGGCCTCTACCTGTAGACAAACACAGAAAAACGCACATAAACATCCATGCCCTGAATGGGATTCGAACCCACGATCCCGGCTTCCGAGCGAGCGAAGACAGTGCATGCCTTAGACCGCTCGGCTACCGTGACCGGCTCACAGAACATTTAACTGCATATATTAATAATGCTGATAGTCGCAGAGCGCGTTGTTATTTCCGCTCAGGAAACCGAATTTCTGTCCAGTGCTGAAGACTCTATTTCACGTTACATTTCTGAAGAAAGTCATTGTTAAAGAGGGTAATGGAAAGGGGTTCGACTCCAGATATTTGAAGGACGTACTGTGAGGCTGCAGCAGAACTTGAACACCATTTTAAGAATCTGGTGTAACAGAACCAATCGCGAATTATGCGCATATTATAAATTTGCTTACCACAATTGAAGTCTCAGAAACTGTGTCATTCGATTTAAAAGATATAGGAATATAGGACTGCTTTACCTTAATGTTACAAACATTCAGAGTGACAGCTTCCCACAAATTTGTTGACAGAATTAAGAATCCCGTTCTATGAAAATTGGCGCTGAGAATGAACTGTTTCTTTAAATCCCCTACATCTGCAAGCCAGGGTACGCGGTAGCATAGCTATGCTACAAGCCGGAAGGAAATGGCATCGAATCCTGATGATATCACTGGGTTTTTCTATCGACCTAATCTTTCCAGCCGCACGATGGCCCTAGGGTCAACTCAGCATCTGATAGAAATGAGTACCAGGAATCTTCCTGGGGGTAAAGGACGGCAGGCGCGTAAGGCTGACAGTCTCACCGCCATCTTTGAGGCGGTTGTCTAGAAAATGTGGGTGCCTCGTCGTCTCTCAATCCTATGGGCCTCCAAGGCCTGTTACAGGGATAAGTTTACTTTTACCTTATATCTACAAAGCACTGACATCTAATAATTATTTTCAAGTGCAGTTCAGCACATGATCCTTGCTTCAGTATGTTGGTGGAATAATGTATTTTACTGTCTTGCTGTGATGCCTGTACTGCAGCCTTTCAAAGTGTGTCATTGTCACGCAAAAGTGAATGTTGGACCTAAATGCTATGGAAGTTATACACAATATTTGTTATGCATCGGCTACGGGTATGAGGCAATACAAAAGCAAGCCGATGGAAGAAATTCAGTGCCTGTTGTCAGATTAATTGACAGGGTTCCTGTATAAGTATCTGTTACAGTTCCTAAGGAAATTACTTGTATTCCGTTATGTACCTTCTTGTGTGAAAGTTTGTCCAAAAACCAATATTCGGAATGTCTTGTATTTCAACAACTACAGCGGCTGTCTTAATATGTTAAGACTTTGTTGGAAATTGTAAACCAAGTTTGTTCGTGCCCTTTTTATTGTTTCTTCTCTTGAAGGGGTCAAAGGTGTGCCGCCTTGTAGTTCTTGAGAAGAGGAATTTATATCCATTGTATTTTATCAACATTATATGTATATATTTTTTTCAAAAAATTGTAATAGTGGCTTCCGATTGTATTGATGTCTCTCTGAGGATGGTCTGTAAAGACCAAAAGAGGTAAGGGATGAAGGATTGATATAAGAAAAATCTTTACTAGTCACACTGGACGGAATTCTTTAACCTTTTATGACAATTTTATAATATTTTAAACACTAGCTTTGCATCTGTACTAAATGTACATCAATGTGAATATGAGATACGGAACAAAAGGAACACTTTTTAGACGAAAGTATGCGCCCCTTTCGTTGCAGGAATAGAATGCGTCAGGCTGTGGAATGCTACGTAATATTGATTGCTCATCCTGTTGCAGGATCGAATGTGGCGCAAAACGCGCACACCTGGCACATCCTGCGACGGGGTGGACCCTAACAGGAACTGGGATGATCACTGGAACGGTACTGTACCCAACTGTCCTCCCCTGCTTGTGAACCTGCTTAAAAAAGGGAACTTCCTGCACTGTAAAATACAAAACTTTGCATTATTCGGATAAATTTACAGGTTTAAAAGAGATCGTTTTTTTCTCACTCCAGATTATCAACACTTAAATAACAAAAGTTCCAATATTTAACTACGAGTATATTAAATTGTATTTACGCGCATTTTTTTTTCAAATTTAAATGGCTTCGCGATGTTTTGACAGCCAGATTAGTAGATTTAAACACTATCAACCACCAGTAAGCTCAGTTTCTTTGAGGGTCCAGGGAATATAGTTACCTACGTTTTATGAATGTTTGGCAGAGGGCGGTGCTAGCAGCAACGAGTGTTCCGAGATCTACGCAGGGACGGGCCCTTTCTCCACGGTGGAGACTGCTTCACTGGCAGATACTATCACGGAGCTGAACCCCACCGTGTACTTCTCGTTTCACAGTTACAGCCAGCTGCTCATGGTACCTTTCGGACATCGCTATGAGATGGCCAACAACTACTACAAGCTTGTAAGTTGCTATCATTCCGGAACTCATATAAATAAAAGACATGTAACCGTCAAAGGCCACAGCACTGCACTATATGCTTAAGAACTCAGCAATTATTTACTTGTAAAGACAAAGCTGTCCTGTACTTAACCAGTTTGGTACTGCCCCGTGAGGACGTATGGTAGAGTATATGTATAGATCCATGTATTCTTGATCTGGACACCATTTTGGGGTGAGTGGTCAGCTTCACGCTCCAGCCGCTTTACTCGCGGGGAAAGAGCTCCCGTTGCCCATTTGATAGGAGGCTGGATGGGCCATAGATTTGGTCTTGACGACGTAGAGAGGAGAATGTTCTTGCCATTACTGGGACTCGAGCTCCGACCCCTCGGCCGTCCAGCCCTTAGCCAATTGCTATACCTACTGCTCTATCCCGGCTCATCGTTTTTTTGTAACAAATGTAGTGGCAGGGGTTATGTTTCTGAACTGCAAAAGAACGATTTCAGAATTTTCATTAGTTTGAGAGAATAAACTCATGGACGGATTCCTTCTCGAGAGGCTATCATACCGAAGATAAACTCATAAAGGAATTCCCCGATTTTTATACAACCTGAACGTTCATGTTCGCAAGATCCTACCATTGGTTCTTTTCCAGAACCAGATGAATTGAGTCCACACCCTCATGTCCTACTTATTTAAGATTCATTTTAATAGTATCATCCCATCTACATTTATATCTGCATTTCTCATCTGTCCCAAGACTTCTCCTTTCCTGACCATCTTATTCTCCTTGAGCTGATCACTCAAATAATATTTGGTGAAGGGTACAAATTATTACGCACCTCGAGTTTAGGAGAGGTAATTTGAGAATAGAGGCCATGTACCAGACTGTTCATTAACTCTTTAGAAAATAGCTATAAATATTTATACCATCTACTTTAATAATTACTAAACAGGGTTTCAATCGCATAGTATATCTTTGTATACGGCCTGCGCCATAGCTCAAGCGGTTAGTCGTTGGTTTTCCCACCGCGGCGGCCCGGGTTCGACCCCGGGTCTGGTCAAGTGGGATTTGTGATGGACAAAGTGGCTCTGGGGCAGGTTTTCTCCGAGTACTTCGGTCTCCCCTGCCAATCTTCATTCCACCAATTGCTCCACAATCACCCTCGCCTATCATCTGGGGCTGGTACAATAGGCCAGAAGTGGCCGCAGTACAAGGGACTTAGTCCCACCCCACTAGCAATAAAAAATATCTTTGTATATCTCATAATACAAAGACATTGTCTCTCTAAACGTTAGACCACTGACTTCGTTTGAGGAGGTGCAATTTCTTTCATGAGAGGCAGGAACCTAACTTTCGAATATTATACCAATAAACTTGGTAATTTATCTCTAAATCTGGCCTAGTGGGTCTTCTGAGGCCCAAGAACATCTACATTTTATCGAAGTATCCAGGTCTAACAATCTGACTAAGTACCATTCGTAGACCCCTGCCCAGCGATTCGTAATACACGAACAACCTTCGTCGGTCGAAGTGTGATTTAGTCCATATACAATGTTCCCCTTATTGGGTTTGTGTTTTTTCCCACAGCTGGAGATTGGCAACATAGCGGCTGTCTCTCTATCTAAGAGATTTGGGACTCAGTACGTGGTGGGCTCCATCATTGAAGCCATCTGTAAGTTTCTATAGGGTAAAACTATCAGTGTGTATCAGATTCCATACCACAAATTTACGATTTTTCATCCCTCATTAATCTTGACACACAAATAAGTCCATTGTTGGCAGTAGTGATATTGCACTGTACAAAACAAACTCCGTAGCCTGTAGTCCGCAAGCGAACTATACCGATCGAGCGTCCGCCGCTTCTCGGCGAAGTTAGTGCCAACTTTTGCGGATAGAGGGTGTCGCGTGGTCGCAATGGATTCCCACGGCAGTTAATCTCGGTTTTCTAGACCGAATATTACACTGTACAGTCATCAGTTAGTTTGTCGTAAACCGTTCAATGATTTTGCTGGTTACTTGGATTACTCTTCGATCATTAACCTGGAAACAGTGCATTCCACTGGAATGTTTTTAAAAACTTATCATACTGCACAGCCTAAGATTCCAGTAGGTGACACTGTTCATAGTCACCGCCGAGAACCTTAACCCTCATAAATTTTATTAAGCATAACTAACTTGTATATAGCCCAGGTAGTGGCCGAAGAAGGCAGCACAGCAGTTAAGAGTCGAAATTACATTACAGAGGCATTGTACTATGATCCAAGCTCAGGGCCGGTAATCCTTACAAAAATAAATTACTGTGCAGGGTCCTCAATCCCCAAAGACCCGCTCATCTAAATAGACCACAATTCCTCAGTTCAGCTTTTATCTATAAGACCAGGCCATTCATAAATAACAGAAGTGCAATTGGTTTATAAGATCGAAGCATACGGAGGGTTTCGGACTCTTCATTACTTAACGATGCGCCTCCAAATGGATAATTTGTGAGAATATGATGCATTGTGGGAGGAGGAGTGTGAACAATTAATTGGCAGATATGGAAGAAAAAGTTCTTCCATTGTTCTAACACTAATATTTATGTGGACGGACTGAGTAAAACTGAAACATCTGACAAAATAGCCAGCCTTCGAGCTGAGGATTTATCCAGAGAACTCCCGCTTACGAAGCAAAGCATTGACTAAGTTACGTGTGTTTCTGTATGCAGCATAACAGGGGCAGTGGTAAACAAGCACCGTGCGCAATTTTCGTTCATTTACTGGCATACGGTATAATGAGTTCCATTCTCTGTGCTTTCAGTCGCCTTATCGCAGGAATTATACAATCTTTATGACAGAGACCGCCTCTGTGGTGTTGTGGTCAGAATTCCTGGCTACAAATCCAGAGGTCTGGGTTCGATTCCGGTGCTACCAGATTTTTTGAGTAGTGGATCTTGAACTCAGCCTCGTGAGGATAATTGAGGAGCTATTTCAAGGAAATAGCTACTCCGGTCTAGAAAACCGAAATTAACGGCTGTGGGCACTAACTTGGCCGACAAGAGGCGGTCGCTTGGTCGGTATAGTTCACTTGCGAACTAAAACCACGGAGTTTGTTTTCTTTATTTGGACAGAATGCGTAATATTATATGTAAAGGGAAAGTCATATCCTTTCCGTTTTGTCGATATATTTCACCTCAAAATTTATCGAATGAATTTCGATTAGTTTTTTGTTAGAAGTCTACACCGGATTTATGATGAACATAATTTTGAACCTTAAAAACCCTACCATTAAGTATAACTCCCCATTATTGCGAAGTGTAAGCAGGATTTAAATTACATTAAAATAGGCCTTACTAAGATCTGTCAATTTCATTTTAAGCATGTCCTGATGTGCTGAGTACTACAAGTCACTAGGTAGGCCTACATGAAGACGCAACTGAATTTGCAGAGTAATAACTGTAGTACAATTGCACTTACACATTCTTTAAATGAATCTGAAACCAATCAGGAATGCAAAACCTCCCAGAACTATTACGAAAACTATTAAAATTAACCTGTGCTTTGCAGACGAGGCCACGGGAGGCAGCATGGACTGGGCAAAGAGCAAGCTGAATGTGACGTATACTTTCGAGTGGGAACTGCGAGACAAGGGGAACTATGGGTTCCTACTGCCCGCGGACCAGATCGTGCCGACGTCTGAAGAAACGCTGGACTCCATAATAACCATCCTGAGGAGAGTCTCTTTAGCACTACCCAAAAATGAAAGCTAGCGTTTGTAAAAATATGATGAAATCTGATCACTTTGTGAGATCCCACAATTGAGACCCAAACAGTATGACGAATGCCAATTGCAAAATATGAGAGAAGTTGCAGAAAGAAAATCTGGGGACAACGGATATCTACTGCCTTTCAAATTCTTCAGTCTATAATTCCAGACAAACAAGAGCTCTATATTTACAATTCGGTGACAGATTTCTGTGTAAATTTTAACATAATTCTACTATCACAAATTCTCACCATGTATTCAACATCATTTGTAATTTATAACATATAAAAAACTTTCATGAAGGGGACGTTTTTGTGTTTATACTGCTTCCTAATATATAATTTCACGTTCATAGACCCAATGGCCAAATAAATACTGTAATCAAACCTAAAACTAGATACAGATTTCGCACGACAACCATTTTGTTAATATTTATGGTAATTCAGTAACAAGTTATGAAATATGAGCGTAGCATCACAATTCTAACGCAATTACTTATTTCTGTTTAACTATCACTTGTAGTCTTGTTTTTGTGTCTGCAATGCAATAATATAAATTTAAATTTTTAACGTCTCTAATTCACACTTTATTTTCTTTAAATGTTTAAAATACCATTAAAATACATGTTCATTGCTTTTATGCTACATGTTTCAGCCGCACAGGATCATCTTCAAGCAACACATTTTTCTAAGGAGTACTGCACAGTGCACGTCGTTATCATTAATTCTGATGTTGTAGGATGTGTTTCTTCTAGTCAATCGCGAAATCCTTAACGTGGATAAAAAATTATAAGGGATAGCATACGCCCGTGCACACGCTCACCTACATACATACACGTGCACGAAACTCGTGATACAACATTCCTTATATAAGATTAGAGGTTTTCACGGCGGTGACTATGAAGAAAGCAGTCTTCTGGGATCTGGCACCGTGTATATGTGGTGTTAACCGACGTTTCGGAGGAACGTATCGCCTCCATCTTCAGTGTAGAAGGAAAATGTAAGAAATCCGCAAGCAAAGAGACCGTGAGAACTGTAGTCTCACGGTCTTATATATTTCTTATATTTTTCCTTCTACCCTGAAGATGGAGGCGACACGTTCCTCCGAAACGTCGGTTAACACCACATATACACGGTGCCAAATCCCAGAAGACTGTTTTCTTCAACATTCCTTATATATAATAAAAATGAACTAGGTCAATATACGAGTAAACGTGTATATATTGCATGTGTCACGTTTGAGGTTCGTACAGTCGTGTATGTGAAAAGTGAGATCCTCTTAACTGTAATCCCCTGTGGTTCATAAATTGTGGCATCGGAGTTACAGGAATACCGGCGCTACAGTTCCGAAGGCAGAACTCTGTGCTTTCACATACTTGTCCAGTTCCACACAGAGGAACATACATTTCATTCTTGCCCTTACATATCTGCATACAAATTAACATTTGATAACGTTACGTTTTATAGGGGTGTGCGTGACTTATAGACGGGGGTTGGATTGGATTTATTGACCCCTTATACACACCACTCAAAACTACAGGCTATTACAGCGCTACCGCTATTTCCACACTATACAATTCACCGTTATAAGGTAAAGCTATCCTTGTAACAGGCCATGAAGGCCCATAGGGTTGTGAGACGTCGAGGCTTCCAAAGATGTCAGTATAATATGAAAATAAATCTCCAGCGATTAGAGTATGAGGTTATGCACTGGGTTCAACTGGCTCGGAATACTGTCTAGATAAGAATTTCTGCGTGTTTGATACTGAACTTTCGGGTTCTATAAAGAGTTGGAAATTTCTTGCCAAAATGATCGGATCTCAGCTTTTCAGTGTAGTCCCTCAACCACTGAGTGGTCGAGCCATGTAGTCTGTTACGTGTCCCAAAATTAATCAACTTCTAACACTGGTAAACACAATATTAGAAATTGATTATATAAGAAAAAAACCATTTAATGTATTCGTGGAATTAAGAGTTATTTGTGTTGTAAATTGGCACCGTGGGACCGAAGAACCTGTTGCTGATAGGAACTGTGTACTTATTATAATAAGTGCCTTTTGGTTTAAAGGGTTGCTTTACTTCCGCAAATACATTTCTCATGACTACATTTAACATGTAATTTCATATTTATTTCCTGTTTTTCTTTGAATAATTTACAGGTTTTCATGAAATTCTTTTATTATACATGTAATATTTATTACATATCATTTTCTTTCTCGGCTGGCTTTCATGAGAACACAAATACTGCAAACTAATGAATAAATATTTACGTAGTAATTATTATTGTCAACATGGAAGCTACAAGGACTGCAGTAAGAATATAACCGAAATTGTTCCCTCTCGTTTAAAAAAAAAAAACAAAGCATATGCAATAAGCGTAACTCTTTGATATGGGTTCCATGAAGCGTTTTGGATCATTTTCCGAGAGCGGGAAAGTGTTTATAGATTGTCGAATTTGGGGTTGGGGCCCTGATAACCCTTGAGGAACTTGACATGTGTCTCCAGGCTCGTGATGGTATCTCCCACGGCTTTCACATCTTTGAGGGCTTCCCTCCAGGCGACCTGCACACAAACACACACTTCAGTACATCGTACTTATTCTATACTAATAAAACAGCTCATTCTTACCTCAGATTTACATTAAAATAAACTATATAGGAATACAATTTCTAATTCATGGTGATAATGTTGTGAATATACACGTATGCTTCCGGTGACCATTGTTCTGTGTTCTGCAGCCCTGGCGGCCTGTATGACTGCTTGATGCATTATGCGGTTTTCAAAAAACGTAACATTGTGAACATAAATCACTTCTCCATTATAAAAATCCCTATATTGTAATACAACATCAGACCACAGGCTGAAAAAATCATCAAGAAATAAGAGAAAATTTATAAGAATTTATTTACTGTATATATTTAGAAGTTTAAAGAATATAAAATTTAATTTAGTTTAACTTATAGTAAGGTATTATATATATGAACTGAAATTAATATTGCCAGACAACTCTCAGCGTAGAACAGTAATAATAAATTTAATCAAATTCCGTTCTATAATTCAATAGAAGAAATATGTGTACGAATAGATGGACGCCCCCGGCGTGAGTTAATTTTATGCGTGCTGTGAAAAGAACGCATGCAAATGCAAGAGCTGGAGCTTATGCATGTCTCTATGACATATTAATCACCATCTTGAGCCTTAATTCTCAGCAGAAACGTGGCCAACATATGAAAATTTAAGGTGATATTTGAAATTTTCAAGTAGTGTGAACCTATATTAGTAAAATATGGTATAAATATGATGATACATTATACAGTAATAATAATTCATTACAGTCATGTGTATAGATGGAAAAATTAAATGCTTCAAATTCTTCTTAGAATTTCTGATCATATAATATCTGTTTCCAAGTTGCTTCTTAAAGTATTATACACGTACTTATGATTAACAAACAGAAGCGAAGTACTGAGTGTCAGAGCTAGATTAAATTTTCTACTGTCCACTCTGAATACTTACTAGTTTCGGAAATTTCTCTTTCGGAAATTGGAATTCTTTATCCTGAAGGGCACTTGGAATTTTGGAACGCTCGCTCCAGGGCCACATCATGTAATCAAGCATTCCCGGATTATCGCCTGCAACAATTACATAAATTCTATTACACTTGGAATATTTCACCTATACTCACACCTCAGATAAAAAATGCACGTTTATTTCATCTAAGACAATTATATACAAGAAAATTGTTCAAATACAGCAAATACAATTAATGTCTCCACTATAATTACTTATCATTTAAATTTACATCTACTCCAGGTTCGTTACCGAGAGGGGGACGTAGAAAAATTCATAACGAGGGGCTTCATAATTTATACACTTCATTAATATTGATAGGGTTAACAAATTAAGTAAGACAGGAGTGTCTGAACATGTAATACGCATTGAAAGGATGACAAATACATACAGCATTTTAAGGCTATTAACTTGACTTTTGTTATCGCCTTAAATTTTAATACAAGGGATATAATATTAGGTGATACAGGCATAGATGGCATGAAAATATTAGAATGGATCATAATCTTAATGGTGAGTCGAAAATGTATGCATTTACAAATATTACATATCTGACAGCATGTGACATGTATTGGCATTTCATCAGAACTGGGTAGTCGTAAAATATTTGAAAGGAATTTCTCATGTCTTTGAATTCTTTGTGAATTCTTATACAAAATACTATTTGCCCATGAAATACACATAGCTCTGTGAACATCACTGGCACTGAAGAAATGGAAACTGACAGTTAAGGCTTATTGAAATGTGGTGTGAAGATATTGATTGGATTCAACTTACTCCCGCTAAATACCTTCATGTCTCTATTTAGACAGACCTAAAACTAATTATTTCGGGAGCATGTCGAGACGCTCGCAGCTGTTTTGAAATAGACTGCAACCCTTTCACATTTCTTCATGGCGAGATCATTTTACAGAGAAGAAATCCCATACATACTATAAATTGAAAGTACGTAAACTTATATTTTAGTACTTAGATAAAATATTTTCAATAAATGCTTTATATTATGCTGTTATTTGAGAGAGATCAATAAATATATATTGATGGATCAATTACAGGGTTTCGGTCCCTGGACTTCCATTCAATAAATTCCTGCCATTTATCATAAGGAGTCTAGCCTGCAATTTAATCCTATTTCGAGCCAGTTCACATTCTAACAAATCTATTTTCCTTAACTCCATTTTAATACAATCGCACTGAATTTGACGACTGAAACATTAGGACTTTCAATTCATAATAGGGAAGTTTCAGATTCTTAGCGCGAATGGTGGCTAGCCTGATTGAGTATATTTACGGGTGCCTTCAGTCTCTTCATTCAAATTTGATATGGTACTTTAAAATAGATCATGATCGTTCCCTTCTACGTTATTTCTAATTCAACATATCCAGTCATTCTCCCATAAAGCCTAGAGCCTATAAACTCTTATTGAAAAACAATATCCCCTTAGTCTTTCTTCCAAACTAAAGCTTACCTCCAAAGAAAATGGTCCCTCGTTTTGCCAGTTCTGCCTCGAATTCTTTCAGATGTTCAAGGACATCTTCTATATAACTGTCCACCGGTGAGTTATCCTTGTTGTGTAGGGCCTTCGAGGTGGCTCCAACGACCTGAGAGGCAGAAGGAATATTTCAGATCTCTTTGAAATGACATTGTTTCATTGTTTTGAACTCCTAAGGGGGACCCAGAAATGCATTCGCCACGCATGAGTTAACTCAGACTGGTGGCGAGTATAAAAGTAATTGCCAGTTGAGAGTACAAGGACGGTAATGGAGCAAGTCCTAGTGAATTTTGAAGATTAGTGATAACGCTATGATTTCTTGTAATTGTGAAGAAGTGTTCAATAAACACAAACATCAAATCTAGAGACCATTATTATCAGTCACGCTAACCCCTCATACTTGACAATACCAATGAATTACCATACTCAAGATCAAAAGTAAAGTCTTCTACAGATTCATATTAAATACTGGAATGCCGCATAGTTCTCGATGGAAACATACTTCTAAGCTTCCAATTTCATAAATTTAATCCTTACTATTCATGTTACAAGCCGAAAGGTCGCGGGTTCAAGTCCCGATGAGGTCAATGGATTCTTTTCAATTGACCTAATCCTTCCGGCCGCGCTCTGGTCCTGGGGTCGACTCAGCCTCTAACAGAACTGAATACCAGGAATTAATTAAATAATTTTCCTGGGGAGTAAAGCGCGGCCAGCGCGTAAGGCTGACAACCTTACCGCCATCTGTGAGCTGATTGTCAAGGTAATGTGGGATCCTCAACGTCTCACAACCCTATGGGCCTTCACGGCCTGGTACACGGATAGCTTTACTTTTATTATTCATATTAGGCTTGGGAGTTTAGACACTGGTTGCCCAAAGAGAAGACCCCGGTTTGTTCTTAGGTAACCATGATATGTGGTAGGGAAGAGGAAATGATAGAGAGTTACTTTAATTTTGGGGCCGCGCCATAGCTCAAGCGGTTAGTAGCTGGCTTCCCACCGCGGCGGCCCGGGTTCGATCCCGGGTCTGGTCAAGTGGGATTTGTGGTAAACAAAGTGGCTCTGGGGCAGGTTTTCTCCGAGTACTTCCGTTTCCCCTGCCAATCTTCATTCCACCAATTGCTCCATAATCACCCTCACCTATCATCTGGGGCCAGAAGTGGCCGCAGTACAAGGGACTTAGTCCCACCCCACTAGCAACAAAAAAAAAATAGTTTAATTTGATCCAGCCAGCCATCATTATGATGCTCCATACTTATCTATCAAAGCATCTGATATATGTGGTAAGCCAGATCTGGTAGCATGTTATCTTATTCAAAAATTCACCGTTTATTTTGGCTTCACTTTCGAGCGGATTCCCGTATGGGCTCAGGAGAAGAGCAGTTACATTTTAATTATTTATTTTAATTCCTATGTCGCTAGTGCAGTTAGACACAGAGGAATTTCTCAAACACGATACATTTTCATTACCAGACTAAAATTTAGAATCTTCGGGTTCCATGAAAAAAATTTGTTCCTGTACTTAATTACTAAGCACTACGTCAAGAAGGCGTATGAGGGAGTGGATGTATAGATCCACATTTTCTTTACCTCGGCACTAGTTGGAGGTGAGTGGTCAGCTTCATGCCCCTGCTGCTTCATCCCTGAGGAAAGAGCCCCCAGTACCCGTTTGATAGTGAGCTGGATGGACTCCAGAAACGGTCTGGACGGTAAGAAGAAGAGAAAATTCGTAAACCTACAGGGACTCGAACTCAGACCCCTCTGTCGTCCAGCCCGTCTACCCCGGTTCACCGGGTTCCATGAAGGGCAAGTAATACTTTGAATACTGGAATGACTATTAGCTTTTCATGTAGGACTTTGTTTCATGGAGTTAGTATATTTGCAACAAAATCATAACCTTGCCAAATTTTTGGATGAATTCCTTATCTCTGTTTTTCAGTTCCGGATCACTAGGGTAGAGTGGAGGGTCAGGAAACTTCTGGTCCAGGAAATCTACGATGTCCAGGGACTCTAACACAACTTCATCGCCCGTGTCCAGTGCTGGCACCTTCCCATCAGGGTTAATTTTGAAGTACCACTCGGGCTGGTTCTTCAGGTTGATGTAGACGACATTGTGAGGGATGTTCTTGGCGTTCAGGACAATGCGAACCCTCTGAGTGAAGGGGCAGAACCTCATTCCGTACAAGCGCACTTCTCCATCATTCATCGGGGGGCAGGCAGACCCTGTAATCGATTTGTTGTCATCATGACCACACGCGATGCCATGGAAACGAAAGCAGAATTGTCAAAAATAGAAGAGAGGAACCGAAAAAAGCAGGTACAGCGCGTAAAGTGAACGAGAACACGGATGCAAATACCAAAATATTATGTTCCAAATACTTCTGCTAATAAAGCCTTGGTTTCCAGCCGATAATCAGTTAACACAATGATCCAAATAGAAAGCGAATAAAACTGTATTATATCCGAGTTTTCGCTTTTTCTGCCAAACACAACAAACACCAAATAACTCACTCACATTCCAACGTTCTTAACTGAGTTTATTGGTCGTACAGCGTCGCTGCGTGTTTCGGTTCATTGGGCCATCATCAGGCGATATATTAACAAGCCTTATGCTAATGAACTGTGCCTCTTATATGGCTCCATATACTGAACTTAGTCGTGTGTTACGAAAACAATGAAAAAAAAATGGCGTGCTTCTCTCATTTTCACCAATCACCTTTATATACATAGATTAAGTGGTTATATACTGAACCTAAACTAGTTTAAAATGTATTAAACAAGTATTTAAAACTTATTAAAAATCTTAAATTATTAAACAATATATTGAAAAGTTAAACCATTAAAATGTTAAAATATTGAACTTATGGAAATACCATATGCTGGATATTTTTAGTGGTTAATTCTCATCTTAATTTAAATAAGGTATAAATTTTCTCTCTTGGTCGTTTTGGGCTTTACTCTCTGTGATTGTATTTCGGCTTATGGCTATTATCTTGATCCAAAATGTTGTGTATACTATGTAACTGTGTTCACTCATGTTGTTTATAATACACTGATATTTGGCGTTGGTTAGTGGTTGGGTGTGTTGAATGTGTTTGTCTTTATTCGAGCCTATGCTATTACGTCTGCTTTCGTCCCCTGTCGAGGTGATCAGTGACACACTACAGGACACATTCCTTAAAGATTAAAGAAGAAAACAGTACAGATATATAGGGCAAAGGCATACATATAACATATTCTACTGCACAGTAGATGCAGAACAAACAGGAATTTATAATAACGCTAATCATACCAAAATTCTATAACTACCTATCAACCAAATTAACCAGAAGGTTAGTGTTCAAGAAATTAATTTAACTCATGACCTTCACGGTCAGCCATATTTTCATTGAAAACACGTGACCAGTCAGATGTAAGTGAAGTATTGTAAAACAGAATGTATTGGCCTTGCGCATAATTAAGATGGATTGTGAGGGATATGTGATGATGTACTGAAATTCATTTGCAACCATGAACAAGTGGCAGATGTTGTCACGAGAGGACAGTTTGAATTGGAAATGCCTAGAATTTTAACCTTAGAAAAGACCAGGTATAATTGTGCACTATTACAGACAGAGTCATGGAGCTGTCAGAGACGAAAGAAAATAGTTGTTCCTCGCCTGCCACGACCAGCAGGAAGCTAAATATAGATTTCCCATGGTCCTAGTATTATTGCCTTGTATTCTAAAACATAATTGTTCTAAGAACGCTATATTAGTATAATTCTTTTCAAATAACAGCATGCTTATATTTTGTTCGAACATGGTAACATATTTTAAATTAATTTCTATCTCACAATGCAAGGCAGGGTAATGACGGTCCAAAATACATTAAAACTATTGTTAATAAGAATTTTAATCCACATACATATTTTATTAATTTCATGATCTGTCCTCTGACACCATTAAATTGTTTGGAGACGCAACTGACTCTCAAACTCTAAGCACTGTGCTTGAATTTGAGTAATCTCTATTAGCATAGAATTCTGTACAAATATCGGGAAAGGAATTAACAGAAATATTATGTTGTTCCTGATGTAATCACTGTCAAATGAAAAGTGTAACTTTTAGTTTAAAGTCTCAATAATTCAGTTTGGTTCAATTCTATATTTATTTACGTTTATTTACGTTTACTCAACAGCACAAAGGTCAGTTATAAAGTAAGCACGAACAAAGAAACAAAAAGGAAAACAAGCATACACAAACAGAGGCAAAAAATGTAACGGTATCATTTAGGCAATAATTATTTAATTAGTTCAATGACCCCAAGAATAATGAGTTGTGTATTTGTACATAACATAATATTATTGTTATGTTGATGGGTTAACAAATGTTGGCTCAGTTTACCAGTCGAGCAAAAACGCTACTTGTCAGCTATTTCTCCACAAACTAAACTCATCTACCCAGCCGCTGTAACTGATCTGCACCAGCATATTTACCGTCACGTGACATGACATAAAATACTGTCACTTATACTACATAATGTGTAGGCCTATACAATATATAATTTACTGCTCGATATCTATGGAGAATTCAAGAAGAGCAGAGTTAGAATTAATATTAACGAAAGAAATCAAGCATTTTTCCATTCGTCTTCCGTAATGCTTCCTTCAACATGGACGAGCATACGAGTGGATTTGTTGAGTTTCGGGCATATGTGCAAGGTCCTTGAACACCGTCACAGACCCATTCACGTTTTAGTTCAACGTCACAATTTACGTAGGTCTATGAAAAATATAACATCATTCGCAGGCTTAACAATTGCGTACTGTTATATCTGTCCTGTTATGGGTGTATGCTTTCAGTCTATCAGCGACTTCAGAGAGACACTTCACTACTTTTTATATAAAATTATTATTATTATTATTATTCACTCTAGATACGTTACATTATTCTTGCAAACGTATCAAAATAAGCAGAAGGTTGCGTCAGGAACACACATCATTTGTCTCCAGCCAAGCGATGTCATATCACAGTATTACTGTAAACTTTGTATTAAAAAGTGTGACTTGAATATCTGGGCCATTAACTTTCACACCCTACTTAAGCAAAACTTTCCTGCGAAAATAGCATTTCCTATTGAGCAACTAGCCGGTCACGGTAGCCGAGCGGTCTAAGGCGTGCACTGTCTTCGCTCGCTCGGAAGCCGCGATCGTGGGTTCGAATCCCACTCAGGGCATGGATGTTTGTGTGCGTTTTTCTGTGTTTGTCTACAGGTAGAGGCCTTGCGACGAGCTGATCACTCGCCCAAGGAGTCCTACCGTATGTGTAAGATCTAGAAAACCGAAGTGAAACGGAGAGTTTCATGGAGGTAGGCCTAGGCCCAAATTGGGGCTGTAGCGCCACAGGATTAGGATTGAGCAACTATCTCCAAACAAACAAATTAAGTAAGATTTGAGTTTTTCACGGCGGTGACTATGAAGAAAGCCTCTTCTGGGATGTGGCACCATGCAGAAATTGTGCTAAACGACGTTACGGAGGAACGTATCGCCTCCATCTTCATGGTAGAAGACAAGAAGAAATCCGCGAGCGAACCAGCAGAGCAGCTGCAACAGACAGCTGTGTTTACTCGACTGGATTCAGTCTGTTGCATCTGCTCTGCTGGTTCGCTCGCGGATTCCTTCTTGTCTTCTATCCTGAAGATGGAGGCGATACGTTCCTCCATAACATCGGTTAACACAATTTCTACATGGCGCCACATCCCAGAAGATGGCTTTCTTCAAACAAATTAAATTTGTAACCAATCTCATTAGACATGAGAGATGTTCTTCCGAATATGACGTTAAATTTGCGACTATAATTTTTTCAATTACAACTCTATGCCTTACAGTAAGAAATAGTTCTTTAGTTCCATTTCACACACCGAGCATTTTAGCACGGGGATAATGCATCTCACTTGCATTCAGAAGGTACAAACAAGTATCTGGTTGATAATGAACCCAGGTACCGGCTATCCTACTTGAGCTTTGTCGTGGTTTTCCACAGTCTTTCCAAATTGTTACTGTAATATTGACTTGAAGCAGACCGTGATTGATTCCTCTCCAAGCTTTTCCTTTTCCCACAGATTCTCATCCGCTCACGTACCGCAAGCCTCCTTCAGCTTGTTCCCAGTTTTAGTGGACCTTCTCAGTTTGTCAAGAAATGCGTATATGAGGGAATCGCCTTAAAATATGCCACAGCTGTTTCCTACCACGTCCCTCTTGACTTGTCATCAATTATCCCATCAAACAAAACTTCACTGGATGTTAGAAAAGCCGTACCTCGGGAATCTACATAGTTATCATAAAATTAATTACTAATGTGGTCATTTTATTGTCTTATTCTCGCCTCGCGAATTAGACCTTGTGGCTCGTGGACATTCAGAATTAATTAATTAATTAATTATAAAATGTTAATCTTGGACGTGTAATCAGCCCATCGCAAGGCTGCTCTTTACACAGGAGAGCACAACCATGGAATAAATAAAAAAAGACACCCATGCCTCGAGTTGGATTCGAACATACGATCCAAGTGCTTGAACAGACGAAGGCATTTCGTGCCTGGATAAATTATTTTGTGAGTGTGGTAACATATAATGTACTGGTAGATATAGGCCTGCCTTTTCTTAAACTGAAACGTTCTTTGTCTGTGACAGAAGGCTGTAAGTCAACAGAGGTATTACAGGCATTTGAAACTTGCAATGAATTCTGTCCTTCTATGGTACTCTAACGTGCGTCTTGCTTCTATCATAATCCAGCGACTTGAATTGGCACTTACGACACTAGAAACTTCATAACCTCTTTAAAACGGGTTGTTAGTCATCGCATAAACTAAATGACATATCAACTACCAACTGACGCGAAAGAATGAGAGTAGAGAAAGATTTGTGACGGCTGATTTAAGCATTACATAGATTAACTGGTTATTTACCTCGGTAAAACATGCGGGTTAGCTCAGCTTTATATCATTCGAAATTTATCCTGAAACTTTCGGCCAGATGGCGCCAGAAACACTCTCTTAAACAGCATGAAAATGCCTTATCATATGTGAACACAGTGTTCTATGGTATCAGAAGTAACGTCGGGCATTTCTGTACAGTATGGAGTACTACAGAATATAAACAGACGGAAGAAGAACATTTAGTTTTGCCGACTGAAGTTCTTTTAATGTAGCCAACACAAATTATATTCTTCTGTTTCTTAGAGTTTCCATTATTTTGTTCACCTCCTATATATTTTGTTTCGGGTTTTAGATCAATAACGACAATTCCGGGTGTACACTTTATAAACTGACACGCAGTCAGCATATGTTGCCCGCATGCTGAAGCATAGCCACTTTTTATTCAATGCTGACAGACGTCAACAAAAACTATGAATTGCATGGCACAAGAATAGTGTGGGAACTGCATCCAGACCGGGATATGTGAAAGAAGCATTGACGTGGAACCCACTATTCCGTTCCAAGGGGAGACAACACTAGCCACCAGAAGTCGGGAATTTTTAAAATTCTGAATTTATTATATACAGCGTGTCCCTCGAAATATCTCTAAAATTTCAGGATGTTATAAACAAGGTTATTTTGCAGAATATTGGGTTTTCGGACTTTATCCATGTCCTGGCTTTAAGATAACTAAGAAAAACACAACGTTTAGGAAACTGGATATGTTTCCGTATTCAGGTGAGGGAAAAACACCTATTCTATTGGGTTCCTTAGAAAGAGCTAGCCTCAATCACTGGTCCACCTGAGGACGGAAACAGAGCCAGTTTCCGAAACGTCGTGTTTTTCTTAGTTATCTTAAAAACCAGGACGATGCATAAAGTCCGAAAACCCAATATCTCTGTGTGTTATACACCATCGTCAGAATCCTTTAGTAACTAAGGTTATTTTGGACTAAAATATTTATCAATTTGGGCCCTGTACTCAACTGTTACAGAGGTATAGTGGTAAATATTGGAAAGGCAAAGAAAATAGCTGATTGAGTAAAACAGTGCCAATTGAGTATATTCTCAACCACATGGAAATTTTAATCATTTAGTTACCCACGATATTTGCTGTTCGGAATGATTTCATTCATTTTCTATGCACAATCTTGCTATTTTGATAATAAAATTTGCAGCATTTGTATGCCCTCAGGGCTGTTCTATGTGCGAATACAGTACTGCAACGTTGAATAATGCTACTAAAATGGGGACCCCTTAACATGAGTAAAAACAGACACAAGTCGCTTAAACTCTACACATACGTAAAACAAACTACCTGAGAGTGACACTTAGAAAAATATGTGCAAAGCAATTGACACTGCGATAGAAATAGAAATCAACACGATAGTGTTTTAAAGATGGACGACTGATGTCGCATCGTCCCATGATTCTTCAACCAACATCCGCGATCACAAGGGCGACGCCAAAAAAATATTTAGTCATAAGATCAATATTAAGACTATTTAGAATAAATCCAGAACCAATACATAATTAAAGTAGTTATTTAAAATTAAGAAAAATCATTTTGAAAATTTGAAATTAAATTTTATGTAAAGAACATACTACATTAGCATAATTATTAATATTAATACAAAATCATAATGTATATATATTTTTATTGCTAGTGGGGTGGGATTAAGTCCCTTGTACTGCAGCCACTTCTCGCCTATTGTACCAGTCCCAGATGACAGATGAGGGTGATTGTGGAGCAATTGGTGGAATGAAGATTGGCAGGGGAAAACCGAAGTACTCGGAGAAAACCAGCCCCAGCGCCACTTTGTCCGCCACAAATCCCACTTGATCAGACCCCAGGATCGAACCCAGGCCGCCGCGGTGGGAAGTCAGCGACTAACCGCTTGAGCTATGGCGCGGCCATAATGTATATTAGTCTTATACAATCTTAAACTTAGGTAAAATCCATACATTACCAGAGTACTCATGTGTATCGTTCGATTACATTTTTACAAATGTGTATTCATTATCAAAAATCAAAACCAAATTGTAAAAGTATGTATCCATATTAAAGTAACTCAATTCAAGAATTTAGTTTAATATTCATGTGACTAGCCTGATGATGACCTAGGAAAGTTCGAAGCATGTAGCGCAACGCCTGTACATAATAAAGAAATGTTGATACGTTAATATCTATTTCTGTCATCATTCTGTAGATATCATTGTTGTGCAGACGGCCCCATTTACGCTATTATTATATTTGGTTGCTATGACCTGTATTCTAACGACGAAACATTTAAACAGCGAGTGAATGTCATGAGAATCGCAATGAGAAAAATTAAGAAAAAAGTTAAATCTTGTATAGCATAAAATGTTATTGCTATTTTGTGCTAGCCTGTTGGCAAAATCAATTCGCCTCAGATTAGAGTGTAACTATGTATTTGCAAGCCCCGATGTTAAGTAATATTCCTGTTTGGTTCATGATTTATTTTCAAAACAAATTCATCGGAGTAAAAATAACTATGTATAACCGGAAGTTAACTCCTTGTCGTGTTTTGAGGATTGGGCATCCGCCTCTTTCGGTGACATCACTGGCTTCAGCAAATGCGAAATAACAAGTAATGAACGAACCCAGATAGAATGGATTTCGGCTATAACGAACAAAACATGCTTGTGTAAAACAGTGAACTTTTAGAGACATCAGACACTAAGAAGATTTTGTGGTTAGAAATTTACTTAAAATAAAGAGAATCATAATATGAAAATTTGGCGTAAGCACATTGTGTGTTCCTATGTTTACCGCATGTGATTACGTTCTCCTGTTGTGTTCTATACGTATTCTACCCATTTCATATTGCTGTTGCAATCATTTCAGCAATAGACACACTACTTCCTGAAATCTACTGCGAAGGCTCTCGCTCTTTGACTTTCTTCCATCGCATGTCAAATTTTCTCTCCCGTTGAACAACAAAATTAACCTTATACTCTTATTTCATACATCTTGAATTGTGTTGTTTTTCCTCAAAGTGACAGACAAAAGTTTCGTGCCACTATATAAGTGCAGGAAAAATCATACTTGAGAACGTATACCGGTTCGCGATTTGCAAATATCTTTCAAACTTCCGTACATTTACAATCACATGACAACATTATGCATAAAACAAGCAGAAGTAGTACAAAACCATGAAAGTGCAAATGTTCGCAACATTGGACAAGGCGAAGCCCGACACAAGGAATATAAGAGGCTTAAACTTGGCTGCGGCCAAGCATACGACCTTTCAAGTGACTACACTGCAGTAGTTGGAGCTAATGATGACAGGTCATAGTACCGAGCATGGACTAACAGAGGTCTTGTATATACTGTATATAAAAAAACAAAAGCACAACAAACTTCGTGGCTTTAGTCCGCAAGCGAACTATACCGACCGAGCGACCGCCGCTTGTAGGCGAAGTTAGTGCCAACTTGTATATACATAAATTAAATAACATGCATAACATGTAAAATGTAAATATATTGTACATACCGACAACTGATTTATTATTGTTGAATGTGACTCTGACAAACGATAGACCCGTCCTCTCGTCAGAGAGGGTGCCCAACATGGAGAGGACAGTAACTGTCAAACGGGAAATAATATCTGCTAATGAGTCCCAGATGGGGCTCGACACCAAGAGAGACTGACTGACTGACTGACTGACTTGACTGACCATCAGTCCCAATGTGACTTTGTCTTTGATTTGCTTGAAAATACAGCACAGTACACTATAGCAAGGAATTTTGTAAAACAAAGGTAGACACAGCGGCATTCGACGTCACACACACAGTGAAATAGTGAACATGTGGTATGTATAATCACAATTTTGTCAGGTAACTGTAAGAGGCCTGACTGGAGTCTTACCTGCAGCAAGGTGTTCTTCGCTCATGGTGTTGAATCCTTAACAAAATTGAAATAAAACGAACACAAGGAATAAGAAAAATTTGAGGGCAACAAAATGTGACAAAGGACTATCTCGATGAGGCGTGGTTACCAGCAAAATGTACTCTGACGTACGATCGAAGCCTGGCACCATAGCCTGCATAATCCCCTCTAGTCCAGAATGGCTACTATCGACCTTGCGACTGGAGCGACACCCAGTGAGTAGTGGATAAAGAAAGAAGTAAATTCAACCAGTTTCTCACATTCTGCAGTAACGATAGCTTAGTCGAAAATATATTCACCGTTTATTCCGCTCCAAACAGGGCGAAACACTACTGTTTCTCTCAAATTCCTTTCTCCTCTATTTAAATTTCTATTAATTTTAGAGTTAAGTAAAGGTAAAATTGTTGTTATATTTTAGCGTCCTGTTGCACTGATTTAAGTCCATGATTTATTATATCCGTCTTCTAGTGCATACATTTATTTATCCCCTCTTTTCACTCTCACTACATGTTTCGGCACCAGTGTGCCATCTTCAGGTGCTGATCCAATCCACGACAAACTAATTCATTGCATGCCTTGTCTTTACATACTAAAATAACTAAAATATATATTTATCATATATACTGACAAATGTCAAGTGTTAAAATACTAAAACTGTACAGCATATTTCTTTCCTACGTCGTGTTTCATTACGCGAGTCACGTCTATCATCCTCTGTTGGAGCACTCTTTCACTATCGTGTATTGTGCTCTGTGTTGCGTCTCGCTCCTGTGACTGCNCACTGGTGCCGAAACATGTAGTGAGAGTGAAAAGAGGGGATAAATAAATGTATGCACTAGAAGACGGATATAATAAATCATAAAGGTAAAATTGTTTCTCTGCATAATTAATTAAGCACAACAATAAGATTTTTTTCCTTGGTACTACAGCCCCAGTAGGCCTAGGCCTACCTCCATGAACTTCTCCGTTCACTTCGGATTTTCTAGATCTTACACATTCGGTATGACTCCTTGGGCGGGTGATCAGCTCGTCGCAAGGCCTCTACCTGTACACAAACACAGAAAAACGCACACACACAAACTAAACATCCATGCCCTGAGTGGGATTCGAACCCACGATCCCGGTTTCCAAGCGAGCGAAGACAATACATGCCTTAGACGGCTCGGCTACCGTGACCGGCCAACAGTAAGAATAGGTACGGGGAAATGGGGAATAGTTCCACCATTCCTAACCTCGGCAGTAGATGAAAGTGAATGGTCAAGTTCACGTCGTGGCAGCCTTCGCCTCAAGGAAAGAGTCCCAGGTATTCTTTGCACACGAGGCTGGTTGGGGCGAAGGGCTGGATGCTGTGCAGAAGAGAAAATTTCTAGCCCCTGCTGGAAATTTAATCCCGAATCATCAGTCTGCTGGTCCGTAGGTAGTCACTATACCGGCTGAGCTATCCTGCTCTCGATATAGTTTATGTAGAATTATTAATATTAAACCTGCATATCGAATGTTCCAGTGCAGAAGTGAGAAAGGACAGATTTATCATTACATCCTCTATGCGCATTCTTGGCTCCATGCTGTATATATGTAAGCCTTTGAATGTTACCTTGTTAAACTCGTATGTGACCCTAAATACGTATTATACAGACAGATCTTGTGGTATGGCTGCATCAGGAGGGAAAGGAAGAGATACTTTAAACGAAGTACAACAAAAGTTAGTGAATGTCTCAATAGTATCTTATCTGTATTCTTTATTAACTTCGTAACAATATATTGCAGCTCGCATCAAAGGAATGTCAGGTTCTCCTGTTGAATCACGTTTCCTGTAATTGTAATGAAAACGTTTTATTTCAGTAGGAGATCGTAACCTTTCTTTCCGATTTTACTTCTGTTGCAAAAATCTGTGTAGATTTCGGGTGACAAGAAGCTTACCTCCCCTGCTGGATCATCCTCTATCGCGTTTCTCCAGTCAACCTAGGAAATAAAAACCCAAACCTCAATACCTCACAGATCAGAACTGAAGCATATATGAGCATACACCTTTACGCCATGGTAGTCTGCGAGATAATCCACAGCCCCTAGATCGTAAAATTTATCATCCTTTAAGACGACGCTCTTTAGGTTGAAACTGTAACATTCGGAACAACAAGCAAGCTTCGATTTGACATTTCAATGGAGAAGCATATAAATACCTATATTTCATATAATGCATGTCTAAATATCATCTTAACGACTGGAAGAATAATGTTTCTTTTAAATTAAAGGATTTCAAATCATAAGTTTTACGATAACAGTGATCAATACGTTGAAAACATTGAAGCAATTGTTCAAGATTTCTTCAGACAACGAGTCTTTGCTATTTGGCCTGAGTGTAAAGCCAGTTCAAATGTTCGGGACCGACTCTTAGGTTATTACATTAGTTTCCAAACCTGTGAATAGATGGCTGTTGTGTATCATTTGTCGTGTCACTTTTACCGTCTTTATAAATCTGCTAGCAACGATGTGATAACATGCCCAGTAACGTTACCAGATCTGTAGACAAATGACGGCGATAAAGCTATCAGTCTGTGAAATCGGCCCTTAAGCAGCAAAAATTATTTCCCTGAAATGTGCTCGAAGATGGCCAGTCCCTCTCCCAAGTCCATATCATATAAATTTTATTTGTTTCATTCTGGTGACCAGTCACACTGGACGGAATCACCATTCCTGGCTTGTCATCTGAAATTGTAAATAAACACGTGATAATTGTCATTAGAGGCAAAATTATTATATTCACGATATAATATGTATTACTGTCTCTGGAAAATGGGTTACCATATATTAGCATTTCATTTTGAAAAGGCTCAAGCTCTGTCAGGGCATCTTTGAAGTGTTCGTGGTTCACATTTTCATAAAACTTGTATATACATCCCGTGACCTGGTAAAGATGAAATTGTGTGCGTCACGCATTGCTATTGTTTTCTCGGCTCTATCAGTTTTAACAACATTTTTCAAAGTACAACTCAGAAAATTACAATGAAGATTCCATTAACCCCGTCGGTAGGGCATGACTTAAACAGAATTAAACTATCCGAATCCCAGGCATGGCAGTACTAGTGTAATATAAAATATAAAAGAGAAACGTAAGACTCGAAATAAGTCTTTCAGTAATGACTCTCGAAACTAACAAAACTAAAGACAAGTAAACACAATTCAACACAATTTAATGTAGGTACGCCATACTGAATTTGATAAAAATTTGTATGATGGTTTGAGCGCCAGTACTAGCAGATGGACGGATGTAGAGTAATGCGAAACTAACAGCACGTCTTCATTTCTTTTGAAACGTACTTGAAAAGATTCCTACATCTGATTACCACAGACTTAGATATCCTTTGATTAGTAACCACAAATCGACTTTACAATTTAAGTCACAGTTAATCAATCTAAAAAAGACCAAACCTAAGAGTCATGAAAGGTAATCATTTTACAAGTGTTCTTTGTTGAATCGGGATGTTTAGTGTTGTGCTGACGTGTAGGCCAGAAGTGCAAAATCATTGTAGAGCAGGGCCGCATTTCAAAATACGAAACAACTTGTGGACCAATTGAAAATTTGGTGCTCAATGTTGTGAAGTACTGTTACAGCACACAAAACCTAGAAATTCATCAAGTTTATCTAATTTAATAATTCCCCTTCCTTCCCCTCGGCGGCACAGCTCAGGGTGAACTCTTGAACGATCTGTCTCCATTCTTCTCTGTTCTTCATCTTTCCTCCCCATCCTTTCACTGGATTCTTCCTTAGGGTCCCAGCTGAATAAGTGTCCTCTCCCCCTCACCTGAGAAGGGAAAGAGATCCATTTTCTGAAACATCGTGTTTTCTATTTTCTAAGAGTACCGGACGATGGAAAAGGTCCAAAAACCCAGTAATTCTGTGAGTTATACACCATCGTCAGAAACTTTTAGAAACTCAGTGTGACTTGCAACTTCCTAAATGGGATGAAATATTACTGCACTACAGATGCGCTGAAAATATCTTCATCAGTCAACAAGAGGAGACTTATGTTTTTAGCTAACTCACTGTAAATTAAGCAAACCTACGGCATAACTGATAGCAGAGTATTTTTAACCTTTTTCAATATCGTTTACAGTATCTGCTTTGGGTTAAGAACAAGAAGCACCCACGGGGCATAAGGGCAGAATTTCACGCTGTAAAGCCTGAGTTTCCCCTTCGGTAAAGGATTCGTGGATCCTGTAAAAGAAGCGCGCTGTCAGTATGGCTTGCATTTTGCTGGGTGTATGAAAATGTTTTGTAATATTTTGAAATGTAAACAAATTCTTCTTGATGCAATTTTCCGATTATCTCCGATAGTTCTGAGTTCGGATCTAAACGCTTGGAAAAATGAGTTTGATAGAAAAATATTTTGTTTCACGCGTGAAATTTCGACATAACACGTATTTCCATATGCGCTCTTCTTCTATCTGCGGAAACAAAAACTAATTTAGAATTTTGTGTATTTACAGACTTCCACAAAGCAGATTGTAAATTTGATATTTCTTAGTATGATTCCCACGTTTAATTGTTTTAACTATGTCTAAAACACCTTTAAGTTTGTCACACTTACAAAGCAACTATATGAACAGCAAATATGATTCTCGTATCACGAAATGTTTTATACAGCACAGAAAGTCAGATATGAGCTTAACGTAAAGAGGGGCAAGGTACTAATATTATACACCAATGAAATAATTCATGCAGCAGAGTCCTCCGTGAGATGCCAACAGCCCTTCGTCTGTTCAAGAATTTTCCCGTGGTGCATGGAAAGCTAAGTGTTCACCGTGTTCATAGGAACCCGTCACTGAATCCAATTCTAAGCCAGTTGAATCCAGTCCATATCCTATTTTCTTCATATCCACCTTAAAATTATCCTCCATCTACACTTAACTTTTCCAAGTAATATATTCCTTCGGGATTTCTAACCAAAATCTTGTATGAATTTCTCATCTATTCCATACGTGCTATACGCCCAGCGCATCTTAACATATTGTGCACCGTCATGGATTGAAATCAAAAAGAGAGCCGGGCCCTGGTCGACGTTAGAAATCGATATTTCCTGGAAGCCAGGTAGGCTCGACCTCGCTAGGTTGTACTAATCACGCTATAGAAATGTAAAATCATCCCCTATCAAGGTCAACAATCGACTTTCATGACTTGCAGTTTA